TCCTCAGGTCCTCGCCTACCTTGACTTATCGCGCCTGGCTTGTCCTGTTCACAAAGTTCAAGGCATCTTCCAGAAAGCCTGCGAACCTGGGTATAATACAACGCTGAGAGGCCATATCTGACTACATCACTGAGGAGAAGACTAAGCAAAGCTATGTTATGAGTTAAAGCATTTAGCTCGTTATTACGAGCGTTCGGAGTTCTTCATTGTTGCTGATGGAGTGCAGTAAATAATGTTCAACGCAAGAAAAAGAGTGAGAAAAACGTTCAATGGCAAAACTTAAGGAGTTTGCACAAACTAAGCACTTAACATGATGAAATAAAAAATAATAACAAAAAAAGTAAGCGTAAATGTTTCTTAAAGTCGAAGGCAATACATCGAAAGGCGCGATTTTCATATATAACTATAGCAACAGTGATCTTCAAGCGTGTGAAGATATCATATATTCGCGCGAAATAAAGATCTCGTGTTAGAAGCTAGTTCTTTTGTTTTAGCGTGCGAGCGTGCCGTGTGCGTGCGTTCACCTTATTCCCTGAATCCCGCGGAGGGTCACATATAATAAATTTTGTGTTCTACTGTTGACGAAGACACATGTTGTTAATTTGTCACAAATGCTGAACGAAGGAAAAATCTGAGTCCGCTTTGACAAATCGAACCACAGACCTTCGGAATTCACGGTTCGATGATCTACCATGGAGCTTAAAGATCACTCGTTGATGACCAAGGCCGTATACTATTTTAGACATTTCTGGTTTAATGTATTCAGTCTCTGAACTCAATATTACTTAGTTATCGCATTTCTGATTCTAACGGGGATGCGAGACAAATAATACCCATATATAAAAATTCAATCGCCCATGCTCCCCGCTAACGTCCCACCACTGCATATACGAACATACGAGGCCATTTAAGCCCTTTTGAACCGAGATCTATTTTATAGGAGTAATTAAAAAGATAGTATTTTTGTGAAGTTTCATCGGGGGCTTTGTCAAATCTTATCTACCAGTAAGTCCAGCAGGGCGTTATCGCCCAGTTCACCTCCTATTTAAATTCTATCCAGGCCCCTCTCTTACGTGTTACGATATCCATGACTAAAATTTCTCAGAATGAAGCCGTCTTACCCTACTCGGCGCACAGTAACAAACATAGACATGAAAGGACTCAAGAAGGCTTTTCTGCTTTGGAGCACAATCTTCATCTCAAGTCTCGCTTGCTTTCAGGAGGTATCTGCTTCTTCAGGTTAGCCACAGATTTTTGACAAGTAATCATTTCCTGTTCAAAACGAACCGAAATTGTTTAAATATATACAAGCCATGGCACGCTCAATTAGAAGTTGAAAGTTGATGCGGAAAAGCCAACAGGCTCCTAACTAAAGGTAAAATAGGACCAGAAAATATCAATCGTACGATGTATTGATCGAAAGATTACCAGTCATTGAGTTCAAATAGGAGTTCTGCCAAGAGTAGTGTAATTACAAGGCCTTCTGATTTACACCATTGTCCTCGAACGTATTTCTACATCTTTTTATTTATTCATAAACCTCTTTATGACACCATGGTCTGATTATTTAAATAAAGGTTAGACGTTGCTTAACAAAGCCGCGTCCTAAACAATTTCAAACTCTTTACGGTGGCCAATTTACATTATCAACCAAGTCGCTAATTTTAAATTACCCTGCTATGCTCTCCCAACGACGCAGCACCACAGTTTCTTTAGAAACTTACCCCCTTTAATCTTCAATTTAGCTAAACCTTTAATCTGAACATTTATTTCTGTGAACAGTGTCAAAAGGACCGAAAGCTAGCAGTGCAGAGACATTTATTTAATTAAATGAGAGGTCATCGAGAAAGTCTGAAGTCCACTGATTGCGTAAAACCGTGCATTGTGTTAGACCTCGTGATAACAACCGGCCCTACGTATTTTTGGGATTTCTTGTAACCTTGTCTTTTTTCGAAGGAAAGAGACATCCGTACATGGAGTATTAGAATATAATGCAATAATGACGAATATAATGGAAACTTTCGGAATCTGTTATTCACTGTTATTATGCTTCCGGCCCCGATCGAGTTCACTCATTTAGGCTCTGTGCCTAAAAAAAAAAAAGATATAGGCTAATAAAACAAAACCTCGCGAAGACAGATTCCAACGGAGCCCTGTTGCAAAGAAGTCGGTCTCATTTAAAAGGAATGCATGTTAGTAATCGAACCGTGGAATTTGATCGTTGCGTTACAGAAGGTCTTTACTTTCCACCATTTGCGGTATGAAAACAAAGTGAGCTGTAAAGGAAAGAGAAAAAACGAGAATGCATTGCAGAATTAAGTGTTGTCATTGAAAATAAGGGCTAACATCTGATAAAGATCAATAAAATAAAACAAAAATTTCATTATCTTTAGATCTGCTTTGAAATTATCAGATAAAGTGAATTGACGAGATTCTAAGACAGACTTTGACCTTGAAAAATCCTACATAGCCATCCTCACACGAGAACTGACAGGTTGTATTGTTATGCAGTAATACACTGCATTGTTAGCGTGTGAAGATATCATGTATTCGTGCGAAATAAAGATCTCGTGTTAAAAGCTAGTTCTTTTGTTTTAGCGTGCGAGCGTGCCGTGTGCGTGCGTTCACCTTATTCCCTGAATCCCGAGGAGGGTCACATATAATAAATTTTGAGTTCCATTGTTGACGAAGACACATGTTGTTAATTTGTCACAAATGCTGAACGAAGGAAAAATCAGAGTCCGCTTTGACAAATCGAACCACAGACCTTCGGAATTCACGGTTCGATGATCTACCATGGAGCTTAAAGAGCACTCGTTGATGACCAAGGCCGTATACTTGGCTCGAGTTTATTTGAGACATTTCTGGTTTAATGTATTCAGTCTCTGAACTCAATAGTACTCAGTTATCACTTTTCTGATTCTAACGGGGATGCGAGACAAATAATACCCTTATATAAAAATTCAATCGCTCATCTCCCCCACCAACGTCCCACCACTGCATATACGAACATACGAGGCCATTTAAGCCCTTTTGAACCGAGATCTATTTTATAGGAGTAATAAAAAGATAGTATTTTTGTGAAGTTTCATCGGGGGCTTTGTCAAATCTTATCTACCAGTAAGTCCAGCAGAGCGTTATCGCTCAGTTCACGTCTTATTTAAATTCTACCCAGGCCCCTTTCTTACGTGTTACGATATCCATGACTAAAATTTCTCAGAATGAAGCCGTCTTACCCTACTCGAAGCACAATAACAAACGTAGACATGAAAGGACTCAAGAAGGCTTTTCTGCTTTGGAGCACAATCTTCATCTCAAGTCTCGCTTGCTTTCATGAGGTATCTGCTTCTTCGGGTAAGTCGCAGATTTTTGACAAGTAATCATTTCCTGTTCAAAACGAACCGAAATTGTTTAAATACAAGCCACGGCACGCTCAATTAGAAGTTGAAAGTTGATGCGGAAAAGCCAACAGGCTCCTAACTAAAGGTAAAATAGGACCAGAAAATATCAATCGTACGATGTATTGATCGAAGGATAGTCATTGAGTTCAAATAGGAGTTCTGCCAAGAGTAGTGTAATTACAAGGCCTTCTGATTTACACCATTGTCCTCGAATGTATTTATACATCTTTTATTTATTCATAAACCTCTTTATCACACCATGGTCTGATTATTTAAACAAATGTTAGACGTTGCTTAACAAAGCCGATTTACATTATCAACCAAGTCGCTAATTTTAAATTACCCTGCTATACTCTCCCAACGACGCAGCACCACAGTTTCTTTAGAAACTTACCCCCTTTAATCTTCAATTTAGCTAAACCTTTAATCTGAACATTTATTTCTGTGAACAGTGTCAAAAGGACCGAAAGTTAGCAGTGCAGAGACATTTACTTAATTAAATGAGAGGTCATCGAGAAAGTCTGAAGTCCACTGATTGCGTAAAACCGTGCATTGTGTTAGACCTTGTGATAACCGGCCATACGTATTTTTGGGATTTCTTGTAACCTTGTCTTTTTTCGAAGGAAAGAGAAAGAAAGAAAGAAAAAAAACAACAATTCATTGCATGCAGAATTAAATGTTGCCATTGAAAATGAGGGCTAACGTCTGATAAAGATAAATAAAATAAACCATGATAATTTCAGTATCATTAGATTTGCTTTGCCATTAGCAGATTAAGTGAATTGATGAGATTCTGAGACAGACTCTGACCTTGAAAAACTGTCTTGTGTAGTAACGCAACTGCCATGAAAACAAAACGGAAAAAAAGTTCCGCATTCGTTTTTATCAAAAAAAATATTAGAAGATTTTGTGCTTTTGCATGTAACATCGCTTTTGACATAATAAATCAACTTTTGGAAATTTGAAATTCATGCTAATGTGAAATCTGGACTCCATTACTTCGTATCCAGTAATAAACAATAAGATAATGAGTATCGATCGAGAAAAGAGAATGTGCGCACAACATGTTTGTGGCTCTGAGTGCCCTCCTTCAGAGACGGAAGCAAAACTTATTTCTCTAATATTCAAGTTGGTTTCGTCTTTATTCTGTATTCAGGACTGGGGAGTCCTTTTGATAATATCATACTTGTTCAAAGAACATGCTTGATAAAGTGAACTAGGCTGAGCAACGCTTCACCAAAAACATTTAATATTTGAAAATCGAATTTTCTATTGTCATTCTTGTAAACGACTCAGTGGGAGGGAGAATGATGGCTCATAACCATTTTTCCCGTAGAAAAATATACATTCTCCTTATCATGGGCGAAAAAAACGGACTATGAGATCAGAAATATTAAGTTTATTGTGCTGTATATATATCTAGATATATATGTTTTTTTATTTTGGGGGAGAGAAAGGGTGAGATATGAGGAATATGGTAATTCCTCACCGGTACCAAATCTTTATTTGAGGTCGATTATCATTAATTCGCCACTGAATTTTTAAAAAAATGTATTATGGTTGTTTACGATTATTTTCCTTTGTTTGTTCTTTTTCATAGCAATGAGACATTCGTGCAACTCGCCATGTCTTCTAGTTGCAGATTTAGACCGCGTATTAGCTTTGGATTACGACAACAAGTCGATGTTTCCAGTCGTTTCCAATTTATCATTCGCTGTAGATGTAGACTTTCATTACAATAAGGGCTACATATTTTGGTGCGACTCTGAAGGTATCCAGCGCTCGAACATGGACGGCACAAACATCACAGTTATCCACAATGACAAATACTGTTATGGACTGGCAGTAGAGTGGGACTCATTGCAGCTGTATTGGACTGATTATTACAACAAAAGTATAATGGTATCAGACCTCGATGGAAATAACAAACGCATTGTTTTCTCTTCGCTCTCTAGACCAACCGATATCGTTCTTGATCCACACCAAGGGTAAGTACTGTATGAACGCGTGAAAGATCCCGCAAACCAATTATTAATTGGGGAGACTTTTTCAATGAAAATCTAAGGTTGAGATAAAATGGTGAAGTAAATTGCTTATAAATCTAATAACCGATGCAGCTGAGTGATTTTCTCCACAGATTGATGTTTTGGATTGATACTGGAAATATTTCTAAGGTGGAAAGATCAACTTTATACGGAACACAGCATGTCACTATAGCGGTACATAATGATACGTATTCAACTGGTATCACCCTTGATAGAAGAAGAAAGCTTATATTCTGGCTGAGTCAATGGAACTTGATAGAGTCCATAGACTATAGCGGCAACAATAGAAGGAAAGTTTTTCAAAGCGATGGACTCTACTTTTTTGGACTTACTTTTATCTCGTCTGATTTATTCGCCATTAACCGGTGGTTATCAGGGAGCGTTTACAGATTGAATACCTCCGATGGAAAAGTTAAAAGTAATGTAACCGTCACAATCTACTGGGGAGGCTTTTATGGTCTCGTTGCATATGATAGCTCCTTGCAGTTACCAGGTTTGCCATCAAATTATTCAAACTTGAACTGGTTATTCTGGAACTTGGAACTTTAATCCTGTACTTGAAGATATAAAAAATGATCCCGAGCAAAACTGAGCGACATTGACCACTCTCACAAACTAATTCATCGCTGGTTGTAAAATTACATTTGTATAATTCCACTGTCAGATTGGTATCAAAATAAAAAATGGACCCCTTTCGTTTTGAATGTCAAGGGAGAGGCAATAATTATAAACTACAAATCTAGACGTTGCAAATACCAATTAAAAGCTAAAACTCGACAAAATATCTTCCAGTTGGCTCGGAAGCTGACATACGCTTTAAAATGCAACTTAACACAGAGTTCTCACTAAAAACAGCATTTCGGCCATATTTTGTTTCTTACGAGAAATTGGTCAAAAATCGCAAATCAATTGGCTGCTGTCGAGTGCATTCCTCCTGTGTTTACGTTGGGTAGATTTTCACTTCAGTTTTCTTCCTTTTTCATTACAGTGATAACATGTCCAGTGCCTTCACCATCCAGTGGTACAAGAGCCATATGTCCGAGGAATGCAACAGTGCATCACAATGCAGTGTATTACAATACAACCTGTCAGTTCTCGTGTAAGGATGGCTATGTAGGATCTGGCTCTCAAGTAAGAAGATGTCAGCGCAATGGAACTTGGAGCGGACAGAATTATTCTTGTCAAAGTAGGTCCTCGAAGCTTGGTAATAGCCGATATGTAATATATTCCGTTTTATTTTGTAAATAACCACCGGCAAGTCAGTACATTCGGTGTCTGGTGGGAGTGAATATGAGTCGCTGCCGTGTACAAGTGTACCTCTGGTCAGCGGAGTTTTTACTGCAAAGGTGAAGCAGCATGGAACTCCTTGCCAGGGGAGTTGAGGAACTATGCGAGTTTAAATCGAAAAACAAACCACAGGCCCTTCTCTTTGACGAGTTTTAACTGTCCATACACTAACACTGAAATTATAATTATATGCGTTTTAATATTGATATTAGTACTTTTTAAGCTGTATTTTTTAGGGGCCGGTTATTAAGACAAATTGTAGCCGTTCTCATCGCCCAGAACTCAGCGACATATCCGAGACTTTAATAGAGACACTGGCGCTAAATTTAAAAGCTAATTTAAAAAAATGCACTCATCGGCACGAAGCGGATCGACAGACCTGTTCTCGAAGGCGGTGATGAGATCTTCCGGCAAATTTTCGGGTGGTTTCCATGTATTTTCATTCGAGGAGTAGTTCTGCCATTGAATTAAGTACTTCTCTCTGCCTCCTTTCACTCGTTTTGTGACAATACGCTCGACTTCGTAAACGCCCACAACAATTGGGCGGTATTTTGAATTACAGGCACGATCGCAAACATCATTGAATAATGTCGCGTAAAAGCCTGGCTGATGTCTCAAACGCTTGGACATGTTATCTCTCATTCAACTGAATGGATTGAATAAAACTTGACTCTTTCAGGTGTTTTGATTAATCAAAACGGATCCAAATATGAATAATTATCTAACTATTCCCTCAGGCGTAAGCCTGTTTTAGGTGGGTATTTGTTTGTTTTTCTCTTTGCCGTCCGGACTTCAAAGAGAAAAAAAATCTGGTAATGTGCTCTCGGTCATACTGTGCGTTAACCGGCACAGTAAAAGAGCTCGAGCGTGAAGTTTAAGTGAGTGACCCGTGCCTCGCACGCTCTTGTATACTCTATCGCACCTTGGGGTTTACTTTACGCATCCAACCGTTTGATTGACAGCAGCTGAAATCCGCAAAGAGACTCAAGTATTCCCAAAGCTAAATCTGTTGGCCAATATAGCCGACTAGTTCTAGACCTGCAAATTATGCCGCGCGTTGATAAATTGGGCTCTGTAAGTTCATGTCGCGAGAAACATTAGCTTTCTAGGCGATGTTTAACAAAGCTGCGTTCTAAACTATCTTGAATTTAGCTGAATCTTTTATCTGAACATTCATTACTGCGAATAGCGTCAGGAGGCCGAAAGCAAAGAGTTTCTTTTTCCTTAGAGCTATCTAGGGCTCTTCTTAGGGGAGTGTTTGAATAAAAGCATACAAGTATATATAGGAACGTGGTAAAATGGTCGAGCGCTTCTAAGGAACCATGAGAATTCTCCAATAAGTCTGCGTAAATGAATGGTGACATCATTATTCAACGAGTTTGCGAACACCGGTTGATTTTGAAAGAAGCAAGTGTTTTTTACTTTCGATTTCTTGATAGCAAATTCCAGTGTATAAGAGCCATTGATTTTAGGGTAGTCTGCCCAAATTTTGTTTTCATCTTTAGGAGGTCTAGGAAAGTCTCTAAGGGGATCGAAATGGTCTTTGTAAACGTATTCCTAGGTTATTTAGTATTATCAACTCCTTACCTGCATGCGAAGGTAAATGTAAATTGGAAAAGAGAAATTTAGTTTAAATGTTTTATTTAATCAACATTTTTATTTGGCTTCTTGCTTTTGAAAGTTAATAAAACTTTTAATTATGTTATAACCATATTGATTATTATCTATGTGTGTTGTATTGCAGAGATCACATGTCCAGTATTATCTCCACCAACTCATGGAACAAGATATGGATGTCCAGGAAATGTGCCATTATATAACGGTACTGTCTGTCGGTTCACGTGTAATAATGGCTATGTAGGATCAGGATCTCAAGTCAGAAGGTGTCAGTACGATGGAACTTGGAGTGGACAGAACTTCGTTTGTAAAAGTAGGTTCCCAAAGTTTATTAGATAGAAAGAGTAATGTTCATACGTCAAAACGAACAAGAAGTCATTGATATCTGAATGTCCAAAATGTTAGTTTATCTCAGCTTCTTTCTATTTTTTAGTCATCAACTGTACATCGCTGATGATAAATTGCATTTGCAGCTCAGTTCTAACACAGGGCTGAGTCTAAGAACTCGGCCAACCAATATAATTATTCCAGTTCATTTAGTTCTCCTACACGCGCAGTCAATAACCATTGAGTTTTTCTAAAACCAAAAAGAGAGGTAATTCTTCAGTCGATAGTTGATGAAATGCGAGAGTTATGAAACTCCAAACTATCCCCCTGTTATACCTGATTGTGAGCTTTTTAAAATCATGTTTATTTGACACTGTTCTAGTTTTGATTCTGGTCTTACTATTTTGTTTTCCCCTTATATACATTTATAAAAGACACTACATGCCGTGTTATGCGTAAATTTTTTAGCCGAGGATCGGAGAACCATTTCTACCCGACATCAAATGTCTCCGTGGCTTCCGCTGAACTTATTTCTCTCTATAGTCAGAGTTAAATGCCAGGTTGTGATATACTCGAAAGATGAGTGTCATGCTAATTATAGTCGGATTTCTTCTTCAGCTTTAAAGTGCCCGACCTTGTCATTACTGAGGAATGGTGTCCTCTTCGGATGTAACACCAATAATACAGAGATGTTATATGACACTGAATGCAGGTTCTTTTGTAAGGAAGGATCTGAAGCGATTGGTGCAACAATAAAGAGGTGTGCTGAAAATGGAACGTGGATTGGACCAGACCTTGTTTGTCCAGGTACGAGAGATGCGAACTATTGGTACTATCAAAATGTTATGGAATTTAAGTGGTTTTCGCTAATTTTTACTTGTTGTATTCATTGCGTCGCATGACGAATCGATTCGAGATCGTCAGTGGTCTTTACGCCCAACGTTTGCAGCGATTGTAGACCGCGATAGTCGACCTAACATCGTTGCACCGTTAATACTCGGGGCCACGCGGTTGATCTCATATTTCTGTACATGGATCAATCAATGTACGGTGAAAGAGATCTAATAACTTGACGACCCTGGATCACGAATCGATACAGGGTCGTCAATAGTCTTCATAAGGTTGAAGCAGTTGTAGATCATGACAATCAATCAAACAACATCGCAGCAATCTTATGTATGGGGCCTGTCAGATGATTCCATGCTTCTGCGCATCAATCACTCGATTTATAATCGTAGAATGGATCTTCACTGTCTTTATGTGTTTAAGACTCAGTGACGATACATTTGCCATTATCTAGCTGTATTCAATTTTATCAATGATATCAATATTGAACAAGCGGCGACATGTGCAGGTTCGCTATATTACACTTCTACTATAAATTCTAACTTTCTTGAGGGCTTGGTCCTGTTTACATCTTAAGCCGTTGTTACGATATCGATATTGATTTGATAGGTATGAATCATAAAGTCTTAAATTTATACAGAATAGCTATGAACTCACTGTAGATTGCCAACGATTGAGCTGAAAAAAATACTTACAAGCACGAGGTTTACGTTATGATGATGATGATGATAGCTTGTCTCGGTTATAGATCCAACGAGTGGTAAGTACACAATGATACAATATCTGCAGATCAATATTTGAAAACTCTCTACATAGCTTGAAGGTTTGCATACTCATGTAGATGTTTAGGAATAAGAGTTATCATCTTAACAAGCCAAGATTTCCCGAGGTGCAAATACGAGAAGCTTGAGTATCGTGAGGGGGAAAATATTGTTTCAGTACACCTGAACGTAAAGAAGCTGTATACTCCAAACTAGCCATGCGAAATGCGTTCTGTTTACTTTCACTTACTCTCGATAATATCTCCTAACTCTCCTTCAGGTCTTTCAGCAGGGACTGTGCTGGGTGAGTCCTTCCTCGAGCAGACGATTCAGGACCGCCTACAATATTCTGAATGAGACATATAACCCTTTCCCACACACCCTATCCTGGCTGCCGTCTGCATACTTTTTCCGCAGGCCTACCCTGACTTATCGCGCCTGGCTTGTCCTGTTCACAAAGTTCAAGGCATCTTCCAGAAAGCCTGCGAACCTGGGTATAATACAACGCTGAGAGGCCATATCTGACTACATCACTGAGGAGAAGACTACGGAAAGCTATGTTATGAGTTAAAGCATTAAGCTTGCTATTATGAGCGTCGGAGTTCTTCATTGTTGCTGATGGACTGCATTAAATAATGTTCAACGCAAGACAAAGAGTGAGAAAAACGTTCAATGGCAAAACTTAAGGAGCTTGCACAAACTAAGCACTTTACATGATGAAATAAAAATAATAACAAAAAAAGTAAGCGTAAATGTTTCTCAAAGTCGAAGGCAATACATCGAAAGGCGCGATTTTCATATATAACTATAGCAACAGTGATCTTCATGCGTGTGAAGATATCATATTTTCGCGCGAAATAAAGATCTCGTGTTAAAAGCTAGTTCTTTTGTTTTAGCGTGCGAGCGTGCTGTGTGCGTGCGTTCACCTTATTCCCTGAATCCCGAAGAGGTTCACATATAATAAATTTTGAGTTCCATTGTTGACGAAGACACATGTTGTTAATTTGTCACAAATGCTGAACGAAGGAAAAATCTGAGTCCGCTTTGACAAATCGAACCACAGACCTTCGGAATTCACGGTTCGATGATCTACCATGGAGCTTAAAGAGCACTCGTTGATGACCAAGGCCGTATACTTGGCTCGAGTTTATTTGAGACATTTCTGGTTTAATGTATTCAGTCTCTGAACTCTATAGTACTCAGTTATCGCTTTTCTGATTCTAACGGGGATGCGAGACAAATAATACCCATATATAAAAATTCAATCGCCCACCTCCCCCACCCACGTCCCACCACAGCATATACGAACATACGAGGCCATTTAAGCCCTTTTGAACCGAGATCTATTTTATGGGAGGAATTAAAAAGATAGTATTTTTGTGAAGTTTCATCGGGGGCTTTGTCAAATCTTATCTACCAGTAAGTCCAGCAGAGCGTTATCGCCCAGTTCACCTCCTATTTAAATTCTATCCAGGCCCCTCTCTTACGTGTTACGATATCCATGACTAAAATTTCTCAGAATGAAGCCGTCTTACCCTACTCGGCGCACAGTAACAAACATAGACATGAAAAGACTCAAGAAGGCTTTTCTGCTTTGGAGCACAATCTTCATCTCAACTCTCGCTTGCTTTCAGGAGGTATCTGCTTCTTCAGGTTAGCCACAGATTTTTGACAAGTAATCATTTCCTGTTCAAAACGAACCGAAATTGTTTAAATACAAGCCATGGCACGCTCAATTAGAAGTTGAAAGTTGATGCGGAAAAGCCAACAGGCTCCTAACTAAAGGTAAAATAGGACCAGAAAATATCAATCGTACGATGTATTGATCGAAAGATTACCAGTCATTGAGTTCAAATAGGAGTTATGCCAAGAGTAGTGTAATTACAAGGCCTTCTGATTTACACCATTGTCCTCGAATGTATTTATACATCTTTTATTTATTCATAAACCCCTTTATCACAAAATGGTCTGATTATTTAAACAAAGGTTAGACGTTGCTTAACAAAGCCGCGTCCTAAACAATTTCAAACTCTTTACGGTGGCCAATTTACATTATCAACCAAGTCGCTAATTTTAAATTACCCTGCTATACTCTCCCAACGACGCAGCACCACAGTTTTTTTAGAAACTTACCCCCTTTAATCTTCAATTTAGCTAAACCTTTAATCTGAACATTTATTTCTGTGAACAGTGTCAAAAGGACCGAAAGCTAGCAGTGCAGAGACATTTATTTAATTAAATGAGAGGTCATCGAGAAAGTCTGAAGTCCACTGATTGCGTAAAACCGTGCATTGTGTTAGACCTCGTGATAACAACCGGCCCCACGTATTTTTGGGATTTCTTGTAACCTTGTCTTTTTTCGAAGGAAAGAGACATCTGTACATGGAGTATTATAATATAATGCAATAATGACAAAAATAATAGAAACTTTCGGAATCTGTTCTTCACTGTTATTATGCTTCCGACCCCGATCGAGTTCACTCATTTAGGCTCTGTGCCTCAAAAAAGAAAAAAAACCATATCGGCAATTAAAACAAAACTTAGTAAAGACAGATTCCAACGGAGCCCTGTTGTAAAGAAGTCGGTCTTATTCGAAATTAATGCATACTAATAATTTTTTAACAACCGTGGAATTTGATCGTTGCGTTACAGAAGGTCTTTACTTTCCAATATTTGCGGTATGAAAACAAAGTGAGATGTAAAAGAAAGAAAAAAAACAACAATTCATTGCATGCAGAATTAAATGTTGCCATTGAAAATGAGGGCTAAAGTCTGATAAAGATAAATAAAATAAACCATGATAATTTCAGTATCATTAGATTTGCTTTGCCATTAGCAGATTAAGTGAATTGATGAGATTCTGAGACAGACTCTGACCTTGAAAAACTGTCTTGTGTAGTAACGCAACTGCCATGAAAACAAAACGGAAAAAAAGTTCCGCATTCGTTTTTATCAAAAAAAATATTAGAAGATTTTGTGCTTTTGCATGTAACATCGCTTTTGACATAATAAATCAACTTTTGGAAATTTGAAATTCGTGCTAATGTGAAATCTGGACTCCATTACTTCGTATCCAGTAATAAACAATAAGATAATGAGTATCGATCGAGAAAAGAGAATGTGCGCACAACATGTTTGTGGCTCTGAGTGCCCTCCTTCAGAGACGGAAGCAAAACTTATTTCTCTAATATTCAATTTGGTTTCGTCTTTATTCTGTATTCAGGACTGGGGAGTCCTTTTGATAATATCATACTTGTTCAAAGAACATGCTTGATAAAGTGAACTAGGCTGAGCAACGCTTCACCAAAAACATTTAATATTTGAAAATCGAATTTGCTATTGTCATTCTTGTAAACGACTCAGTGGGAGGGAGAATGATGGCTCATAACCATTTTTCCCGTAGAAAATGTACATTCCCCTTATCATGGACAAAAAAAACGGACTATGAGAACAGAAATATTAAGTTTATTGTGCTGTATATATATCTAGATATATATATATATATATTTTTTTTTTTTGGGGGAGAAAGGGTGAGATATGAGGAATATGGTAACTCCTCACCGGTACCAAATCTTTATTTGAGGTCGATCGTCATGAATTCACCACTGAATTTTTAAAAAAATGTATTATGGTTGTTTACGATTATTTTCCTTTGTTTGTTCTTTTTCATAGCAATGAGGCATTCGTGCAACTCGCCATGTCTTCTGGTTGCAAATGTAGACCGCGTATTAGCTTTGGATTACGACAACAAGTCGATATTTCCAGTCGTTTCCAATTTATCATCAGCTATAGATGTAGACTTTCATTACAATAAGGGCTACATATTTTGGTGCAACTTTCTAAGTATCCAGCGCTCGAATATGGACGGCACAAACATCACCGTTATTCACAATGAGACTTCCTGTTATGGTTTGGCAGTAGAGTGGGACTCCTTGCAGCTGTATTGGACCGGTTATCACAACAAAACTATAATGGTATCAGACCTCGATGGAAATAACAAACGCATTGTTTTCACTTCGCTCTCTGGACCAACCGATATCGTTCTTGATCCATACCAAGGGTAAGTACTTTATGAAAGCGTGGAAGATCCCGCAAACCAATTATAAGTTAGTGGAGACTTTTTCAATGAAAATCTAAGGTTGAGATAAAATGGTGAAGTAAATTGCTTATAAATCTAATAACCGATGCAGCTGAGTGATTTTCTCCACAGATTGATGTTTTGGATTGATACTGGAAATATTTCTAAGGTGGAAAGATCAACTTTATACGGAACACAGCATGTCACTATAGCGGTACATAATGTTACGTATTCAACTGGTATCACCCTTGATAGAAGAAGAAAGCTTATATTCTGGCTGAGTCAATGGAACTTGATAGAGTCCATAGACTATAGTGGCAACAATAGAAGGAAAGTTTTTCAAAGAGATGGACTCAACTTTTTTGGACTTACTTTTATCTCGTCTGATTTATTCGCCACTAACCGGTGGTGGTTACCAAGGAGCGTTTACAGACTGAATCCCTCCGATGGAAAAGTTAAAAGTAATGTAACCGTCACAAGCTGGGGAGGCTTTTATGGTCTCGTTGCATATGATAGCTCCTTGCAGTTACCAGGTTTGTCATCAAATTATTCAAACTTGAACTGGTTATTCTGGAACTTGGAACTTTAATCCTGTGTTTGAAGATATAAAAAATGATCCCGAGCAAAACTGAGCGACATTGACCACTCTCACAAATTAATTCATTGCTGTATGTAAGTGGTTGTAAAATTACATTTGTATAATTCCACTGTCAGATTGGTATCAAAATAAAAAATGGACCCCTTTCGTTTTGAATGTCAAGGGAGAGGCAATAATTATAAACTACAAATCTAGACGTTGCAAATACCAATTAAAAGCTAAAACTCGACAAAATATCTTCCAGTTGGCTCGGAAGCTGACATACGCTTTAAAATGCAACTTGACACAGAGTTCTCACTAAAAACAGCATTTTGACCATATTTTGTTTCTTACCAGAAATTGGTCAAAAATCGAAAATCAATTGGCTGCTGTCGAGTGCATTCCTCCTGTGTTTACGTTGGGTAGATTTTCACTTGAGTTTTGTTCCTTTTTCATTACAGTGATAACATGTCCAGTGCCTTCACCAACCAGTGGTACAAGAGCCATATGTCCGAGGAATGCAACAGTGCATCGCAATGCAGTGTATTACGATACAACCTGTCAGTTCTCGTGTGAGAATGGCTATATAGGATCTGGCTCTCAAGTAAGAAGATGTCAGCGCAATGGAACTTGGAGTGGACAGAATTACTCTTGTCAAAGTAGGTCCTCGAAGCTTGGTAATGACCGATATGTAATATATTCCGTTTTATTTTGTAAATAACCACCGGCAGGTCAGTATATTCGGTGTCTGGTGGGAGTGAATATGAGTCGCTGCCGTGTACAAGTGTACCTCTAGTCAGCAGAGTTTTTACTGCAAAGGTGAAGCAGCATGGAACTCTTTGCCAGGGGAGTTGAGGAACTATGCGACTTTTAATCGAAAAACAAACTACAGGCCCTTCTCTTTGACGAGTTTTAACTGTCCATACACTAACACTGAAATTAGACTCTTAAGTAGTTTTAAGAATTATAATTATATGCGTTTTAATATTGATATTAGTACTTTATAAGCTGTATTTTCTAGGGGCCGGTTATTAAGACAAAGTTTAGCCGTTCTCATCGCCCAGAACTCAGCGACATATCCGGGACTTTAATTGAGACGCTGGCGCTAAATTTAAAAGCTAATAAAAAAAATGCATTCATCGGCACGAAGCGGATAGACAGACCTGTTCTCGAAGGCGGTGATGAGATCTTCCGGCAAATTTTCGGGTGGTTCCCATGTATTTTCATTCGAGGAGTAGTTCTGCCATTGAATTAAGTACTTCTCTCTGCCTCCTTTCACTCGTTTTGCGACAATACGCTCGACTTCGTAAACGCCCACAACAATTGGGCGGTATTTTGAATTACAAGCACGATCGCAAACATCATTGAATAATGTCGCGTAAAAGCCTGGCTGATGTCTCAAATGCTTGAACATGTTATCTCTCATTCAACTGAATGGATTGAATAAAACTTGACTCTTTCAGGTGTTTTGATTAATCAAAACGGATCCAAATATGAATAATTATCTAACTATTCCCTCAGGCGTAAGCCTGTTTTAGGTGGGTATTTGTTTGTTTTTCTCTTTGCCGTCCGGACTTCAAAGAGAAAAATAATCCGGTAATATGCTCTCGGTCATACTGTGCGTTAACCGGCACAGTAAAAGAGCTCGAGCGTGAAGTTCAAGTGAGTGACCCGTGCCTCGCACGCTCTTGTAAACTCTATCGCACCTTGGGATTTACTTCACGCATCCAACCGTTTGATTGACAGCAGCTGAAATCTGCAAAGAGACTCAAGTATTCCCAAAGCTAAATCTGTTGGCCACTATAGCCGACTAGTTCTAGACCTGCAAATTATGCCGCGCGTTGATAAATTGGGCACTGTAAGTTCATGTCGCGAGAAACATTAGCTTTCTAGGCGATGTTTAACAAAACTGCGTTCTAAACTATCTTGAATTTAGCTGAATCTTTTATCTGAACATTCATTACTGCGAATAGCGTTAGGAGGCCGAAAGCAAAGAGTTTCTTCTTTCCTTAGAGCTATCTAGGACTCTTCTTAGGGGAGTGTTTGAATAAAAGCATACAAGTACATATAGGAATGTGGTAAAATGGTCGAGCGCTTCTAAGGAACCATGAGAATTCTCCAATAAGTCTTCTGCGTAAATGAATGGTGACGTCATTATTCAACGAGTTTGCGAACACCGATTGATTTTGAAAGAAGCAAGTGTTTTTTACTTTCGATTTCTTGATAGCAAATTCCAGTGCATGAGAGCCATTGATTTTAGGGTAGTCTGCCCAAATTTTGTTTTCATCTTTAGGAGGTCTAGGAAAGTCTCTAAGGGGATCGAAATGGTCTTTGTAAACGTATTCCTAGGCTATTTAGTATTATCAACTCCTTACCTGCATGCGAAGGTAAATGTAAATTGGAAAAGAAAAATTTAGTTTAAATGTTTTATTTAATGAACATTTTTATTTGGCTTCTTGCTTTTGAAAGTTAATAAAACTTTTAATTATGTTATAACCATATTGATTATTATCTATGTGTGTTGTATTGCAGAGATCACATGTCCAGTATTGTCTCCACCAACTCATGGAACAAGATATGGATGTCCAGGAAATTTGCCATTATATAACGGTACCGTCTGTCGGTTCACGTGTAATAATGGCTATGTAGGATCAGGATCTCAAGTCAGAAGGTGTCAGTACGATGGAACTTGGAGTGGACAGAACTTCGTTTGTAAAAGTAGGTTCCCGAAGTTTATCAGATAGAAAGAGTAATGTTCATACGTTAAAACGAACAAGAAGTCATTGATATCTGAATGCGCAAAATGTTAGTTTCTTTTAGCTTCTTTCTATTTTTTAGACATCAACTGTACATCGCTGATGATAAATTGCATTTGCAGCTCAGTTCTAACACAGGGCTGAGTCTAAGAACTCGGCCAACCAATATAATTATTCCAGTTCATTTAGCTCTCCCACACGCGCAGTCAATAACCACTGAGTTTTTCTAAAACCAAAAAGAGAGGTAAATCTTCAGTCGATAATTGATGAAATGCGAGAGTTATGAAACTCCAAACTATCCCCTTGTTATACCTGATTGTGAGCTTTTTAAAATCATGTTTATTTGACACTGTTCTAGTTTTGATTTTGGTCTTACTATTTTGTTTGCCTCATATACATTTATAAAAGACACTACATTCCGTGTTAAGCGTAAATTTTTTAGCCGAGGATCGGAGAACCATTTCTACCCGACATCAAATGTCTGCGTAGCTTCCGCTGAACTTATTTCTCTCTATAGTCAGAATTAAATGCCAGGTTGTGATGTACTCGAAAGATGAGTGTCATGCTAATTATAATCGGATTTCTCCTTCAGCTTTAAAGTGCCCGACCTTGTCATTACCGAGGAATGGTGTCCTCTTGGGATGTAACACCAATAACACAGAGATGTTATTTGACACTGAATGCAGGTTCTTTTGTAAGGAAGGATCTGAAGCGATTGGTGCAACAATAAAGAGGTGTGCTGAAAATGGAACGTGGATTGGACCAGACCTTGTTTGTCCAGGTACGAGAGATGCGAACTATTGGTACTATCAAAATGTTATGGAATTTAAGTGGTTTTCGCTAGTTTTTACTTGTTGTATTCATTGCGTCGCATGACGAATCGATTCGAGATCGTCAGTGGTCTTTCCGCCCAACGCTTGCAGCGATTGTAGATCGCGATAGTCGACCTAACATCGTTGCATCCGTTAATTCTCGGGGCCACGCGGTTGATCTCATATTTCTGTACATGGAGCAATGAATGTACGGTGAAAGAGATCTAATAACTTGACGACCCTGGATCACGAATCGATACAGGGTCGTCGATAGTCTTCATAAGGCTGAAGCAGTTGTAGTTCATGACAATCAATCAAACAACATCGCAACAGTCTTATGTATGGGTTCTGTCAGCTGATCGTGTGCATCTGCACATATATCACTCGATTTACAATCGCGTAATGGATCGTCTCTGTCTTTATGTGTTTAAGACTCAGTGACGATACATTTGCCATTACCCCGCCGTATTCAATCTTCTCAATGATATCAATATTGAATAAGCGGCAGCATGTGCAGGTTCGCTATATTACACTTCTACTATAAATTCTAACTTTCTTGAGGGCTTGGTCGTGTTTACATCTTAAGCCGTTGTTACGATATCGCTGTTGATTTGATAGGTATGAATCATAAAGTCTTAAATTTATACAGAATAGCTATGAACTCACTGTAGATTGCCAACGATTGAGCTGAAAAAAACACTTACAAGTACGAGATTTACGTTATGATGATGATGATGATGATAGCTTGTCTCGGTTATAGATCTAACGAGTGGTAAGTACACAATGATACAATATGATGTTTGAAAACTCTCTACAGAGCTTGAAGGTTTGCATACTCATGTAGATGTTTAGGAATAATAGTTATCATCTTAACAAGCCAAGATTTCTCGAGGTGCTAATACGAGAAGCTTGATTATCGTGAGGGGGAAAATATTGTTTCAGTACACCTGAACGTAAAGAAGCTGTATGCTCCAAATTAGCCATGCCAAATGCGTTCTGTTTACTTTCACTTGCTCTCGATAATATCTCCTAACTCTCCTTCAGGTCTTTCAGCAGGGACTGTGCTGGGTGGGTCCTTTCTCAAGCAGACGATTCAGGACCGCCTACAATATTCTGAATGAGACATATAACCCTTTCCCACACACCCTACCCCGGCTGCCGTCTGCATGCTTTTTCCTCAGGTCCTCGCCTACCCTGACTTATCGCACCTGGCTTGTACTGTTCACAAAGTTCAAGGCATATTCCAGAAAGCCTGCGAACCTGGGTATAATACAACGCTGAGAGGCCATATCTGACTACATCACTGAGGAGAAGACTACGGAAAGCTATGTTATGAGTTAAAGCATTAAGCTCGCTATTATGAGCGTCGGAGTTCTTCATTGTTGCTGATGGACTGCAGTAAATAATGTTCAACGCAAGACAAAGAGTGAGAAAAACGTTCAATGGCAAAACTTAAGAAGCTTGCACAAACTAAGCACTTAACATGATGAAATAAAAAATAATAACAAAAAAAGTAAGCGTAAATGTTTCTCAAAGTCGAAGGCAATACATCGAAAGGCGCGATTTTCATATATAACTATAGCAACAGTGATCTTCAAGCATGTGAAGATATCATATATTCGTGCGAAATAAAGATCTCGTGTTAAAAGCTAGTTCTTTTGTTTTAGCGTGCGAGCGTGCCGTGTGCGTACGTTCCCCTTATTCCCTGAATCCCGCGGAGGGTCACATATAATAAATTTTGAGTTCCATTGTTGACGAAGACACATGTTGTTAATTTGTCACAAATGCTGAACGAAGGAAAAGTCTGAGTTCGCTTTGACAAATCGAACCACAGACCTTCGGAATTCACGGTTCGATGATCTACCATGGAGCTTAAAGAGCACTCGTTGATGACCAAAGCCGTATACTTGGCTCGAGTTTATTTGAGACATTTCTGGTTTAATGTATTCAGTCTCTGAACTCAATATTACTTAGTTATCGCTTTTCTGATTCTAACGGGGATGCGAGACAAATAATACCCATATATAAAAATTCAATCGCCCATGCTCCCCGCTAACGTCCCACCACTGCATATACGAACATACGAGGCCATTTGAGCCCTTTTGAACCGAGATCTATTTTATAGGAGTAATGAAAAAGATAGTATTTTTGTGAAGTTTCATCGGGGTCTTTGTCAAATCTTATCTACCAGTAAGTCCAGCAGAGCGTTATCGCCCAGTTTACGTCCTATTTAAATTCTACCCAGGCCCCTCTCTTACGTGTTACGATATCCATGACTAAAATTTCTCAGAATGAAGCCGTCTTACCCTACTCGGCGCACAATAACAAAGGTAGACATGAAAGAACTCAAGAAGGCTTTTCTGCTTTGGAGCACAATCTTCATCTCAAGTCTCGCTTGCTTTCAGGAGGTATCTGCTTCTTTGGGTAAGTCACAGATTTTTGACAAGTAATCATTTCCTGTTCAAAACGAACCGAAATTGTTTAAATACAAGCCATGGCACGCTCAATTAGAAGTTGAAAGTTGATGCGGAAAAGCCAACAGGCTCCTAACTAAAGGTAAAATAGGACCAGAAAAAATCAATTGACGATGTATTGATCGAAAGATTACCAGTCATTGAGTTCAAATAGGAGTTATGCCAAGAGTAGTGTAATTACAAGGCCTTCTGATTTACACCATTGTCCTCGAACGTATTTCTACATCTTTTTATTTATTCATAAACCTCTTTATGACACCATAGTCTGATTATTTAAACAAAGGTTAGACGTTGCTTAACAAAGCCGCGTCCTAAACAATTTCAAACTCTTTACGGTGGCCAATTTACATTATCAACCAAGTCGCTAATTTTAAATTACCCTGCTATACTCTCCCAACGACGCAGCACCACAGTTTCTTTAGAATCTTAACCCCTTTAATCTTCAATTTAGCTAAACCTTTAATCTGAACATTTATTTCTGTGAACAGTGTCAAAAGGACCGAATGCTAGCAGTGCAGAGACATTTACTTAATTAAATGAGAGGTCATCGAGAAAGTCTGAAGTCCACTGATTGCGTAAAACCGTGCATTGTGTTAGACCTCGTGATAACAACCGGCCATACGTATTTTTCGGATTTCTTGTAACATTTTCTTTTTTCGAAGGAAAGAGAAAGAAAGAAAGAAAAAAAAACAACAATTCATTGCATGCAGAATTAAATGTTGCCATTGAAAATGAGGGCTAACGTCTGATAAAGATAAATAAAATAAACCATGATAATTTCAGTATCATTAGATTTGCTTTGCCATTAGCAGATTAAGTGAATTGATGAGATTCTGAGACAGACTTTGACCTTGAAAAACTGTCTTGTGTAGTAACGCAACTGCCATGAAAACAAAACGGAAAAAAGTTCCGCATTCGTTTTTATCAAAAAAAATATTAGAAGATTTTGTGCTTTTGCATGTAACATCGCTTTTGACATAATAAATCAACTTTTGGAAATTTGAAATTCGTGCTAATGTGAAATCTGGACTCCATTACTTCGTATCCAGTAATAAACAATCAGATAATGAGTATCGATCGAGAGAAGAGAATGTGCGCACAACATGTTTGTGCCTCTGAGTGCCCTCCTTCAGAGACGGAAGCAAAACTTATTTCTCTAATATTCAAGTTGGTTTCGTCTTTATTCTGTATTCAGGACTGGGAAGTCCTTTTGATAATATCATATTTGTTCAAAGACCACGCTTGATAAAGTGAACTAGGCTGAGCAACGCTTCACCAAAACATTTAATATTTTGAAAATCGAATTTTCTATTGTCGTTCTTCTAAACGACTCAGCGGGAGAGAAAATGATGGCTCATATCCATTTTTCCCGTAGAAAAATGTACATTCCCCTTATCATGGGCGAAAAAAACGGACTATGAGATCAGAAATATTAAGTATATTGTGCTGCATATATATCTAGATATATATGTATTTTTTTTTTTTGGGGGAGAAAGGGTGAGATATGAGGAATATGGTAATTCCTCACCGGTACCAAATCTTTATTTGAGGTCGATTATCATTAATTCGCCACTGAAATTTTAAAAAAATGTATTATGGTTGTTTACGATTATTTTCCTTTGTTTGTTCTTTTTCATAGCAATGAGACATTCGTGCAACTCGCCATGTCTTCTGGTTGCAAATTTTGACCGCGTATTAGCTTTGGATTACGACAACAAGTCGATATTTCCAGTCGTTTCCAATTTATCATTCGCTGTAGATGTAGACTTTCATTACAAAAAGGGCTACATATTTTGGTGCGAATCTGAAAGTATCCAGCGCTCGAACATGGACGGCACAAACATCACAGTTATCCACAATGACACATACTGTTATGGACTGGCAGTAGAGTGGGACTCATTGCAGCTGTATTGGACTGATTATTACAACAAAAGTATAATGGTATCAGACCTCGATGGAAATAACAAACGCATTGTTTTCTCTTCGCTCTCTGGACCAAGCGATATCGTTCTTGATCCACACCAAGGGTAAGTACTGTATGAACGCGTGAAAGATCCCGCAAACCAATTATTAATTGGGGAGACTTTTTCAATGAAAATCTAAGGTTGAGATAAAATGGTGTATTAAATTGCTTATAAATCTAATAACCGATGCAGCTGAGTGATTTTCTCCACAGATTGATGTTTTGGATTGATAGGGGAAATATTTCTAAGGTGGAAAGATCTACTTTATACGGAACACAGCGTGTCACTATAGCGGTACATAATGTTACGTATTCAACTGGTATCACTCTTGATAGAAGAAGAAAGCTTATATTCTGGCTGAGTCAATGGAACTTGATAGAGTCCATAGACTATAGTGGCAACAATAGAAGGAAAGTTTTTCAAAGAGATGGAGTCACCTTTTTTGGACTTACTTTCATCTCGTCTGACTTATTCGCCACTAACCAGCGGTTATCAGGGAGCGTTTACAGACTGAATACCTCCGATGGAAAAGTTAAAAGTAATGTAACCGTCACAAGCTACTGGGGAGTCTTTTTTGGTCTCGTTGCATATGATAGCGCCTTGCAGTTACCAGGTTTGCCATCAAATTATTCAAACTTGAACTGGTTTTTCTGGAACTTGGAACTTTAATCCTGTGATTGAAGACTTTGGCAGTCTAGTCCGATATAAACAATGATCCCAAGCAAAAGCGACATTGACCACTTTCGCTAATTACTTCATTGCTGTATGAAAGCGGTTGTAAAATTACATTTGTATAATTCCACCGTCAGATTAGTATCAAAAGAGACTAATGGACCCCTTTCGTTTTGAATGTAAATTAAGAGGCAGTAATTATAAACTACAAATCTAGAAGTTGTTAATATCAGTTAAAAACTAAAACTCGACAAAATATCTCCCAGTTGGCTCGGAAGCTGACATACGCTTTAAAATGCAACTTGACACAGAGTTCTCACTAAAAACAGCGTTTCGGCCATATTTTGTTTCTTACCAAACATTGGTCAAAAATCGCAAATCAATTGGCTGCTGTCGAGTACATTCCTCCTGTGTGTTCACGTTGGGTAGATTTTCATTTGAGTTTTGTTCCTTTTTCATCACAGTGGTTACTTGTCCAGTGCCTTCACCATCCAGTGGTACAAGAGCCACATGTCCGAGGAATGCAACAGTGCATCACAATGCAGTGTATTACAATACAACCTGTCAGTTCTCGTGTGAGGATGGCTATGTAGGATCTGGCTCTCAAGTAAGAAGATGTCAGCGCAATGGAACTTGGAGTGGACAGAATTACTCTTGTCAAAGTAGGTCCTCGAAGCTTGGTAATGACCGATATGTAATATATTCCGTTTTATTTTGTAAATAACCACCGGCAGGTCAGTATATTCGGTGTCTGGTGGGAGTGAATATGAGTCGCTGCCGTGTACAAGTGTACCTCTGGTCAGCGGAGTTTTTACTGCAAAGGTGAAGCAGCATGGAACTCCTTGCCAGGGGAGTTGAGGAACTATGCGAGTTTAAATCGAAAAACAAACCACAGGCCCTTCTCTTTGACGAGTTTTAACTGTCCATACACTAACACTGAAATTATAATTATATGCGTTTTAATATTGATATTAGTACTTTTTAAGCTGTATTTTTTAGGGGCCGGTTATTAAGACAAATTGTAGCCGTTCTCATCGCCCAGAACTCAGCGACATATCCGAGACTTTAATAGAGACACTGGCGCTAAATTTAAAAGCTAATTTAAAAAAATGCACTCATCGGCACGAAGCGGATCGACAGACCTGTTCTCGAAGGCGGTGATGAGATCTTCCGGCAAATTTTCGGGTGGTTTCCATGTATTTTCATTCGAGGAGTAGTTCTGCCATTGAATTAAGTACTTCTCTCTGCCTCCTTTCACTCGTTTTGTGACAATACGCTCGACTTCGTAAACGCCCACAACAATTGGGCGGTATTTTGAATTACAGGCACGATCGCAAACATCATTGAATAATGTCGCGTAAAAGCCTGGCTGATGTCTCAAACGCTTGGACATGTTATCTCTCATTCAACTGAATGGATTGAATAAAACTTGACTCTTTCAGGTGTTTTGATTAATCAAAACGGATCCAAATATGAATAATTATCTAACTATTCCCTCAGGCGTAAGCCTGTTTTAGGTGGGTATTTGTTTGTTTTTCTCTTTGCCGTCCGGACTTCAAAGAGAAAAAAAATCCGGTAATGTGCTCTCGGTCATACTGTGCGTTAACCGGCACAGTAAAAGAGCTCGAGCGTGAAGTTCAAGTGAGTGACCCGTGCCTCGCACGCTCTTGTATACTCTATCGCACCTTGGGGTTTACTTTACGCATCCAACCGTTTGATTGACAGCAGCTGAAATCCGCAAAGAGACTCAAGTATTCCCAAAGCTAAATCTGTTGGCCAATATAGCCGACTAGTTCTAGACTTGCAAATTATGCCGCGCGTTGATAAATTGGGCACTGTAAGTTCATGTCGCGAGAAACATTAGCTTTCTAGGCGATGTTTAACAAAGCTGCGTTCTAAACTATCTTGAATTTAGCTGAATCTTTTATCTGAACATTCATTACTGCGAATAGCGTCAGGAGGCCGAAAGCAAAGAGTTTCTTTTTCCTTAGAGCTATCTAGGGCTCTTCTTAGGGGAGTGTTTGAATAAAAGCATACAAGTATATATAGGAACGTGGTAAAATGGTCGAGCGCTTCTAAGGAACCATGAGAATTCTCCAATAAGTCTGCGTAAATGAATGGTGACATCATTATTCAACGAGTTTGCGAACACCGGTTGATTTTGAAAAGAAGCAAGTGTTTTTTACTTTCGATTTCTTGATAGCAAATTCCAGTGTATAAGAGCCATTGATTTTAGGGTAGTCTGCCCAAATTTTGTTTTCATCTTTAGGAGGTCTAGGAAAGTCTCTAAGGGGATCGAAATGGTCTTTGTAAACGTATTCCTAGGTCATTTAGTATTATCAACTCCTTACCTGCATGCGAAGGTAAATGTAAATTGGAAAAGAAAAATTTAGTTTAAATGTTTTATTTAATCAACATTTTTATTTGGCTTCTTGCTTTTGAAAGTTAATAAAACTTTCAATTATGTTATAACCATATTGATTATTATCTATGTGTGTTGTATTGCAGAGATCACATGTCCAGTACTGTCTCCACCATCTCATGGAACAAGATATGGATGTCCAGGAAATGTGCCATTATATAACGGTACTGTCTGTCGGTTCACGTGTAATAATGGCTATGTAGGATCAGGATCTCAAGTCAGAAGGTGTCAGTACGATGGAACTTGGAGTGGACAGAACTTCGTTTGTAAAAGAAGGTTCCCAAAGTTTATCAGATAGAAAGAGTAATGTTCATACGTCAAAACGAACAAGAAGTCATTGATAACTGATTGCGGAAAATGTTAGTTTATCTCAGCTTCTTTCTATTTTTTTAGTCATCAACTGTACATCGCTGATGATAAATTGCATTTGCAGCTCAGTTCTAACACAGGACTGTGTCTAAGAACTCGGCCAACCAATATAATTATTCCAGTTCATTTAGTTCTCCCACACGCGCAGTCAATAACCATTGAGTTTTTCTAAAACCGAAAAAAGAGGTAATTCTTCAGTCGATAGTTGATGAAATGCGAGAGTTATGAAACTCCAAACTATCCCCTTGTTATACCTGATTGTGAGCTTTTTAAAATCATGTTTATTTGACACTGTTCTAGTTTTGATTCTGGTCTTGCCATTTAGTTTGCCACTTATACATTTATAAAAGACACTACATGCCGTGTTAAGCGTAAATTTTTTAGCCGAGGATCGGAGAACCATTTCTACCCGACATCAAATGTCTGCGTGGCTTCCGCTGAACTTATTTCTCTCTATAGTCAGAGTTAAATGCCAGGTTGTGATATACTCGAAAGATGAGTGTCATGCTAATTATAATCGGATTTCTCCTTCAGCTTTAAAGTGCCCGACCTTGTCATTACCGAGGAATGGTGTCCTCTTGGGATGTAACACCAATAACACAGAGATGTCATATGACACTGAATGCAGGTTCTTTTGTAAGGAAGAATCTGAAGCGATTGGTGCAACAATAAAGAGGTGTGCTGAAAATGGAACGTGGATTGGACCAGACCTTGTTTGTCCAGGTACGAGAGATGCGAACTATTGGTACTATCAAAATGTTATGGAATTTAAGTGGTTTTCGCTAATTTTTACTTGTTGTATTCATTGCGTCGCATGACGAATCGATTCGAGATCGTCAGTGGTCTTTACGCCCAACGTTTGCAGCGATTGTAGACCGCGATAGTCGACCTAACATCGTTGCACCGTTAATTCTCGGGGCCACGCGGTTGATCTCATATTTCTGTACATGGATCAATCAATGTACAGTGAAAGAGATCTAATAACTTGACGACCCTGGATCACGAATCGATACAGGGTCGTCAATAGTCTTCATAAGGTTGAAGCAGTTGTAGATCATGACAATCAATCAAACAACATCGCAGCAATCTTATGTATGGGGCCTGTCAGATGATTCCATGCTTCTGCGCATCAATCTCTCGATTTATAATCGTAGAATGGATCTTCACTGTCTTTATGTGTCTAAGACTCAGTGACGATACATTTGCCATTATCTGGCTGTATTCAATTTTATCAATGATATCAATATTGAACAAGCGGCGACATGTGCAGGTTCGCTATATTACACTTCTACTATAAATTCTAACTTTCTTGAGGGCTTGGTCCTGTTTACATCTTAAGCCGTTGTTACGATATCGCTGTTGATTTGATAGGTATGAATCATTAAGTCTTTAATTTATACAGAATGGCTATGAACTCACTGTAGATTGCCAACGATTGAGCTGAAAAAAATACTTACAAGCACGAGGTTTACGTTATGATGATGATGATGATAGCTTGTCTCGGTTATAGATCCAACGAGTGGTAAGTACACAATGATACAATATCTGCAGATCAATATTTGAAAACTCTCTACATAGCTTGAAGGTTTGCATACTCATGTAGATGTTTAGGAATAATAGTTATCATATTAACAAGCCAAGATTTCCCGAGGTGCAAATACGAGAAGCTTGAGTATCGTGAGGGGGAAAATATTGTTTCAGTACACCTGAACGTAAAGAAGCTGTATACTCCAAATTAGCCATGCGAAATGCGTTCTGTTTACTTTCACTTACTCTCGATAATATCTCCTACCTCTCCTTCAGATCTTTCAGCAGGGACTGTGCTGGGTGAGTCCTTCCTCGAGCAGACGATTCAGGACCGCCTACAGTATTCTGAATGAGACATATAACCCTTTCCCACACACCCTCCCCCGGCTGCCGTCTGCATACTTTTTCCGCAGGTCCTGGCCTACCTTGACTTATCGCGCCTGGCTTGTCCTGTTCACAAAGTTCAAGGCATATTCCAGAAAGCCTGCGAACCTGGGTATAATACAACGCTGAGAGGCCATATCTGACTACATCATTGAGGAGAAGACTACGCAAAGCTATGTTATGAGTTAAAGCATTAAGCTCGCTATTATGAGCGTCGGAGTTCTTCATTGTTGCTGATGGACTGCAGTAAATAATGTTCAACGCAAGACAAAGAGTGAGAAAAACGTTCAATGGCAAAACGTAAGGAGCTTGCACAAACTAAGCACTTAACATGATGAAATAAAAAATAATAACAAAAAAAGTAAGCGAAAATGTTTCTCAAAGTCGAAGGCAATACATCGAAAGGCGCGATTTTCATATATAACTATAGCAACAGTGATCTTCAAGCATGAAAAGATATCATGTATTCTTGCGAAATAAAGATCTCGTGTTAAAAGCTAGTTCTTTTGTTTTAGCGTGCGAGCGTGCCGTGTGCGTGCGTTCACCTTATTCCCTGAATCCCGCGGAGGGTCACATATAATAAATTTTGAGTTCTATTGTTGACGAAGACACATGTTGTTAATTTGTCACAAATGCTGAACGAAGGAAAAATCAGAGTCCGCTTTGACAAATCGAACCACAGACCTTCGGAATTCACGGTTCGATGATCTACCATGGAGCTTAAAGAGCACTCGTTGATGACCAAGGCCGTATACTTGGCTCGAGTTTATTTGAGACATTTCTGGTTTAATGTGTTCAGTCTCTGAACTCAATAGTACTCAGTTATCGCATTTCTGATTCTAACGGGGATGCGAGACAAATAATACCCTTATATAAAAATTCAATCGCCTATCCTCCCCGCTAACGTCCCACCACTGCATATACGAACATACGAGGCCATTTAAGCCCTTTTGAACCGAGATCTATTTTATAGGAGTAATTAAAAAGATAGTATTTTTCTGAAGTTTCATCAGGGGCTTTGTCAAATCTTGTCTACCAGTAAGTCCAGCAGAGCGTTATCGCCCAGTTCACCTCCTATTTAAATTCTACCCAGGCCCCTCTCTTACGTGTTACAATATCCATAACTTGAAATTCCTCAGATTGAAGCCGTCTTACCCTACTCGGCGAACAATAGCAAACGTAGACATGAAAGGACTCAAGAAGGCTTTTCTGCTTTGGAGCACAATCTTTATCTCAAGTCTCGCTTGCTTTCATGAGGTATCCGCTTCTTCGGGTAAGTCGCAGATTTTTGACAAGTAATCATTTCCTGTTCAAAAGGAACCGAAATTGTTTAAATACAAGCCACGGCACGCTCAATTAGAAGTTGAAAGTTGATGCAGAAAAGCCAACAGGCTCCAAACTAAAGGTAAAATAGGACCAGAAAATATCAATCGTACGATGTATTGATCGAAAGATTACCAGTCATTGAGTTCAAATAGGAGTTATGCCAAGAGTAGTGTAATTACAAGGCCTTCTGATTTACACCATTGTCCTCGAACGTATTTATACATCTTTTTATTTATTCATAAACCTCTTTATGACACCATGGTCTGATTATTTAAACAAAGGTTAGACGTTGCTTAACAAAGCCGCGTCCTAAACAATTTCAAACTCTTCACTGTGGCCAATTTACATTATCAACCAAGTCGCTAATTTTAAATTACCCTGCTATACTCTCCCAACGACGTAGCACCACAGTTTCTTTAGAAAATTACCCCCTTTAATCTTCAATTTAGCTAAACCTTTAATCTGAACATTTATTTCTGTGAACAGTGTCAAAAGGACCGAAAGCTAGCAGTGCAGAGACATTTACTTAATTAAATGAGAGGTCATCGAGAAAGTCTGAAGTCCACTGATTGCGTAAAATCGTGCATTGTGTTAGACCTCGTGATAACAACCGGCCCTACGTATTTTTGGGATTTCTTGTAACCTTTTCTTTTTTCGAAGGAAAGAGATATCTGTACATGGAGTATTAGAATATAATGCAATAATGACGAATATAATGGAAACTTTCGGAATCTGTTCTTCACTGTTACTATGCTGCCGACCCCTATCGAGTTCACTCATTTAGGCTCTGTGCCTTAAAAAAAAAAGATATCGGCAAATAAAACAAAACCTAGCAAAGACAGATTCGAACGGAGCCCTGTTGCCAAGAAGTCGGTCTCATTCAAAAGGAGTGCATGTTAGTAATCGAACCGTGGAATTTGATCGTTGCGTTACAGAAGGTCTTTACTTTCCACCATTTGCGGTATGAAAACAAAGTGAGATGTAAAAGAAAGAGAAAAAACAACAATGCATTGCAGAATTAAGTGTTGTCATTGAAAATAAGGGCTAACATCTGATAAAGATCAATAAAATAAAACAAAAATTTCAGTATCTTTAGATTTGCTTTGAAATTAGCAGATAAAGTGAATTGATGAGATTCTGAGACAGACTTTGACCTTGAAAAACTTTCTTGTTTAGTAACACAACTGCCATAAAAACAAAACGGAAAAAAAAAGTTCCGCACTCGTTTTTATCGAAAAAATATTAGAAGATTTTGTGCTTTTGCATGTAATATCGCTTTTGACATAATAAATCAACTTTTGGAAATTTGAAATTCATGCTAATGTGAAATCTGGACTCCATTACTTCGTATCCAGTAGTAGACAATCAAATAATGAGTATCGATCGAGAAAAGAAAATGTGCGCATAACATGTTTGTGCCTCTGAGTGCCCTCCTTCAGAGACGGAAGCAAAACTTATTTATCTAATATTCAAGTTGGTTTCGTCTTTATTCTGTATTCAGGACTGGGGAGTCCTTTTGATAATATCATACTTGTTCAAAGAACACGCTTGATAAAGTGAAGTAGGCTGAGCAACGCGTCACCAAAAACATTTTATTTTGAAAATCGAATTTTCTATAGTCGTTCTTGTAAACGACTCAGCGGGAGGGAGAATGATGGTTCATAACCGTTTTTCCTATAGAAAAATGTACATTCCCCTTTATCATGGGCGAAAAAAACGGACTCTGAGAACAGAAATATTGAGTTTATTGTGCTGTATATATATCTAGATATATATATATATATATATCTTTTTTTTTTTTTTTTTTTTGGGGGGGGGGGGGGGAAAGGGTGGGATCTGAGGAATGTGGCAATTCCTCACCGGTACGAAATCTTTATTTGAGGTCGATTGTCATTAATTCGCCACTGAATTTTTAAAAAAATGTATTATGGTTGTTTACGATTATTTTCCTTTGTTTGTTCTTTTTCATAGCAATGAGACATTCGTGCAACTCACCATGTCTTCTGGTTGCAAATGAACACCGCATATTAGCTTTGGATTACGACAACAAGTCGACATTTCCAGTCGTTTCCAATTTATCATTCGCTGTAGATGTAGACTTTCATTACAATAAGGGCTACATATTTTGGAGCAACATTGCAAGTATCCAGCGCTCGAACATGGACGGCACAAACATCACAGTTATCCACAATGACACATACTGTTATGGGTTGGCAGTGGAGTGGGACTCATTGCAGCTGTATTGGACTGATTATTACAACAATAGTATAATGGTATCAGACCTCGATGGAAATAACAAACGCATTGTTTTCTCTTCGCTCTCTAGACCAATCGATATCGTTCTTGATCCACACCAAGGGTATGTACTTTATGAACGCGTGGGAGATCCCGCAAACCAATCCTTAGTTAATAGAGACTTTTTCAATGAAAATCTAAGGTTGAGATAAAATGGTGAAGTAAATTGCTTATAAATCTAATAACCGATGCAGCTGAATGATTTTCTCCACAGATTGATGTTTTGGATTAATACGGGAAATATTTCTAAGGTGGAAAGATCAACTTTATACGGAACACAGCATGTCACTATAGCGGTACATAATCTTGCGTATTCAACTGGTATCACCCTTGATAGAAGAAGAAAGCTTATATTCTGGCTGAGTCAATGGAACTTGATAGAGTCCATAGACTATAATGGCAACAATAGAAGGAAAGTTTTTCAAAGAGATGGAGTTGACTTTTTTGGACTTACTTTTATCTCGTCTGATTTATTCACCACTAACCGGTGGTTATCAAGGAGCGTTTACAGACTGAATACCTCCAATGGAAAAGTTAAAAGTAATGTAACCGTCACAAGCTACTGGGGAGGCTTTTATGGTCTCGTTGCATATGATAGCTCCTTGCAGTTACCAGGTTTGCCATCAAATTATTCAAACTTGAACTGGTTATTCTGGAACTTGGAATTTTAATCCTGTGATTGAAGACTTTGGCAGTCTAGTCCGATATAAACAATGATCCCAAGCAAAAGCGACATTGACCACTTTCGCTAATTACTTCATTGCTGTATGTGAGCGGTTGTAAAATTACATTTGTATAATTCTACTGTCAGATTGGTATCAAAATAGAAAAATTGACCCCTTTCGTTTTGACTGTAAAGGGAGAGGCAGTAATTTTAAACTACAAATCGAAAAGTTGCCAATACCAGTTAAAAACTAAAACTCGACAAAATATCTCCCAGTTGGCTCGGAAGCTGACATACGCTTTAAAATGCAACTTAACACAGAGTTCTCACTAAAAACAGCATTTCGGCCATATTTTGTTTCTTACGAGAAATTGGTCAAAAATCGCAAATCAATTGGCTGTTGTCGAGTGCATTCCTCCTGTGTTTACGTTGGGTAGATTTTCACTTGAGTTTTGTTCCTTTTTCATTACAGTGATAACATGTCCAGTGCCTTCACCATCCAGTGGTACAAGAGCCATATGTTCGAGGAATGCAACCTGTCAGTTCTCGTGTGAGGATGGCTATGTAGGATCTGGCTCTCAAGTAAGAAGATGTCAGCGCAATGGAACTTGGACTGGACACAATTATTCTTGTCAAAGTAGGTCCTCGAAGCTTGGTAATGACCGATATGCAATATATTCCGTTTTATTTTGTAAATAACCACCGGCAAGTCAGTACATTCGGTGTCTGGTGGGAGTGAATATGAGTCGCTGCCGTGTACAAGTGTACCTCTGGTCAGCGGAGTTTTTACTGCAAAGGTGAAGCAGCATGGAACTCCTTGCCAGGGGAGTTGAGGAACTATGCGAGTTTAAATCGAAAAAAAACCACAGGCCCTTCTCTTTGACGAGTTTTAACTGTCCATACACTAACACTGAAATTATAATTATATGCGTTTTAATATTGATATTAGTACTTTTTAAGCTGTATTTTCTAGGGGCCGGTTATTAAGACAAAGTGTAGCCGTTCTCATCGCCCAGAACTCAGCGACATATCCGAGACTTTAATTGAGACACTGGCGCTAAATTTAAAAGCTAATTTAAAGAAATGCACTCATCGGCACGAAGCGGATCGACAGACCTGTTCTCGAAGCTGGTGACGAGATCTTCCGGCAAACGTTCGGGTGGTTCCCACGTATTTTCATTCGAGGAGTAGTTCAAAACGGATCCAAATATGAATAATTATCTAACTATTCGCTCAGGCGTAAGCCTGTTTTAGGCGGGTATTTGTTTGTTTTTCTCTTTGCCATCCGGACTTCAAAGAGAAAATAAAAATCCGGTAATATGCTCTCGGTCATACTGTGCGTTAACCGGCACAGTAAAAGAGCGCGAGAGTGAAGTTCAAGTGAGTGACCCGTGCCTCGCACGCTCTTGTAAACTCTATCGCACCTTGGGATTTACTTTACGCATCCAACCGTTTGATTGACAGCAGCTGAAATCTGCGAAGAGACTCAAGTATTCCCAAAGCTAAATCTGTTGGCCAATATAGCCGACTAGTTCTAGACCTGCAAATTATGCCGCGCGTTGATAAATTGGGCACTGTAAGTTCATGTCTCGAGAAACATTGGCTTTCTAGGCGATGTTTAACAAAACCGCGTTCTAAACTATCTTGAATTTAGCTGAATCTTTTATCTGAACATTCATTACTGCGAATAGCGTCAGGAGGCCGAAAGCAAAGAGTTTCTTTTTCCTTAGAGCTATCTAGGACTCTTCTTAGGGGAATGTTTGAATAAAAGCATACAAGTACATATAGGAACGTGGTAAAATGGTCGAGCGTTTCTAAGGAACCATGAGAATTCTCCAATAAGTCTTCTGCGTAAACGAATGGTGACGTCATTATTCAACGAGTTTGCGAACACCGGTTGATTTTGAAAGAAGCAAGTGTTTTTTACTTTCGATTTCTTGATAGCAAATTCCAGTGCATAAGAGCCATTGATTTTAGGGTAGTCTGCCCAAATTTTGTTTTCATCTTTAGGAGGTCTAGGAAAGTCTCTAAGGGGATCGAAATGGCCTTTGTAAACGTATTCCTAGGCTATTTAGTATTATCAACTCCTTACCTGCATGCGAAGGTAAATGTAAATTGGAAAAGAAAAATTTAGTTTAAATGTTTTATTTAATGAACATTTTTATTTGGCTTCTTGCTTTTGAAAGTTAATAAAACTTTTAATTATGTTATAACCATATTGATTATTATCTATGTGTGTTGTATTGCAGAGATCACATGTCCAGTACTGTCTCCACCAACTCATGGAACAAGATATGGATGTCCAGGAAATTTGCCATTAGATAACGGTACCGTCTGTCGGTTCACGTGTAATAATGGCTATGTAGGATCAGGATCTCAAGTCAGAAGGTGTCAGTACGATGGAATTTGGAGTGGACAGAACTTCGTTTGTAAAAGTAGGTTCCCAAAGTTTATCAGATAGAAAGAGTAATGTTCATACGTCAAAACGAACAAGAAGTCATTGATAACTGATTGCGCAAAATGTTAGTTTATCTCACCTTCTTTCTATTTTTTAGTCATCAGCTGTACATCGCTGATGATAAATTGCATTTGCAGCTCAGTTCTAACACAGGACTGTGTCTAAGAACTCGGCCAACCAATATAATTATTCCAGTTCATTTAGTTCTCCCACACGCGCAGTCGATAACCATTGAGTTTTTCTAAAACCGAAAAAAGAGGTAATTCTTCAGTCGATAGTTGATGAAATGCGAGAGTTATGAAACTCCAAACTATCCCCTTGTTATACCTGATTGTGAGCTTTTTAAAATCATGTTTATTTGACACTGTTCTAGTTTTGATTTTGGTCTTACTATTTTGTTTGCCTCATATACGTTTATAAATGACACTACATGCCGTGTTAAGCGTAAATTTTTTAGCCGAGGATCGGAGAACCATTTCTACCCGACATCAAATGTCTGCGTGGCTTCCGCTGAACTTATTTCTCTCTATAGTCAGAGTTAAATGCCAGGTTGTGATATACTCGAAAGATGAGTGTCATGCTAATTATAGTCGGATTTCTTCTTCAGCTTTAAAGTGCCCGAGCTTGTCATTACCGAGGAATGGCGTCCTCTTCGGATGTAACACCAATAATACAGAGATGTTATATGACACTGAATGCAGGTTCTTTTGTAAGGAAGGATCTGAAGCGATTGGTGCAACAATAAAGAGGTGTGCTGAAAATGGAACGTGGATTGGACCAGACCTTGTTTGTCCAGGTACGAGAGATGCGAACTATTGGTACTATCAAAATGTTATGGAATTTAAGTGGTTTTCGCTAATTTTTACTTGTTGTATTCATTGCGTCGCATGACGAATCGATTCGAGATCGTCAGTGGTCTTTACGCCCAACGTTTGCAGCGATTGTAGACCGCGATAGTCGACCTAACATCGTTGCACCGTTAATACTCGGGGCCACGCGGTTGATCTCATATTTCTGTACATGGATCAATCAATGTACGGTGAAAGAGATCTAATAACTTGACGACCCTGGATCACGAATCGATACAGGGTCGTCAATAGTCTTCATAAGGTTGAAGCAGTTGTAGATCATGACAATCAATCAAACAACATCGCAGCAATCTTATGTATGGGGCCTGTCAGATGATTCCATGCTTCTGCACATCAATCACTCGATTTATAATCGTAGAATGGATCTTCACTGTCTTTATGTGTTTAAGACTCAGTGACGATACATTTGCCATTATCTGGCTGTATTCAATTTTATCAATGATATCAATAATGAACAAGCGGCGACATGTGCAGGTTCGCTATATTACACTTCTACTATAAATTCTAACTTTCTTGAGGGCTTGGTCCTGTTTACATCTTAAGCCGTTGTTACGATATCGATATTGATTTGATAGGTATGAATCATAAAGTCTTAAATTTATACAGAATGGCTATGAACTCACTGTAGATTGCCAACGATTGAGCTGAAAAAAATACTTACAAGCACGAGGTTTACGTTATGATGATGATGATGATAGCTTGTCTCGGTTATAGATCCAACGAGTGGTAAGTACACAATGATACAATATCTGCAGATCAATATTTGAAAACTCTCTACATAGCTTGAAGGTTTGCATACTCATGTAGATGTTTAGGAATAATAGTTATCATATTAACAAGCCAAGATTTCCCGAGGTGCAAATACGAGAAGCTTGAGTATCGTGAGGGGGAAAATATTGTTTCAGTACACCTGAACGTAAAGAAGCTGTATACTCCAAATTAGCCATGCGAAATGCGTTCTGTTTACTTTCACTTACTCTCGATAATATCTCCTACCTCTCCTTCAGATCTTTCAGCAGGGACTGTGCTGGGTGAGTCCTTCCTCGAGCAGACGATTCAGGACCGCCTACAGTATTCTGAATGAGACATATAACCCTTTCCCACACACCCTCCCCCGGCTGCCGTCTGCATACTTTTTCCTCAGGTCCTCGCCTACCTTGACTTATCGCGCCTGGCTTGTCCTGTTCACAAAGTTCAAGGCATCTTCCAGAAAGCCTGCGAACCTGGGTATAATACAACGCTGAGAGGCCATATCTGACTACATCATTGAGGAGAAGACTACGCAAAGCTATGTTATGAGTTAAAGCATTAAGCTCGCTATTATGAGCGTGCGGAGTTCTTCATTGTTGCTGATGGACTGCAGTAATTAATGTTCAACGCAAGACAAAGAGTGAGAAAAACGTTCAATGGCAAAACGTAAGGAGCTTGCACAAACTAAGCACTTAACATGATGAAATAAAAAATAATAACAAAAAAAGTAAGCGTAAATGTTTCTCAAAGTCGAAGGCAACACATCGAAAGGCGCGATTTTCATATATAACTATAGCAACAGTGATCTTCAAGCATGAAAAGATATCATGTATTCGTGCGAAATAAAGATCTCGTGTTAAAAGCTAGTTCTTTTGTTTTAGCGTGCGAGCGTGCCGTGTGCGTGCGTTCACCTTATTCCCTGGATCCCGCGGAGGGTCACATATAATAAATTTTGAGTTCTACTGTTGACGAAGAAACATGTTGTTAATTTGTCACAAATGCTGAACGAAGGAAAAATCAGAGTCCGCTTTGACAAATCGAACCACAGACCTTCGGAATTCACGGTTCGATGATCTACCATGGAGCTTAAAGAGCACTCGTTGATGACCAAGGCCGTATACTTGGCTCGAGTTTATTTGAGACATTTCTGGTTTAATGTGTTCAGTCTCTGAACTCAATAGTACTCAGTTATCGCTTTTCTGATTCTAACGGGGATGCGAGACAAATAATACCCTTGTATAAAAATTCAATCGCCTATCCTCCCCGCTAACGACCCACCACTGCATATACGAACATACGAGGCCATTTAAGCCCTTTTGAACCGAGATCTATTTTATAGGAGCAATTAAAAAGATAGTATTTTTGTGAAGTTTCATCGGGGGCTTTGTCAAATCTTATCTACCAGTAAGTCCAGCAGAGCGTTATCGCCCAGTTCACCTCCTATTGAAATTCTACCCAGGCCCCTCTCATACGTGTTACAATATCCATGACTTAAAATTCCTCAGATTGAAGCCGTCTCACCCTACTCGGCGCACAACAGCAAACGTAGACATGAAAGGACTCAAGAAGGCTTTTCTGCTTTGGAGCACAATCTTCATCTCAACTCTCGCTTGCTTTCATGAGGTATCTGCTTCTTCGGGTAAGCCACAGATTTTTGACAAGCAATAATTTCCTGTTCAAAACGAACCGAAATTGTTTAAATACAAGCCATGACACGCTCACATAGAAGTTGAAAATTGATGCGGAAAATCCAACAGGCTCCTAAGATGGTCTCAATGAGGTTAACCGTTAGCCGTAAAACGGCCAAAATATTTAGCCGTTAGACGTAAAAATTGACAAATTTTAACCGTTAGTCGTAAAAAAAGTTAGCCGTAAAAAATATGTCTGGTGGAAACAATGGAGAGTTGTTAACCGTTGGCCGGAATTGGCCAAAATTTTAACCGATAGCCGGAAAAGCCATCACCCCATTGAGACCCTCTCCTAACGTGAAATAGGATAAAATAAATTACCCTGCTATTCTCTCCCAACGACGCAGCAACATAGTTTCTTTACAAACCTACCCCATTTAATCTTCAATTTAGATAAACCTTTAATCTGAACATTTATTTTTGTGAACAAAGTCAAAAGGACCGAAAGCTAGTAGTGTAGGGACATTTATTTAATCAAATGAGAGGTCATCGAGAAAGTCTGAAGTCCACTGATTGCGTAAAACCGTGCATTGTGGTAGACCTCGTGATATTTTTCGGATTTCTTGTAACCTTTTCGTTTTTCGAAAGAAAGATATATCTGTACGTGGAGTATTAGAATATAATGCAATAATGACCAACGTAATGGAAACTTTCGGAATCTAGATCTGTTCTTCACTGTTATTATGCTTCCGACCCCGATCGAGTTCACTCATTTAGGCTTTGTGCCTTAAAAAAAAGATATTGGCAATTAAGACAAAACTTAGCAGAGACAGATTCCAACGGAGCCCTGTTGCAAAGAAGTCGGTCTTATTCGAAATGAATGCATGCCAATAATTTGTTAAGAACTGTGAAATTTGATCGTTGCGTTACAAAAGGTCTCTACTTTCCAATATTCGCGGTATGAAAACAAAGTGAGATGTTAAAGAAAGACAAAAACAAATCAACGCCTTGCAGATTATGTATTGTCGTTGAAAAAGAGGGCTAATACCTGACAAAGATAAATAATATACAACCAAAATAACAGTATTTTTAGACTTGCTTTGCAATTAGCATATTAAGTGCTGAGATTCTGAGACAGACTTTGACCTTGAAAAACTGTCTCGTGAAGTAACACAACTGCCATTGCTTTTGACGTAATAAATAGAGAATATTACATGGGCGTGCGTAGATATGGAATTTCTCTTCGAGTGCCTAACTTCGAGGTCAAGCCCTGGGGCCGATCGTGCAAAATTGCACGATGACGTTGACCCTTTCGGAAATGCTCGGATTACATCCGATCGCTCTGAAATTCCGGCTGTAGTATGTAAACATTCTAAGCCAATCACATGACGAGTTTTAGCTCCGAAATATCAAACGTGACCTCGGGAGCCCGATCCGAAAATCACTTGCGTACGATTTTAATCTGCGATAATGGCGTCCGATGCGAAACGCTAGAGATACAGCGTAGCTAAGGCTTTAGAGATGATTTTTGACGATGGAAGTGAGCATGGTGGTATCTCTAGCGATGAGGAATCCAAATTAGATAGAAAACTGGAAAATCCTAGCGAAGAATCGAGGTAAGTAATCTGTAAACATTCTTGCGATATTTAAATGCGTGACGCATGTGGTGTTGAAACATTTACTTTTACTTTTCGCACACGAATCCTTGTTTTTTGCCTTGAAACAAACCTTTAAATGTATCTTTGTGAATGAAAAGCAATATATATTGTGATCAAACATGATTTTCAAGCGACAGAGAAAATAATCTTCGATGGAATGTTAGAACGCAACGGCCTAAACTATCAGCCGATGACAGATCGAATGACGCAGTGTGCGTCCGAACTAAATCAAATGAAATATTTTATTTTTAAAACGATAGTTGTATATATATCGACCTTTACATTATCTTATATGTTTTGTATGTTTTTTAGATGTGGTTCTACTTGTTGCGCTTTATGTATTTTGAGGTTGATTATCTCATTTGTCCCTGTTTCAAGGCAAAATTTCAGAAGTCAAACAAAGAAATATAGGTCCAATGGTTGCACTGTAGACTTCAAGAGGGATTAGTAAATTTGGGCTTGGGGTGATGATGACGTCAGACTAATTAGTCAGTATGTCAATCAGTGTTCACTAAATATGTGTACGACATCTCAGATTTGTTATTTTCCAACCAATTTTTATGGAGATGTTGCCCATATAACAAGGAACCTCTTTAGTTAATTTTTGCCTCATTACTTTATATTATTTGGTTATCACTTAATTCACAGTTCAAATTTTGATGATATTGTATGCTAATTAATGTTAGTTTGAAAGCATTCAATGAGGTTGTTTCCTTTTCTTGGAGAGGAAACATGTATTCCAGGAAAGCTTATTTACTGCTGTTTCAAGTGAGGTATAGCTTACTTCCCTTGTGTAAATACTTGGTGAGGAATACATTTTTCAATAATCTGGGTCAATTTTTATGGTTTTGGGGTACAGTTTGGAAAAAAATTCTAATTAATTCTGTATTTGTTCTTTTTCAGCCAGACTCTCTGGATGTCTTGCCCATAAGACAAGGAATATTTTATCTTGAAATGTTTCCTTGTAACTCCAATCCATTCAGGCCCAGGCTGTTTCAAAGTCAAAAGTTGTACGATAATTTATGCAAATTGTATGCCATTTTTTAGCATGGTTTAAAATCCATGGATTTTTGGAGGCAAAATATATTTTTTCTGAAAAGCTAATTTTGTCCTCTTTCAAATGAGATATAGCACTAATCACTAGTGTAAATACTGTTGACAAAAAAAAAAGGTTGCCATCATTTGTCATTTTTTTTTAAGTCTCCTATAAAGAGCACGAGTGAGCGCAGCGAACGAGTGAGATGTCGAGTTGAACACGAGTTTTGATTTGATTTTATTGTCTTTATCATTTAAACGCAATAACCCTTTACTGGCAAGAAAAGCCGACTTCATTTCTGAATGAAATAAATGAATCGACAATCCTCGAATAACAATCTTAGAGTGCGTTGTCGCTTACTCCTAAGATGGAAAAATGCGTTGAATCATGATTACAAAACAACAATGGTCGTAATTTTCAATTCTCAAAATTCTCCTTTATTGACTTTGTCCTGGTGGCAAATCTTCCAGTTGTCGATTTTCATTCTCAGACTAGAGAAATGCTGACACTAAAGCCACTGAATACGCAACTTTCGGTTTTTCTTTTAGTATATTGGTTTTCTTCCCTTTCTAGGAAAGTTGAACCTCACTGTCTGTCAGCGATACGGATTTTTTAGTGTTTTAGCCGCCATAATTCGAGAAAGCTCCGACGAACAACTTGTATTAAGAATGGTGAAGGCTTTGCCATTAATTCATCAACCTGACCGAGTGGCGCCCAAGGCGAGTGACGTGTCAGCAGCTAATTGGCTATATTAACACACGTGAAAAAATACGATATTTTTTCACGTGTGTTGTTACGGCTTTTCTCAGGGCCGGAAATCCCTGTATAACACCACAGTTAATATGATAAATCAACTTTTCCAAATTTGAAATTCTTGCTAATATGAAATCTAAACTCCATTACTTCGAGAATGCGCACGTAACATGTAGCACCTCTGAGAGCCCCCCTTTATAGTCTGGAGCAAAACTTATTTCTCTAACGCTCAAGTTGGTTTTGTCCTTATTCTCTACTCAGAACTGGGGAGTCCTTTAGATAATATCATACTTGTTCAAAGAACATGCTTAATAGAGTGAAAAAGACTGAACAACGCGACACCAAAAACATTTAATATTTTGAAAATAGAGTTACCCATTGCCGTTCTTCTTAACGACTTAGTGGAAAGGAGAAGGATGGCTCCTAACCGTTTTTCCCACAGAAAAATGGACTTTCCCCTTTATCACGAGCAAAAACGGACTATGAAATCAGAAATATTACGTTTATCGTGCTGAGTCCGGGGATTTTTTTGGTTTTGTTTTGTTCGTCGGGGATGTGAGGAATGCGACAATTCCCCAGCAGTACTAAATCTGTATTTGAGATCGACTATCATTAAATCGCGTCTAAATTGTTTTAAAAATATTTTATGGACTGATCGTTTTACCATTATTTTCCTTTGCGTGTTCTTTTCCTTAGCATTGAGGCGTCCGTGCAACTCGCCATGTCTTCTGGTTGCAGATTTACGCAGCGTATTAGCTTTGGATTACGACAACAAGTCGATATTTCCAGTCGTTTCCACTTTACCAGTCGTTAGAGATGTAGACTTTCATTACAACCAGGGCTACATATTTTGGTGTGATGTGGGAAGTATCCAGCGCTCGAATATGGATGGCACAAACATTACAGTTATCCACTATGACGTGCCCTGCCGTGGGTTGGCAGTAGAGTGGGACTTATTCCAGCTGTACTGGACTAGTTATTTCCAAACTATAATGGTATCAGATCTCGACGGAAATAACAAACGCACTGTTGTTTCTTCGCTGTTGGGACCAACCGATATCGTTCTTGATCCACACCAAGGGTAAGTACTGTATGAACGAGTGGACGATCCCGCAAACCAATTAATTATTAGTGGAGATTTTTCCAATGAAAATCTAAGGTTGAGATGAATTTGTGTAGTAAATTGCTGATAAATCCAATAACCGATGCAGCTGAGTGATTTCCTCCACAGATTGATGTTTTGGATTGATACGAGAAATATTTCTAAGGTGGAAAGATCAACTCTATACGGAACACAGCGTGTTACTTTAGCGGTGCATAATAATACGTATCGAGCTGGTATGACTCTTGATAGAAGAAGAAAGCTCATATTCTGGCTGAATGAAAGGAACTCAATAGAATCCATAGACTATAATGGCCAGAATAGAAGGAAAGTTTTTCAAAGAGGTGGAGTCAACTTCCGGGCGATTACTTTTATCTCATCTGATTTATTCGTCTTTAACCGGTGGATGTCAGGCAGCGTTTACAGACTGAATCCCTCCAATGGAAAAGTTAAAAGTAATGTAACCGTCACAAGCTACTGGGGAGGCTTTAATGGTCTCGTTGCATATGATAGTTCCTTGCAGTTACCAGGTTTGCCATTAAATTATTCAAAATTGAACTGGTTATTCTGGAACTTGTGATTGAAGATATAAAAAATGATCCCGAGCAAAACTGAGCGACATTGACTACTCTCACTAATTAATTCATTGCTGTATGTAAGTGGTTGTAAAATTACATTTGTATAATTCCACTGTCAGATTAGTATCAAAAGAGAAAAATGGACCCCTTTCGTTTTGAATGTAAAGGGAGAGGCAGTAACTATAAACTACAAATCTAGAAGTTGCAATACCAATTAAAAGCTAAAACTCGACAAACTGTCTCCCAGTTAGCTCGGAAGCTGACATACGGTTTAAAATGCAACTTAACACAGAATTCTCATTAAAAACAGTATTTTGGTCATATTTTGTTTCTTACCAGAAATTGGTCAAAAATCGCAAATCAGTTGGCTGCTGTCGAGTGCATTCCTCCTGTGTTTACGTTGGGTAGATTTTCACTTGAGTTTTGTTCCTTTTTCATCACAGTGATAACATGTCCAGTGCCTTCACCATCCAGTGGTACAAGAGCCATATGTCCGAGGAATGCAACAATGCATCACAATACAGTGTATTACAATACAACCTGTCAGTTCTCGTGTAAGGATGGCTATGTAGGATCTGTAGGATCTGGCTCTCAAGTAAGAAGATGTCAGCGCAATGGAACTTGGAGTGGACAGAATTATTCTTGTCGAAGTAGGTCCTCGAAGCTTGGTAATGACCGATATGTAATATATTCCGTTTTATTTTGTAAATAACCACCGGCAGGTCAGTACATTCGGTGTCTGGTGGGAGTGAGTATGAGTCGCTGCCGTGTACAAGTGTACCTTTGGTCAGCGGAGTTTTTACTGCAAAGGTGAAGCAGCATGGAACTCCTTGCCAGGGGAGTTGAGAAACTATGCGACTTTTAAATCGAAAAGCAAACTACAGGCCCTTCTCTTTGACGAGTTTTAACTGTCCATACACTAACACTGAAATTAGACTCTTAAGTAGTTTTAAGAATTATAATTATATGCGTTTTAATATTGATATTAGTACTTTATAAGCTGTATTTTCTAGGGGCCGGTTATTAAGACAACGTTTAGCCGTTCTCATCGCCCAGAACTCAGCGACATATCCGGGACTTTTATTGAGACGCTGGCGCTAAATTTAAAAGCTAATTTAAAAAAATGCATTCATCGGCACGAAGCGGATCGACAGACCTGTTCTCGAAGGCGGTGATGAGATCTTCCGGCAAATTTTCGGGTGGTTCCCATGTATTTTCATTCGAGGAGTAGTTCTGCCATTGAATTAAGTACTTCTCTCTGCCTCCTTTCACTCGTTTTGTGACAATATACGCTCGACTTCGTAAACGCCCACAACAATTGGGCGGTATTTTGAATTACAGGCACGATCGCAAACATCATTGAATAATGTCGCGTAAAAGCCTGGCTGATGTCTCAAATGCTTGGACATGTTATCTCTCATTCAACTGAATGGATTGAATAAAACTTGACTCTTTCAGGTGTTTTGATTAATCAAAACGGATCCAAATATGAATAATTATCTAACTATTCCCTCAGGCGTAAGCCTGTTTTAGGCGGGTATTTGTTTGTTTTTCTCTTTGCCGTCCGGACTTCAAAGAGAAAAAAAATCCGGTAATATGCTCTCGGTCACACTGTGCGTTAACCGGCACAGTAAAAGAGCGCGAGCGTGAAGTTCAAGTGAGTGACCCGTGCCTCGCACGCTCTTGTAAACTCTATCGCACCTTGGGATTTACTTTACGCATCCAACCGTTTGATTGACAGCAGCTGAAATCTGCAAAGAGACTCAAGTATTCCCAAAGCTAAATCTGTTGGCCAATATAGCCAACTAGTTCTAGACCTGCAAATTATGCCGCGCGTTGATAAATTGGGCACTGTAAGTTCATGTCGCGAGAAACATTAGCTTTCTAGGCGATGTTTAACAAAACTGCGTTCTAAACTATCTTGAATTTAGCTGAATCTTTTATCTGAACATTCATTACTGTGAATAGCGTCAGGAGGCCGAAAGCAAAGAGTTTCTTTTTCCTTAGAGCTATCTAGGACTCTTCTTAGGGGAATGTTTGAATAAAAGCATACAAGTACATATAGGAACGTGGTAAAATGGTCGAACGTTTCTAAGGAACCATGAGAATTCTCCAATAAGTCTTCTGCGTAAATGAATGGTGACGTCATTATTCAACGAGTTTGCGAGCCCCGGTTGATTTTGAAAGAAGCAAGTGTTTTTTAGTTTCGATTTCTTGATAGCAAATTCCAGTGCATAAGAGCCATTGATTTTAGGGTAGTCTGCCCAAATTTTGTTTTCATCTTTAGGAGGTCTAGGAAAGTCTCTAAGGGATCGAAATGGTCTTTGTAAACGTATTCCTAGGCTATTTAGTGTTATCAACTCCTTACCTGCATGCGAAGGTAAATGTAAATTGGAAAAGAAAAATTTAGTTTAAATGTTTTATTTAATCAACATTTTTATTTGGCTTCTTGCTTTTGAAAGTTAATAAAACTTTTAATTATGTTATAACCATATTGATTATTATCTATGTGTGTTGTGTTGCAGAGATCACATGTCCAGTACTGTCTCCACCAACTCATGGAACAAGATATGGATGTCCAGGAAATGTGCCATTATATAACGGTACTGTCTGTCGGTTCACGTGTAATAATGGCTATGTAGGATCAGGATCTCAAGTCAGAAGGTGTCAGTACGATGGAACTTGGAGTGGACAGAACTTCGTTTGTAAAAGTAGGTTCCCAAAGTTTATCAGATAGAAAGAGTAATGTTCATACGTCAAAACGAACAAGAAGTCATTGATAACTGATTGCGGAAAATGTTAGTTTATCTCAGCTTCTTTCTATTTTTTTAGTCATCAACTGTACATCGCTAATGATAAACTGCATTTGCAGCTCAGTTCTAACACAGGGCTGTGTCTAAGAACTCGGCCAACCAATATAATTATTCCAGTTCATTTAGTTCTCCCACACGCGCAGTCAATAACCATTGAGTTTTTCTAAAACCGAAAAAAGAGGTAATTCTTCAGTCGATAGTTGATGAAATGCGAGAGTTATGAAACTCCAAACTATCCCCTTGTTATACCTGATTGTGAGCTTTTTAAAATCATGTTTATTTGACACTGTTCTAGTTTTGATTTTGGTCTTACTATTTTGTTTTCCCCTTATATACATTTATAAAAGACACTACATGCCGTGTTATGCGTAAATTTTTTAGCCGAGGATCGGAGAACCATTTCTACCCGACATCAAATGTCTGCATGGCTTCCGCTGAACTTATTTCTCTCTATAGTCAGAGTTAAATGCCAGGTTGTGATATACTCGAAAGATGAGTGTCATGCTAATTATAATCGGATTTCTTCTTCAGCTTTAAAGTGCCCGACCTTGTCATTACCGAGGAATGGTGTCCTCTTGGGATGTAACACCAATAACACAGAGATGTCATATGACACTGAATGCAGGTTCTTTTGTAAGGAAGGATCTGAAGCGATTGGTGCAACAATAAAGAGGTGTGCTGAAAATGGAACGTGGATTGGACCAGACCTTGTTTGTCCAGGTACGAGAGATGCGAACTATTGGTACTATCAAAATGTTATGGAATTTAAGTGGTTTTCCCTAATTTTTACTTGTTGTATTCATTGCGTCGCATGACGAATCGATTCGAGATCGTCAGTGGTCTTTACTCCCAACGTTTGCAGCGATTGTAGACCGCGATAGTCGACCTAACATCGTTGCACCGTTAATTCTCGGGACCACGCGGTTGATCTCATATCTCTGTACATGGATCAATCAATGTACGGTGAAAGAGATCTAATAACTTGACGACCCTGGATCACAAATCGATACAGGGTCGTCAATAGTCTTCATAAGGTTGAAGCAGTTGTAGATCATGACAATCAATCAAACAACATCGCAGCAATCTTATGTATGGGGCCTGTCAGATGATTCCATGCTTCTGCGTATCAATCACTCGATTTATAATCGTAGAATGGATCTTCACTGTCTTTATGTGTTTAAGACTCAGTGACGATACATTTGCCATTATCTGGCTGTATTCAATTTTATCAATGATATCAATATTGAACAAGAGGCGACATGTGCAGGTTCGCTATATTACACTTCCTAGCTTGACCTTTAAATTCTAACTTTCTTGTGAGCTTGGTCCTGTTCACATCTTAAGCCTTTGTTATAGTATAGCTGTTGATTTGATCGGTGTGAATCTTAAAGTGTTTAATTTATACAGAATAGCTATGAACTCACTGTAGATTGCCAACGATTGAGCTGAAAAAAACGCTTACAAGTACGAGATTTACGTTATGGTGATGATGATAGCTTGTCTCGGTTATAGATCCAGTGAGTGGTGAGTACACAATGATACAATACCTGTAAATCGATGTTTGAAAACTCTCTACCTGGCTTGAACGTTTGCAAACTCATGTAGATTTTTAGAAATATTAATTATCATCTTAATAAGCTGAAATTTCCCGAGGTGCAAATACGGGAAGCTTGAGTACCGTGAGGGGGAAAATATTGTTTCAGTAAACCTGAACTTAAAAAAGCTGTATAATCCAAATTAGCGTTCTGTTTACTTGCAGTTCTTCTCGATAATATCTCCTGACCCTCCTTCAGGTATTTCAGTAGGGACTGCGCTGAGCGGGTCCTTCCTCGAGCAACTGATTCAGGACCGCCTACAACGTCCTGAATGAGGTATATAACCCTTCCCCACACATCATACCCCGGCTGCCGTCTGCATACTTTTTCCTCAGGTCTTCGCTTCACCTGACTTGCCGCTCCTGGCTGCTCTTGTTCACAAAGTTCAAGGCATCGTCCAGAAAGCCTGCGAACCTGGGTATAATACAATGCTGAGAGGCCATATCTCACTTTAACACTGAGGAGAAGACTACGCAAAGGTATTCTATGAGTTAAAGCATCAAGCTCGCTATTACGAACGTTCAGAGTTCTTCATTGTTGCTGATAGACTGCAGTAAGATATGTCCAATGCAAGACAAAGATTGAGAAAAACGTTCAATACAAAAAAACTTAAGGAGCTTGCACAAACTTAGCACTTTATAAGATGAAATAACAAATAATAATAAAAATGCGAGCGTAAATTTTTCTCAAAGTCAAAGGCAATGCGTCTAAAGTAGCGATTTTCATATGTAACCGCAGCAACAGTGATCTTCAAGCGCGTGAAGATATCATTTATTCTGGCGAAATAAAGCTCTCGTGTTAAAAGTTAGTTCTTTTGATTTTGTAGTGTGCGAGCGTGCTGTGTGCGTGCGTTCACCTTATTCCCTAAAATCCCGCGGAGGGTCACATATAATAAATTTTGAGTTCCATCGTCGACGATGACACATGTTGTTAATTTGTCACAAATGCTGATCGAAGGAAAAATCTGAGTCCGCTTTGATAAATCGAACCACAGACCTTCCGAATTCACGGTTCGATGATCCACCATGGAGCTTAAAGAGCACTCGTTGATGACCAAGGCCGTATACTTGGCTCGAGTTTATTCGAGACATTTCTGGTTTAATTTATTCAGTCTCTGAACTCAATAGTACTCAGTTATTGCTTTTATAATTCTAACGGGGATGCAAGACTAACAACCTCCCGCCATTTGACTTATGTGATGCAGAAACGTGAATAAAAGGGACATACGAGGCCATTTATGTCCTTTTCAACAGAGATCTATTTTATAGGAGTAATAAAGAAGATAGAATTTTGGTGAACTTTCATCGGGGGCTTTGTCAAATCTTATCAATGAGTAAGCCCAGCAAAGCATTATCACCCAGTTCACCTCCAATTTAAATTCTACCCAGGCCCCCATCTTGCGTGTTATAATATCCATGACTTAAGATTCCTCAGAATAAAGCTGTCTCATCCTACTCGGCGAAGAATAGAAAACGTAGACATGAAAGGACTCAAGAAGGCTCTTCTGCTTTGGAGCACAATCTTCATCTCAACTCTCGCTTGTTTTCATGAGGTATCTGCCTCTTCGGGTAAGCCACAGATTTTTGACAAGTAATCATTTCCTGTTCAAAACGAACCGAAATTGTTTAAATACAAGCCACGGCACGCTCACTTAGAAGTTGAAAGTTGATGCGGAAAAGCCAACAGGCTCCTAAGAGGGTCTCAATGGGGTTAACCGTTAGCCGTAAAACGGCCAAAATATTTAGCCGTTAGGCGTAAAAATTGACAAATTTTAACCGTTAGTCGTAAAAAAAGTTAGCCGTAAAAAATATGTCTGGTGGAAACAATGGAAAGGTGTTAACCGTTAGCCGGAAAATGGCCAAAATTTTAACCGATAGCCGGAAAAGCCATCACCCCATTGAGTCCCTCTCCTAACGTAAAATAGGATAAAATAAATTACCCTGCTATACTCTCCCAACGACGCAGCACCATAGTTTTTTTACAAACCTACCCCATTTAATCTTCAATTTAGATAAACCTTTAATCTGAACATTTATTTTTGTGAACAGTGTCAAAAGAACCGAAAGCTAGTAGTGTAGGGACATTTATTTAATCAAATGAGAGGTCATCGAGAAAGTCTGAAGTCCACTGATTGCGTAAAACCGTGCATTGTGGTAGACCTCGTGATAACAACCGGCCTTACGTATTTTTGGGATTTCTTGTAACCTTTTCGTTTTTCGAAAAAAAGAGATATCCGTACGTGGAGTATTAGAATATAATGCAATAATGACCAACGTAATGGAAACTTTCGGAATCTAGATTTGTTCTTCACTGTTATTATGCTTCCGACCCCTATCGAGTTCACTCATTTATGCTCTGTGCCTTAAAAAAAAAAAGATATCAGCAATTAAAACAAAACCTAGCAAAGACAGATTCCGACGGAGCCCTGTTGCAAAGAAGTCAGTCTTATTCGAAATGAATGCATGCCAATAATTTGTTAAGAACCGTGAAATTTGATCGTTGCGTTACAGAAGTTCTTTATGTTCCAATATTTGCGGTCAGAAACAAAGTGAGATGTAAAAGAAAGAAAAAAAACAACAATGCATTGTAGAATTAAGTGTTGTCATTGAAAATGAGGGCTAACATCTGATAAAGATCAATAAAATAAACCATGATAATTTCAGTATCTTTAGATTTGCTTTGCAATCAGCAGATTAAGTGAATTGATGAGATTCTGAGACAGACTTTGACCTTGAAAAACTGTCTTGTCTAGTAGCACAACTGCCATAAAAACAAAACGGAAAAAAAAGTTCCACATTCGTTTTTATCGAAAAAATATTAGAAGATTTTGTGCTTTTGCATGTAACATCGCTTTTGACATAATAAATCAACTTTTGGAAATTTGAAATTCATGCTAATGTAAAATCTGGACTCCATTACTTCGTATCCAGTAGTAAACAATCAGATAATGAGTATCGATCGAGAAAAGAGAATGTGCGCACAACATGTTTGTGCCTCTGAGTGCCCTCCTTCAGAGACGGAAGCAAAACTTATTTCTCTAATATTCAAGTTGGTGTCGTCTTTATTCTGTATTCAGGACTGGGGGTTCCTTTTAATAATATCATACTTGTTAAAAGAACATGATTGATAAAGTGAACTAGGCTGGGCAACGCTTCACCAAAACATTTGATATTTTGAAAATCGAATTTTCTATTGTCATTCTTGTAAACGACTCAGCGGGAGGGAGAATGATGGCTCATAACCGTTTTTCCTGTAGAAAAATGTACATTCCCCTTTATCATGGGCGAAAAAACGGACTATGAGATCAGAAATATTAAGTTTATTATGCACATTTTTCTTTTTTTTTTGGGGGGGGGAAGGGGAAGGGGGGGGGGGAGGGAAGGGGTGGGATATGAGGAATGTGGCAATTCCTCACCAGTGCCAAATCTTTATTTGAGATCGGTTATCATTAATTCGCCTCTGAATCTTTTGAAAAATGTATTATGGTTGTTTACGATTATTTTCCTTTGTTTGTTCTTTTTCATAGCAATGAGGCATTCGTGCAACTCGCCATGTCTTCTGGTTGCAAATTTAGACCGCGTATTAGCGACTATAGCGTTGTTGCCGCTATAGTCTATGGACTCTATCAAGTTCCATTGACTCAGCCAGAATATAAGCTTTCTTCTTCTATCAAGGGTGATACCAGTTGAATACGTAACATTATGTACCGCTATAGTGACACGCTGTGTTCCGTATAAAGTAGATCTTTCCACCTTAGAAATATTTCCCCTATCAATCCAAAACATCAATCTGTGGAGATAATCACCCAGCTGCATCGGTTATTAGATTTATCAGCAATTTACTTCATCATTTTATCTCAACCTTAGATTTTCTTTTAAAAAGTCTTCCTAATTAATAATTGGTTTGCGGGATCTTTCACGCGTTCATACAGTACTTACAGTATTATGTAGGATCTGGCTCTCAAGTAAAAAGATGTCAGCGCAATGGAACTTGGAGTGGACAGAATTATTCTTGTCAAAGTAGGTCCTCGAAGCTTGGTAAAGACCGATATGTAATATATTCCGTTTTATTTTTGACAAGTAATCATTTCCTGTTCAAAACGAACCGAAATTGTTTAAATACAAGCCATGGCACGCTCACTTAGAAGTTGAAAGTTGAAGCGGAAAAGCCAACAGGCTCCAAACTAAAGGTAAAATAGGACCAGAAAAAATCAATCGTACGATGTATTGATCGAAGGATAGTCATTGAGTTCAAATAGGAGTTATGCCAAGAGTAGTGTAATTACAAGGCCTTCTGAGTTACACCATTGTCCTCGAACGTATTTATACATCTTTTACTTATTCGTAAACCTCTTTATCACAAAATGGTCTGATTATTTAAACAAAGGTTAGACGTTGTTTAACAAAGCCGCATCCGAAACAAAGTCAAACTCTTCACGGTGGCCAATTTATATTATCAACTCAGTCGATAATTTTAAATTACCCTGTTATACTCTCCCAACGACGGAGCACCACAGTTCCTTTAGAAACTTACCCCTTTTAATTTTCAATTTAGCTAAACCTTTGATCTGAACATTTATTTTTGTGAACAGTGTCAAAAAGGCCGAAAGCGAGCAGTGGAGGGACATTTTTTCAATTAAATGAGAGGTCATCGAGAGAGTTTGAAGTCCTCTGATTGCGTAAAACCGTGCATTGTTAGACCTTGTGACAACAACCGGCCTAATGTATTTTTCGGATTTGTTGTAACATTTTCTTTTTTCGGTTACTGATCACTGCAATCGAAGGTAAGGGATATCCGTACATGGAGTAGTGGAATCTAATGCAATAATGACATGATGGAAACTTTGGGAATCTGTTCTTCATTGTTATTATGCTTCCGACCCCGATCGAGTTCACTGATTTAGGCTCTGTGTCTTAGGGAAAAAAAGATATCGGCAATTAAAACATAAAACTTAGCAAAGATAGATTCCAACGGAGTCCTGTTGCAAAGAATTCGGTCTCATCGAAAGGAATGCATGCTAATAATTTGTTCACAACCATGGACCTCGATCGTTGCGTCACAGAAGGTCTTTACTTTCCAATATTTGCGGTATGGAAACAAAGTGAGATGTCAAAGAAAGAGAAAAACGACGATGCATTGCAAATGGCATTAAATGTCGCTATTGAAAAAGAGGGCTAACACATAATAAAATAATATAAATAATATAAAACCAAAATCTCAGTATTTTTAGATTTGCTTTGCAGTCCGCAGATTAAGTGAATTGATGTCAGACTTTGACCTTGAAAAACTGTGTTACTGATAATAACGCAACTGCCATAAAAACGAAATGGCATAAACAATTGCGCTTTCTTTTGTTGTATGAAACCCGACTTCATTAAAGAAATATATGAAGATTTTGTGCTTTTGCATGTGACAACGCTTTTTACATAATCAATAAATCAATCTTTCTAAATTTGAAATTTATGCTAATGTAAAACCTTAACTCCATTATTTCGTATCAAATAATAAACAATCAGATAATGAGTATCGATTGAGAAAAGAGAATGTGCGCACAACAGGTTTGCGCCTCTGAGTGCCCTCCTTCATAGTTTGAAGTAAACCTTATTTCTCTAACACTCAAGCTGGTTTCGTCTTTATTCTGTATCCACTTTTTAAACTACCTTAAAGCATGGAACACTAACTCAGATCCATTAGGTGATAGTTAATGGGCTGTCAATCATTGTCCATGGTAATCGTGTCACACTTTACTAACGAATCACATCAAGTTACGTAATGTTTGGATTCTGTTAACAAAATTGAAATTACGCATACAAGGAGATCCACAGAGAAAAGAGCTTTCAAAGACCGTTACATAACAATAACAGTAAACAGAACGATTAGAGAACAAAGGGGGTACCTAGGGAACCGCTTCTTAACGAGCTACGTGCTCTTCGAAGAAGCAGTCTGATTATAAATTCAGTGCGGAGGATGAAAGCCACGATTTATTTCACATAAAGTCACCTTGAGCGAAAGAGGTTTGAAAAAAAGGGCTGAAATTAGAATAACAGAATTCTTTCCTGATCGTGAATTCGACATGAGGTTTACCCAAAATGAAAATCTGTAAGGAAACAAAATATAAAAAGATAACAATTAATCTGGTTGCTAAACTAGGTCTCTAAGAGCATAATAGATGTTCAACTAACTTTTACAGTTTTTGCTGAATGGCTTACGATATACATAGGCATAGTATTTCCATTTATATTCTCAACACCTAGTTGAGTTAGAATTACATAGAAAGAAAAGTTCCTGCTTGATACAAATTTCGACTTTTAACAATACCAGTCAATATAAATGAATTATCAATTGGTATTTTCAATCGAGAAATATCAATGTTGTGCTCTTCAATTAAATGAATCAAATTCAATCGAATTTAGATCGATATTTATCGATTGGCTCCCGCATTTCAGGAAAAGTGATTTAATACAGGAGTTGTGCCTTATCACCTTTTTCGTTTTTCTTTCACTTAAAACTAGGTAACCATTAATACCAGTCAAGACAATTTAAAAGGCGTTGATTGCTACTTACAATCGACAGAAATCAGTACAGGTATAAAAAGTATTGCTATTCGAGTAATTTGCCTTTTTTTATTATTTCCTGTAGAACTGAGACGACGTACTTGCAATCACCCATGTCTTTTGGTTCCCAGTTATGACCACATATTGGCTTTGGATTTCGGTAATAAGACGAGTTATTCAGTCATTTCCAATTTGACCAATGCGGTAGCTTTAGACTTTCATTACAACTTGGGCTACATATTTTGGAGTGATATCGGAGACCAAAACATCAAGCGCTCGAATATGGACGGCACAAACATTTCAATCATCCAAAACGACACAGGGTACTGTTGGGGTCTAGCGGTGGAATGGAACTCATTGCAGCTGTATTGGACTGATGTAACAAATGGTACTATATCGATATCAGACTTTCATGGAAGTAACAAGAGAATTCTCTGGTCATCAAAATTTGAAGTGCCGGACGGAATTGTTCTCGACCCACACGAAGGGTAAATACGCATCAGAAGTACAATTCACCGATAAGTAACAATTCATTGAATATTCTATAGCATTAGAGGCAAGCTTTTAAGTGGCATTCATTTGCTGTGATATTGGAATAATGTAAGAAGTGACGATATGAGGATTAAGGACAAGAAAAACAATCCCTTACCCTTGACCCTCAAATAATTCCTGTGCTTGTAATGGTACCGTTGACGACCTAAAGGGATCTCCTTTGGAAGGTGGATCTTATAACTCGAGGATCACATCTGAATAACAAGTATTAAGGGTATTCGATGAGAGGAAGTTTGCGATCAGAAACGGCCCATATCGAATTACAGACTACAGGGAAGCATGAATTTAAGGGACCATCTAAGGTCTTACTCAAAATTTATAGTGGCTTTCAAACCTTGCCAAACTCAAACTTGCAAAGAGAGAGTTCCTTATATATTGATTGCAAACCAGTCGATTTAAAGTTGCAGCTTTATAAATAGTTAGACATGGTCGGAAACCATTTCTAAGGACACAAATATTGTTTTACTTTACTGACCACTAATTCACCCTGTGGGATAGGACGTGAAACTTTTAGGATAGAGTATGAGAATCACTTTGCAAGTGGATCGCCTTTAGTCTGTGTTTTCTTTTGATAAATACCATATTTTCTTGACAAATTATGCATCCCTTACTGCCCTAAGCCACTCCCTTTAGACCGAGCATATTTCTCTTTCTCACCCTCGGGAAATTTATGAGTAGATAATTGCGATGGCTTATTCGACAGATTGATGTTTTGGACTGACTGGGGGAATCCGCCGAAAATCGAGAAATCAACTTTACATGGCACAAATCGTGTCGCCATAGTAACGACCAATCTTAGGCACCCATTTGGTATCACTCTTGATCGACGAAACAAACTTATTTTCTGGGTGGACAATGGAATGGACGTGATAGAATCCGTTGACTACAACGGAAACAGCAGAAAACTTCTCTTTCACCGGCCAGGAATGTCATTCAGTGGAGTTACTTTTACGTCATCCTATTTGTTCATCAATGGTTGGAATCAAAACTGGGTTTCTCAGTTGGATGCCTATAATGGAACAGTGGTAGGAAATGTAACAACCGGCGGCATTTTAACCGGGGGAATCGTCGCATTGAACGGCTCACTGCAGTTACCAGGTTTGTGTTGCAACTTAACAAAACTGCACTTATCAATATGTAGCACGGGAAGATGGAAGGAGAAAAGCATAATTAGAGAGGGAAGTGAACGCAGTCGAAAAGTAAGAGCTTCTTTTTCTTGGAGGTTGTAACCGCTCCCTTTTCTCCATCATTTATTTTGAAATGCTAAAACGAAACGGTTAATGACAAAATGTAAACACAAGTTTTGCAAGGTAGTCCCATATCTGCCCCTAAATTTTGCTTGTAAATAGAATAAGTGAGATGGTAAGTTTTGAGCTCTGTAAAGAAATAAAGAAGGATGTTTTTCGTCTTGTCACGAGCGTGGGATAAAGAAAAAAATTCCATAAGGAATCGAACCTCAGACCTTCGGATTCCGCGCTCTGATGCTCTTCCACTGAGCCACAGAGACTCTACCGTGGACGAAAGAAATAGCGAAATGGAAATAGAGCACGCTCGTGACAAGACGAGAAACATTTTTCTCTAAGGTTTCTGTTGTTGTTGATTTGAAGTGTGTAGGTTTCTTATCTTGAATGATCATTGTTGTATAAAAGCAACAGTTCCAGATACTTTTGTTACGTTTTATTTCCTTTTTCTTTGCAATAAAAATGTGTCCGGCGTTACCTGCGCCGACTGATGGAGCAATACTTGGATGCCCAGGAAATGCAAGTGTAAATTATGATACAGTCTGTCAGTTTTTGTGCAACAATGGCTACAAAGGTTATGGTTCTCAAGAAAGAAGATGTCAACACGATGGAACCTGGAGTGGACGAGAGTTTATTTGTCAAGGTAAGTAGCAGTATATTCACTTTCCGATGAAAAATTGTGTGATGATTAAGGAGAGAAGATCATACTTCAATATTTCCTAAACCACCTCCTAGCTCAACTTCCTCCAACTACGAAAATGGCCATTGACGTTTTCCGCTAAGCAAATCAGATTGCAAAGTTTCGATCGGCCGAAGTTTGAGTATTAAATAGAGCAGAGTAATGTTGTCCGTCTGCCTGTTTGTTTGTTACTTGTTTTTTTCGTTCTTTATTTGAAAGAAAAGTGGAAATAATTCTCAAAATTTATTCCAAAACTCTGCGACAAACTTTGAGAAAAGGGTACTCCCAACAGATTTTAACTGCAACCACCATCTCACTTTAGATTTAGTTCGATCATTCACAATCATATTGATTTTTATTGTTCAGCTGTTAAATGCACTTTACCAACCAATGGCATACTCTTGGGATGTAACACGAACTCCACAGAGATGTCGCTTGGCGCAGAATGTAGGTTCTCTTGTAAGGAAAGAGCTGAGGAGATCGGTTCAACAGTCAGGAAATGTTCAGAGAATGGAACCTGGGGTGGTGTGGACCTCGTCTGTGCAGGTATAAGATTTACGAATACCTACTTCTGGAGAGTGTTGCTCCCTCGTACTATTGATGATCTTGGAAGACGAATCAGTTTAAGATCATCAATAGTCTTTCCAAGGTTGGCTGCGATTGTAGATCGCGACAGTTGATCTAACATCGTGGTGACAATCATTTTTCTAATGGCTACGTCGTATATCACATGTGTGTAGGAATTCAAAGAACTTACGATCTAACATCACGAATCGATACAAGATCGTAAGTAGCCTTTTCAAGGTTTGTAGCGGTTATTGATCATGATTGGTCTAACAACAGCTTATAATCTTTTGTTTGGGTCGGAGCAGCCGAGCCAATGCATCGGCGCTCGGATCAGTCGATTTATGATCGTAGAATGGATCGTCACTGTCTGTAAGTGTCCAAGACTCAGTAACGATACATTTGTCTCGTACTGCATATTCGCTTTTATCAGTGATTTTGATACTGAATAGGGAGATGACACCTGCTGGTCCAATGTATCTTAATTATAAATACTAATCCCATGTTGAGCCTATTCGTTTAGAGTGCTGGTCTTTATTGCGATGCGGTTCACGATACCATCAGTTGGCATCTTAAGGCCTTTGATCCAGACCGAGAAGATACAGAGTCACTGTAGACTGACAGAGATTAAACTGATTGACGATAAGTAGATGCAGATGATAACTCACGGTTGAACATTTTGGACATGAACCCTTAGGACGTGGAATTTTTCCAGGTACCTGAAATATAGATTTTTTTTGGGTGGTAAGAATTTAACCTATCGTTTTTGTAGTGCTTAAACAGTCAGAGGTCTAAAATATATATATAACAAAAGCAAAAGAGAATAAAGAAGCAAAGAAAAGGTATTTCGAAAACTAAATTCTAATTTTTAGATTAATTTTTCACGCACGGTTTGAGGGTCGCCCGAAAACGAAGATTTTCAGAACACAATCAAAATTCAAAATACCTTACGAACCTGATTGATTGCGATAAGGGGAAAATTGGAGGAGGCATTTCTGGACTTAACATAGATGAAAGAACCCCAAAGCGGGTAATTTTTTAATTGGTGCATCGATTTCATCAGCGAAGCCGATTGGAAATTTCCTTGGTTTTCATTTTGCACTGAATTTTCTTGTTAAAATTGTTTCTGATTGCTTTTCAGATGTTTTCCTCTTATCCCTGCGGTACAGAAATGCAAAGAAGTCTATTCCAAAGGATACAATGGGACAATTATTTTCTCTTGATTTCTTGCATTACATTTGGAACTCTGAAATGGTCTCTTCTAGGGATGCACGAATTTGTAATGATTTACCAACTGATGCAAAATCAAATATTACCGCTTCATAGATTCGTTATATATATTTAGATACAAAACGTAATGCTATTATTTTTTATAAGATCCTTGTTGAGAACACAAATGTGATTTATCGATTCAGGTAGTTAATAAGTCAATACCTAAAATTAAACCTTTAGTCATGGTGATCAATCTGAAAACAAAACAACCTTGACTATTTGTTTAAACATACAGGCTAAATTGTAAAAAAATGCTTTAGCATTTTTGAAAAAAAAAAATAATTCAACCGCTCATTTTCGATAAGTTAATGGATTGTTTTGCTTCTTTGAGCTTGGGGAACTTCCATCACTGTGGATGATTAGTGATTAGTTACTTATAAGGATATTCCTGCAAATGTGTTGCATGTAGCGGCCAATAATAAAAGGAAGAAAAGGGAAAACAAATAGACTGCTCTAGTCCCTGGACATGTAAGCTTTGTTTCATGTGACGGAGCAGGAGTAATGATCACTGAAATAAAAATTGAAAGCAATCCTCCTTAGTATCACAGAAACATATCAAACTCTCTCCCCAGAGCGACGAACATTTGTTTTTCTCGGTTCCAGGTGTACGCAACCACTAACCCCACGTAATACGCATGCTCTCCGTTACGAATTTTCAAAATGGCGGACAGGCCAAAGAGGGAAATTAAAAAAACAAAGCGATTTTGCAATGAATACTCAACATACACCCCCGTTAGAAAGGCGAATCCACGGAAGAGAGATACAAAACTGTATCATATCGAGATCGATATGATATTAAATCGATACCGAGGACTCGTTTCCAACTTGCTAAGAAGTGCATTTAATTTCCCTCCGCCACGATTACTAGCTTTCTTGACAGCTTTCTGAAGACAGAATACTTTCTTTCTGAAGACTTCTGATATGTGGCTATTGATTATTACACCTCGTATACCTCATTGCTCAAACACTTTGTTCGCGATTGTTGAAAGGACCGACTCATGGTTCTCCGTCTTCGTCTTTACATTGCTTTGAAATAGAAAAGATTAGTAAGCTGAAACGAAAAATTAATCAGGGAAGTTTACGAAAAATCCAGAAAACAAGCTTAAAAAAGGCATTTATTAAGACTTCATTCTTCAACGAACTTCACAAATCTTATTTGTTTATCTTGTAAGTAAACGATGGCAGATTAATTCCCGAAGCGCCTACTGCGTTTCCCGATCCCTATCCTACTGCTTTCACGCTTACAAAACAGGAAAAAATCAAAAGGAGGAAGATACAGCTGTTTTGAAACGCCATTTGACGAGGGTTAATCTGCTTTTTGTTCGACACTTTATTTATCAAAATAAAGGAAATTTGTTCCTTTTTTTGATTCTGGCGGTACATTTTTAATTTGCGCCTGCGTAAAAGAGATATCGCCCGAGACCCTTTGCTCGGTCGTGTTTTGATCAAAACGCCTTGTTAATTTCACGCAACCGCTCTGAGAAAAGGTAAAAATGACGAGGATTAGAAAATTAGCGACATAGAAAGCCACAATATTATAGTTTAATATTTCAGAGGTACATTGAGTGCTTTTCCGTAGAGAATCCCATACGATGGTAAAACATTCGAAAATTACACTCGATTTGAGTGGGGTGTTGAAGTGGGCGTGGTCACTACATTCATGTTAAGACCATTTGTACCCCATGAGTTTGATATGTGTATAAAGAACAGTATGGAGATTTTGTGTTCTAGTGTTAGGGTGTAGAACGTTAAACTTCAGGGGCCGTAACCTGCAGAAAGAGAAGGAATTCATTCAAGATGCACTCTAAGCTTAACCAATCAAATGCAAACCTTTTTTTATCTCGGGAAGATTGTCTTTCTTTTCTTTTAACACTTAAGAGGTAAGAGATCTGGAAAAAAAGCAAAAGAGAGTCTCAGTGAAGAAGTATGTCAGACGGTTAACTGTAAAAATCTTGTCTGCTCTGACAAAAGACGGTTAAAGATCAGGCCATTTGACGGTTGAAGATTGATTTCTCGAAACGATAGCCTAGCGAAAGTCGTCAGTCGAGGCGCTAAATTTTCATAAAATTGTATAAAATTCCTGCAGAAGTCCGTGCTAGACGATCGAAAGACTTGGATAACTTTTCCCCAAAGGGCTACTCTCTGTTATGTCAAAAAGCAATCACTCCGATTTATTTCATGTTCATGCGTACTGAAGGGAAAAAAATTGCGTAGAGCGGAATTGCATAGTTCGTAATTTCCGCGCAATTTCGGCGATGGAGTCGCAAAAGAGCGGCAGGAGGAAATCAAACGAAGAAACAAAAACGATTTTCGTGGGTTTATTTTTGAGTTATTTTTTTTTTATTAAAAAAAATTTATGTTAGCGTACAGAAAGTGGTATGTTGCTCGCACCAATCAAATCGTTTAGGGTATGTATCTCGCACCAATCAGATCACCGCATTAGGGTATGTATCTCGCACCAATCAGAGCGTCGTTTTTGTTTGAGAGGTGTTCAAATTTCAACTAAGATATGGGGGATTCGGGGAGAACGGTTTGTAAATTGAAATCATCTTTTAGAATGAGAAACGTTGGCTTTTCTGTGTTTATAACGAGTATTATACCGCAATGGAAATGGAGTTCTGTGCACTGTAGCGCGATCATGGTTATTGTTCCTCCACGACGAAAGTGAGTGGAAAATTTTTGAATCAAATATCGCTTGAAGTGTTGATGAGTTGCATCAAACATTTTGATTTGAGCAGTTCTTTAACGGCAAGCTTTGTTGCAAGATTCATTATTTGTTGAGTGTGCCGATTATATTTTTCTGGATTGGTTTGCTCGGTGCTATTTCTAGATGAATGTCTGATTAAAATTAACTATGGAAGATTTTGTGTAAGTTTTCGATGACTGGAGGAAATGATCTTGTGGAGACGTTTGTGTTTGGCCAAGGACGAATTCAGATACCATCGTTAGCATGTTTATTTGATTTTGATTGCTGGAATTAATGATTTACGGAGGTAAGTTAATATGTTGTGATCTACTAACGTCGAAAATATATTAAGTCGATGAAAAAGTTTTGGTCTCGGTCCGCATTTTTGTCAACAAAATAAACACATACCACTTAAAAAGATGATAACACGGACCACGTGCAAAGCTGTCGATTGTTTCTTGAATGTTGGGCGGTTAAATATTCAATGGCGAGATCTCATTTACATCTACATCTATTTTTATTACGTTTGTAAAACCTGTATAGACATCACACCGACCAACTCACCCACAAAGTGAGAAGAATATATGAAGGCTTGAAATTATATTACGATCGATTTTAATCAAGAAATGGGCTAGGAATATGTCACAATTGTGCAAATAATCGTGAAAGCTGATCGCGGAGAAGCGATTGCGTGACACTTGCTAAGTTGTAAGATGACATGTTATCATATAGCAGACGAGAAAACTCTTCAGATTCTCAGTCTGCATTTTGTACCCACTCTGCAGTCTGCAGTCTACATTTTCTACCTAGTCTACATTTTGTATCCGGTGTGCAGTCTGCTGTCTGCATTTTGTACTAACACGTATCCGTGGCACCAATACAGTTTATTTTTGGTTACAGTTATTCGCACAACACGCATAATCTACCACAAAATACCTGTGTGTGAGTTAATTCGACATTTTCGTTCTTTTCCGCGTTAATACTCTTCTTTCCTTTTGTAAGAATGTAGACATCACTTACAATGTTTCAAGTAATCAACCCACTCTACAAAAAGTAACTCTTGCATTCGTAACATGCCTATGTTACTACAAACACAATTGGATTTCTCTCACAGCTCTCAAAATACATACGTCTTGATTCCTGATTCTTATCAAACTGAAATCTGACTTGCAACTGGGTACCTTAATAAGTTGTGACTAAAGAAAAGAATTATAGCCTCATGCCTCGAAAATAATTTCCACTGCGATCCATGACTGGAGAGATTCTTGGCGTGTTTCCTAAAACATTTAAATTTATGAACACTTCAATTTCCTACAGCTGGGATAAGACTCCAGGCTAATGGCAGATTTCATATTAACGGATTTTTAGAGTGCCTTCCATCATTATTTAAACATTTACCAAGGTCAAGTCGGTAAATGTGGATGGTTATTTGGCGGCAGATGATGCAGTAACCCTTTGTCATACCCGGATCTGCTAATATCTGCATTAGCATTCGCAACTCCTGTTTAGAACACATTTCTGATAAAATTCCTATTCTTCAGTCTTGTCGCAAGCAAGAAGGATGACAGAATTAGAATAGAATGGTATTTTGGAGCACATAAGTAAGGACTCCACCCCACCCTACACAGTAGGAAAACGCCACTCCACTTCACCCCTATTGATTGTTACCGGAACTTAAAAAATTTGGTTGTATACTCGAGCTTTTGTGTAAGCTCGTTCTTTGTCGAAGACGAATGATGACAACAAACGGCAATGCCTTGTTGGAGATGTTCGGAATATTTATTTTGTTTTTATCAAGAGAACACTACAGAGTAATTTCGTGTGGAGGTGAGTAAAATTTATACTCATTTGGTTGTGTCCTTGTTAATGTTAACACGTTTGGGAATACAAGGCGAAAACTGTTGATGAGTGCCAAACAATTCTATCTTTTGGTTATGTGGGTTGCGTTAAGCATTAAAGGTGCATGGTCGAACGGTTGTCTTATAAAACAAATGAGCCCGATTAACTTCAGGAAATTAATGAATCAAGATCTCTGAGAAGAGTAAAAATAATCCGCAGTAACCGTGCCGAAACATGTAATGGCAGCAGGAAGTATTAACATCACATGCTAAAGCTCAAACCTACAGGATTAATGACTGCTCTATAAAGCTCTAATCGACGAATGTATCGGCCATTTTAAATTATTCATTTGTTGAGCAGTCATAGAAGTTTGAGTGAAGTTTAGCAATTTTTTCATTACTTATACAACAGTCTTACGACTGGGGTTTTGTACTGAAAATTGCATGCTGTTTGGATCACCGCATGTTTTGCATTCCTCGGGTAAAAACACGGCAAACCAACGTAAGAAAATTAATGGAGTAAATTGCTACCTAGGTACCAGCCAAGGTTTGTTTGACCCAACGCAAATGTATTTAACAGATTCCTTTATTTATTATATTTATTTATGTGAGTACATTTGAGGGTTAAGCGACTGCTTAGGATGTGTACAGACCAGTAGGCCGTTGTCGAGCGTAGATCAAATAAGAGTCGTCACGTACGTAACGTCACGCACGTTACGTTTCATTAAAAAAAAATCTCACAGAGCCATTAAAGACTATCTTGCTTGTTGTGAAAATCTATCGAATGACCTTCGTTGTTCTGAGTTATTTCAAGCACAAACTTTTCTTTTTCTTTTCTTCGTTATATCACTGTTTGAAAAAACTTCCCAGTGACGCGAGGAGGTAAATTACATTTGCAGCCTGTTTTTTGAAAGGTCACGCAACACTCCCTGCCTATCCTCTCAACTTGTGGCCGCATCTTCATACCAACCGTTGCTGACCAGATTATTTTTCATTTATTTTCGATTCTGGTAATAAACGAGAGGAACTGAATTCAAACAAATAAACAAATGAGAGTTCTTAAGTGCGTTTAAATTTTGCGAGATATAAAAAGATTTAATGCCAATACAACAATCTCCTCCGAGCAAAGATTTTTCTACTTTGACAATTGCGCACACAGTCCTCTTCATGTTAGCTTTTGGATTTATATAAATTTTTGGACCTCACTATTAAAAAAAAATATTTAGATTATTCCACATTTTACAATTAATTTATCATCATTCTTGACACTATTCATACTTTGTTATTTAGGACTTATTTATATTCGTAAATATTTCTTAACGTTATTCTTGTAAATATTTATTATTATCATATTCGTTGTGAAGCGCTATCGATCTTTTTGTTGTATATAGTGCTGTATAAGCGATAATTTAGGTTACTTAGTAACTTCCTTACTTAGTAACTTCCTTGAAATTTAAGGGACATGACACAAATCAGGACAATGTTGGCTGGAAGAATTTAGTGAAACAAAATATTTGATGGACATACTCTTCATAAGCGTTCTAAAAATCTTTTCATATTTTCCGGTTGTCTTCTATAAAACAACCAGGCAAATTTTGCTTAGTCCGAGAATGACAATCTCGCAAACGGAGTCTTCGAGCTGCTCGCAAAAGTCTTCACACAACTGTAAATTCAATCAGGTGTCTCGTTTGCGTCGCCGTCATGACTGCGTTAAGTGACTAATTTTCAAGGAATAGGAATGGTTGTCAATTTCTTTGGCTGTTGATACTCCTCCCCTTCTCCTCCCCACCCCTACTGCTCTTAATCGGACTGTTTGCAGGCATTAACTTAGATCCTTCTAATAACCTCCCCCTCTCTCACCCTTACCCCACTCCCACTCCCAAATATCACCCCTGAACGCAACGATTGATGGTCTAGCGTAATTACTCCAGGATGTTTTTGTTTGGTTGTTTTTAATTTGTTTGTTTGCTTGACATTCGGACCACATGACATGCTCGAGCCACGGTAAATTGTGAAACAAAATAAACTCACCTCACGAAACTCCCAAGGCTCGCACTAACCACATGAATAAAATGAATTTGTATAGCTTTAGTCAAATGAACTTGATTAGGTTAGTTGCAGTAAATCAATCTTGATAAATGTTGTTCTCCCTTCTAGTTTTAACTGTCCCTTGCAAGCCCCCGTGCCTCATTGTATCAACAACGACAGAAATAGTGGCCTTGGATTTTGACAACAACACAAGTTCCCAGATAATATCGGGTTTATCAAGAGTCATAGCCCTTGATGTTCATTACAGCTTGGGGTACATTTTTTGGACTGACGTTTCAGACTTAAATATCAAGAGATCTTGTATCGACGGAACAAATGTTACTATAATTCATTCCACAACTGGAACGTGTGACGGGCTTGCTGTGGAATGGATGAGATACCAGTTGTACTGGACTGACACGACAGATGATGTCATTCGAGTATCAGACCTTGAGGGCAAAAATACACGTATCTTAATTTCTTTAGGTCTTGATGAGCCTCGAGGGATTGCACTTGACCCTGAGCGTGGGTGAGCTGATGTTCATGAGGATATTAAAATTAATGATGTCTATCGGTTCATAATGTTTGATAGAGATCCATGGAGTCCGCCAGTCAATTAGTCATGCGGACAGACAGAGAGACAGTCACTCGGTCAGTCAGCCAGCTAGACAAGCTGTCACTCAGACAATTGGTGGGTCGTCTAGATAGTTCGTCATTCAGTCTGGCAGTCAACAGTCAGGCAGCCAGTCAGGCAGCCAGTCAGGCAGCCAGTCAGGCGAGCATCCAACCAGTCATTCTGTCAGTCAGACTGTCAGTTTATCAGTTAGTAAGTCAGCCAGTCAGACAGTGAGTCTATCAGTTAGTTAGTCAGTCAGTCAGGCAGGCATCCTGCCAGCCAATCAGTCAGTCAATCATCTGTCAGTCAGACAGCCAATCAGTTAGTCAGACAGTCAGTCAATCAACCAGTTAGTCAGTCAATCTGTCAGTTAGACAGTCATTCAGTCAGTTAGATAGTAAATTAGTCAGTCAATGAGTCAGTCAATGAGTCAGTCAGACAGTAAATCAGTAAGTCAATCAACCACAACCCGAGTTAGTTCACTTGCAGTTCTAATTGATATGGGGAAACTGTATACCACCATGACCTAACTGTTACCGATATATCTACAGATCCATGTTCTGGACTGACTGGGGAGCAGCGCCAAAAATAGAAACAGCAACATTAAATGGAACCGAGCGCACTACCCTGGTAAACACAAACCTTCAATGGCCAAACGGCATCACTCTTGATAGGAAAAACAGGCTCATATTCTGGGTTGATGCCGGGAAAAACAGGCTGGAGTCAATTAACTATGATGGCAACAACAGAATGTTGCTTTTCGCGAGAAACGATTTTCACTTTTTCGGAGTAACTTTCGATTCTCCATATATATTCATATCTGAATGGAATTACAAGAGTGTTTTCAAAATGAATATTTCCAATGGGACGATAGCTGGGACATATCATTTTGGAGGTCTAAACAAGATCATGGGGATTGTACCGTACGACAGCTCTTGGCAGCGGCAAAGTGAGTCGTCAACACCGTTTATTGTATCTCTTAGTTAGTGCGTGTACTTTAATTACTCAATGTAGCGGACATTATTTATTTGCACGGCCCGCTAAATCCAAAGGTTTCCTTGATTTGATTTCTTTCTTTTCCATTTGAACACAGAAATATTATAAATCTCTTACTAGCCTCGTTTTCTCGGTCCGCACTGTAAATTGCGGATGCTTTTTTTTTCCTTTTGAATTTATGGCCAAGTAATACCTAAACTGGCTTTTCTGCTGTTAAGCGACCTTTAATATAACCTTTTTACGCCAAATAGCGCTCGAAGGTTAGTTGTGATTAATTACATGGTCTGAAAAAAGGTAGAAAAAGTTAAGGATCAATGTGATTCGAGCCCTTGCCACCAAAATACTTGTTCAGCGCATTTCTTTCCGTTTTAAGTTTTCTTCGAGTTTGTTGAAGCACTAGTAATGTTTTAGTCAGTAACCCAGGATGGAACAGCTCATTACCGACATTTGAAAGTGAAAGTTACCTCCAAATGTTTACAATTAAAATGCTCTAACAACTAATTCAGTTTTTTGCGTTTATCGCAGCAATCACGTGTTCAAGATTGCCTTCACCGACAAATGGAACAAGACTTGGATGTTCAGGGAACGCAACTGAGTTTTATGATACAGTCTGTCGGTTTGGGTGCAATAATGGCTATGTAGGATCTGGTTCTCAAATAAGAAGATGTCAAGAGAATAAAACTTGGAGTGGTGAAGAGTTTGTCTGTCAAAGTACGTCCCATCTGTTAGTGATGCTTGAAATGTAACACTTTGCTTTTTTTCTCTAGAGCAATCACGAAGGAAGACATTATAGCCCCTTAAGATGGAAATGATATGGGATACCGAAGATATTGTTGTGCTATTGGTATTCTTATAAAAAGTGTCATCAGTCAATTAGTCAGACAGTCAGTCAGTCAGTCAGTCAGTCATTGGTCAATGAAGCGGACACTGTTTTACTGTACGGCCCGCTAAATTCAAAAGTTTATTTGATTTGATTTCTTTCCCTTCTGTTTGAACCCAGAGATACAATAAATATCTTACGAACCTCGTTTTCTCGGTCTGCACTCTAAGTTACGGAGCCTCTTTTGTCTTTCCTTTTGAACTTATGGCTAAGTACTACCTAAACTGGCTTTTCTTCGGTTAAGCGACCTTTCAGATAAAGTTGTTACTGAAAATAATCTCCGTAGGCGAGCTGCGATTAAAGACATGGTCTGGCAAAAACTAGAAAAAGTTAAGGATCGAAGGGATTCGAATCCTTGACTCAAAGATACGGTTAGGCGCATTTTTTCAGTTTTACATTACGTTCGAGTTGGTTGAAGTACTAGTATTGTCTTAGTCAGTAACACAGGAACGAACAGCTCATTACCGACATTTGAAAGTGAAAATTACCTCCAAACGTCAACGATTAAAATACTTTAGCAGCTATTTAAGTTTTTTGCGTTTATTGCAGAAATAACGTGCCCAGGATTGCCTTCACCAATAAATGGAACAAGACTTGGATGTTCAGGGAACGCAACTGAGTTTTATGATACAGTTTGTCGGTTTGGGTGCAACAATGGCTATGTAGGATCTGGTTCTCAAATAAGAAGATGTCAAGAAAATAGAACTTGGAGTGGTGAAGAGTTTGTCTGTCAAAGTACGTCCCATATCTTAGGGATGCTTGAAATGTAACACTTTGGCTTTTTTTTCTCTCGAACAATCACGAAGGAAGACATTATAGTCCCTTAAGATGGAAATGATGTAGGATACCGATGATATTGTTGTGTCATTGGCTTTTCATAAAAAGTGTTATCAGTCAGTACGTCAGACAGTCAGTCAGTCAGTCATTGGTCAATGAAGCGGACACTATTTCACGGCACGGCCCGCTAAATTCAAAAGTTTGTTTGATTTTATTTATTTCCCTTCTGTTTGAACCCAGAGATACAATAAATATCTTACAAACCTCGTTTTCTCGGTCTGCACTGTAAGTTACTGAGCCTCTTTTGTCTTTCCTTTTGAACTTATGGCTGAGTAATACCTAAACTGGCTTTTCTTCGGTTAAGCGACCTTTAAGATAAAGTTGTTATTGAAAATAATCCTCGTAGGCGAGCTGCGATTAAAGACACGGTCTGGCAAAAGCTAGAAAAAGTTAAGGATCGAAGTGATTCGAGTCCTTGCCTCCAAGCTACTCTTGGACGCATTTTTTCAGTTTTACATTTCCTTTGAGTTTGTTGAAGTACTAGTATTGTCGTAGTCAGTAACACAGGAATGAACAGCTCTTTACCAACATTTGAAAGTGAAAATTACCTTCAAACGTCAACGATTAAAATACTCTAACAGCTATTTAAGTTTTTTGTGTTTATTGCAGAAATAACGTGCTCAGGATTGCCTTCACCGACAAATGGAACAAGAATTGGATGTTCAGGGAATGCAACTGAGTTTTATGATACAGTTTGTCGGTTTGGGTGCAACAATGGCTATGTAGGATCTGGTTCTCAGATAAGAAGATGTCAAGAGAATAAAACTTGGAGTGGTGAAGAGTTTGTCTGTCAAAGTACGTCCCATAATTAAGGGATGCTTGAAATATAGCATTTGCCTTTTTTTCTCTAGAACAATTACGAAGGAAGACATTATAGTCACTTTAGATGGAAATGATGTAGGATACCGAAGATATTGTTGTGCCATTGGCATTCTCATAAAAAGTGTTACAAGTCAGTTAGTCAGACAGTCAGTCTGTCAGTCAGTCAGTCATTGGTCAATGTAGCGGACACTATTTCACGGCACGGCCCCCATAATTCAAAAGTTTGTTTGATTGGATTTCTTTCCCTTCTATTTGATCCCAGAGATACAATAAATATCTCACTAGCCTCGTTTTCTTGGCCTGCACTGTAAGTTACGGAGCCTCTTTTGTCTTTCCTTTTGAACTTATAGCTGAGTAATACCTAAACTGGCTTTTCTTCGGTTAAGCGACCTTTAAGATGAAGTTGTTATTGAAAATAATCCCCGTAGGCGAGCTGCGATTAAAGGCATGGTCTGGCAAAAGCTAGAAAAAGTTAAGGATCGAAGTGATTCGAGTCCTTGCCTCCAAGGTACTGTTGGGCGCATTTTTTCAGTTATACATTTCCTTCGAGTTTGTTGCAGTACAAGTATTGTCTTAGTCAGTAACACAGGAATGAACAGCTTTTTACCGACATTTGAAAATGAAAATTACCTCCGAACGTCAACGATTAAAATACTCTAGCAGCTATTTAGGTTTTTTGTGTTTATTGCAGAAATAACGTGCTCAGGATTACCTTCACCGACAAATGGAACAAGACTTGGATGTTCAGGGAATGCAACTGAGTTTTATGATACAGTTTGTCGGTTTGCGTGCAACAATGGCTATGTAGGATCTGGTTCTCAAATAAGAAGATGTCAAGAGAATAAAACTTGGAGTGGTGAAGAGTTTGTCTGTCAAAGTACGTCCCATCTCTTAGTGATGCTTGAAATCTAACACTTTACTTTTTTTCTCTAAAACAAACATGAAAGAAGACATTATAGTCACTTAAGATGGAAATGATATGGGATACCGAAGATATTGTTGTGCTATTGGTATTCTTATAAAAAGTGTTATCAGTCAGTTAGTCAGACAGTCAGTCAGTCAGACAGTCAGTCAGTCGGTCATTGGTCAATGAAGCGGATACTATTTTACTACACAGCCCGGTAAATTCAAAAGTTTGTTTGATTTGATACTATTTGAACACAGAGATACAATAAATATCTTACTAACCTCGTTTTCTCGGTCTGCACTGTTAGTTACGGAGCCTCTTTTGTCTTTCCTTTTGAACTTATGGCTGAGTAATACCTAAACTGGCTTTTCTTCCGTTAATCTACCTTTAAGATAAAGTTGTTACTGAAAATAATCCTCGTAGGCGAGCTGCGATTAAAGACATGGTCTAGCAGCTATTTAAGTTTTTTGCGTTTATTGCAGAAATAACGTGCCCAGGATTGCCTTCACCGAAAAATGGAACAAAACTTGGATGTTCAGGGAATGCAACTGAGTTTTATGATACAGTATGTCAGTTTGGGTGCAATAATGGCTATGTAGGATCTGGTTCTCAAATAAGAAGATGTCAAGAGAATAAAACTTGGAGTGGTGAAGAGTTTGTCTGTCAAAGTACGTCCCGTATCTTAGTGATGCTTGAAAATGTAACACTTTTTTTTCCTTAGAACAGACACGAAGAAGGACACAATACTCTCTAGGAATGGAAATGATGTAGGATCCGAAGATATTTTTATGCTATTGGCATTCTCACTAAAAATGTATTATATTACCATAGGTCTAGGTCTATAGGTCATTCATCACTAAACAAGTCTGTCTCTGAAATTCAATTATGGGCTTCAGCGAATAAGCTCCCATTAAATGAAGACAAGACTAAAGTACTTACGATCACTGGCAAAAGACGCGTGGCCAACATAAATAGAAGTGACATAGATGTAATCGTAAATGGAAAACAGCTCAGTAATGTGGATTGTGCTACCTTATTAGGCGTAGAAATTGACAGCAAATTGTCATTTAATGAACATGTTGAGAAAGTATGTAAAAAGTTGGCCTCTAGAATCGCAATATTGCGTAAGATCCGAGCGTGTCTACCTCTTAAACAGCGACTTCAGTTTTATTATAGCATTATTCGCCCTGTTATGTCTTACGCTAACGTTGTTTGGGCAAATTGCGATAAAGAGTCGGTTCATAGGGTCTTAAGATTGCAAAAACGTGCGGCACGCGTTATTTGTTATGCCGATCGCATGACACCATCAGTTGCTTTGTTTAACAAGCTAGGTTGGATCCCATTTTATGAGCAACATAAGATTGATAAATGCACAATAATGTATAAGCGAATTAATGGGACTTTGCCGAATTATCTAAATGAACACTTAATTTTAAATAATAAGCGGCACTCCCGCAACACTAGATATTCAAGCACTAATGCTGTTTGTCCTAAATATAAAAGAGAAACAGAAGGAGGACGCTCTTTCGCTGTTTCGGCAACAAGACTGTGGAACAGTACACCAATTGAAATTAGGAAACTAAATTCTGTAGCATGTTTTAAAAAGAACATGTTTGCCAAGATTTTTAAGGAACAACAATTTTTGCATCATTTCATAATTTAATAATTTATTTTTATCTTATAATCGAATCCTGTCATATTCTATATTTTAACTGTATATATATACATTTTAGCTTACAGTATTTTAGATTGTAAATAGTTGTGAGGGCCACAAGTTTATTAGCCTTTGGCTATTAAGTGCCACCCTCTTTAAATAAAGGCTTTACTTACTTACTTACTATATATAGGTAAAAGGGCACTCCTTACACTGTTTGCCCATAATTCTCAAAAGAAAAAAGTTAATTAAATATCTGTAAAGTATCTCCCCTAAATCAGGATGAAAATTAATTTTAACCTTTTTCAGTTGTGATGTGCCCTACTCCGATGCCACCAGCCAATAGTGTTAGACATGGATGCACTGGGAACGCAACAGAATACCCTTATAACACAGAATGTCAGTTCTCCTGCATTGAGGGCTATAAACTCATTGGCTCTAGCTTGAGAAAATGCCAAGACAACGGGCTCTGGAGCGGAGGAGGGGAATTTTATTGCGAGAGTAAGTTAAAAAAATATTGTAGAAACGATTTTGTTTTCAGACGCGTGGCTTTTATTAAGCAATGTATGAACATTGCAAATGCGTCGTAGTATGTGAGTCTCTTCAACTTCCTCCCAATATGAGAACGAAAGGTTCTTGCAACCGGTTGCCAGGCAACGGTTGTCACTTTATCTGCGAACGAGGCTTCAACTTGATTGGCCCAGAAATCCTGTGGTGTAATAAAGATGGATCATGGACCGGCACGCAACCTCGATGTGATGGTAAGCTTACACAACATTGAACTTATCCTTCGCAAATCAGAACTAAAAAATCCAGCCAAACAAAGGCTCGAATCTTGATTTTATATCCTTTCGAATCCTCCACATGATACCTTTTTTGGACAAATTTTCCAGGGCGTCTGAAAACAACCACATCTCCGCCTCTGAGACTAATAGCAAAGGCGTCATAATGAATTTTTTGTTTTGTTTAGTTGTTACCTGCCCAATGTTATCATTACCGACCCATGGTGTATTCTTGGGATGTAACACTAATACGACGGAGATGTTATATGGCACAGAATGCAGCTTCTCTTGTAAAGAAGGATCTGTAGCAACTGGTTCAACAGGAAGGAGATGTACTCAAAATGGAACCTGGACTGGAACAGACATTGAGTGTACAGGTATAGGATCTGGCAACACCTGGAATCATGAAAATTCAAATAATCATAGTTGTCATTCGAGAATCCTACCCACTAATTCGATTGGCGATCTTGATAATTAAACAATTCAAGGTCATTCAAAATTGGCTATGGTTCGCACAACGTTGCAGCATTTTTTGTTATGTTTATGCGGTCCATCTTACAAATCGATAAATCATCGATCATCGATGTACCATCGTTAAACGCAATATAATAACTTGACCATCGTGGATCGCCAGTCGACTCAGGTTGGTTCACAATACTTATGCTCGCAATCATTTTAGATCCCTATAATTGAGCTAAATTGTTGCAGCAGACTTTATTATGGCTTTGCAGTTGATTTAATGTATCCTTACATGGATGGGTCAATCGATATACGATCGTAACATGTAGAAAGTTGACGATATTAGATCACGAGTCGATGGAGGATCGTCAATAGTCTTATGATTGGGACTCACAATCATTATTGATCGCTACAGTCGATCTAATATCGTTGCGTATTCCTTTTTTATGGCTACGCGGTCCATTTCGTATATATCAATCGACGCACGATCGTAAGACGCATTCATTTGATGATCATAGATCACGAGTCGATACAAGATCGTCAGTGGTCTTAGTCTGACATTTTCTCAGCATTCTTTGTTGTGGCTGCTTAGTCCATCAAATTCATCTGTACTTGAATCGATCGATGCACGATTGTAAATCGCAATAACTTGACGATCTTGGATCACCAGTCGATACAAGTCGTCGGTAGTCTTATCATTCGCAATGATTTTAGATCGCAGTTCTCGATCTAACATCGTTGTGTCATTGTTCTGCATTGCTTATGTCGGTTGATCCTATGTATCTGTGCATGAATCATTCGACTCACGGTTCAACAGTAAGGATGATGTATGGAAAATTGAGTTTGGAATGAAACAGACTTTGAATGCACTGGTGTGAATTTCTAGACACTTTGCATCATAACCATTATGACCAAGCGGTGGAGCGTCGTAGTGCGGAATCTGAAGTTCACTGTGGGTACGATTCTTCACGCGCGTGACAAGGCAAAAACCATCTTAATTAGAATTCATGTGGTTTAATTACAAATTTTGCCTTCTTCTGAATTTGATGAAAATCTTGGGTCACTGATGAGTTTAAGATCTTTAGTAATCAGTTATTTCTTGGTTCACCATGACTGAGGATGACAACGGTCAGGCGGTCAGAAATCATTGACGTGCTAGTATCGATGGCCATGCGGTCTTTCTTGCATCTATAGATGAATGAAACGCCTCACCTTCTTAGTATGCAAATTTATAGGCGGTCTTGGATCACGGATCGATACAAGATCATCTATCGACTTTTTCTGCTGTGCCAAGTTTGTAGATCGCGATGATTGATCTAATAACAGTGTAGTATTTTTAGTATGGAACGCAATCATTCTTAGGCATCTCAAAGAGAAAGATGCATGGATCTTTCGTTATGCGATCATCATTAAAGACAAATTGATTTTGATTGTCTATGTTGGTGGTATCGTTACTCTTCAAGTATCTTTGACTCAGTGACGATGCATTCATCATTTCTCCCTTTTTTTTTCTCTTCGGCTTTTTTCTCTTCCGAGTTAATATTTAACTGCCAAGATCTAATTAGCAATTCTCCTTACTATCTGCCATACAATTCTTATGATTTTAGTTCAGAAAATATGGTATTGGATCAACTAATAATCCCATGATCGATATTCTTCTCTATTCTCATCACCTGCCTGCTTGATATTGTATTGATATTGTAAGGACAAATTCTGTCTTGGTCACTTGTGGAAGAGAAAAAAAAAAGGGAGAAATGATGAATGTATCGTCACTGAGTCAAAGATACTTGAAGAGTAACGATACCACCAACATAGACGATCAAAATCAATTTGTCTTTAATGATGATCGCATTACGAAAGATCGACGCTGAGAATGTTGCCATGAATGGAAGGTCAATATTTATATTTATGTTATAGCTGATTTTCTTTTGAGATTTCCTTTTCTGAGTTCAATTCAGTCAGTAAGATCTTCTGCGGGAAACTTTGGGAAAAATAAGCGTCTTGTAAGTCTTCTGTAAACAACAACAATGGTCAGATGATGGCTGAGAGGAACTCAATATCATGCTCTCACAAGATACAGGATGCCTCATACAGGATGAGTATCAGCAGGTAATTGATTTATTTCTCCAATAGAATATTTTAGAACAAAAGACCCAAATTAAAATCGGTCATAAGTAAAAATTTTTGTTTCAAATCATCTTCCTTGTAACTTTCTTACCGGGAACTCTCTTGGGAAGTGCTCCCAGATCCTGCCGTGTAACTGTTTACCACCGCTTGGCCGTGTCAGGTCTGGGTACAAAGCTAGGCCTCACGCTCACTATAGTTAGCCCCTCCATTCTTACCCCCCACCTCACCCTTTTGATTCTTGCATGGCACAACATCCGGGAATATATGAATGCAGCCCACAGTCGTTATACCCAAGGGAACACAACTATGGACGGAGGCGGCAAGGTTTTTACACTTCTCAGCACAGTCTTCCTATTAAATCTCGCCCTTTCGAACACAGTGTCTGCCTCATCAGGTAAGTGCTGATTTTCTCTTTCCAGTTTTCTTTCCCGTTAAGAGACTTAGGGTGCGATCCGATAATTTTGTGGCTAGCAGTCTGGTATTTTATCAGCGTTAAAAGATTTCAATTGTTCTTCGAAAATTTGTCTCTTGACTTCTACTCTTTTCAATCGGTTGAATAAGAATTTGCTTGAAGAGCATAAGTTTCAACTGAACTCCTTGTTCTATAATAATCTTTAAGAGCGTAACACAGATTGTTTTGCATAAAAAAGACAGATATGAAAATTATTGGGCGAATTTCCGAGCTTGGGCAAATCAAAAGCTCGCGGAATTTTCGAAGCGTCGAGAACATTGCAATTTCGAGTCAACGTTCGAATGTTTAGTAAAACTCAGTGGAAAACAACGTAATTTTTTAAGTCGCTTGTCTTTCCATAACAAACATAAAATACTCAGAAGAAGTTTGAAAAATATTTCAATAGAAATTCTGAAAAATGTATCGTTGTTAGGTAGTTAATCGCACATAACCTCAGCAAATATAGAGATGCAAACAGTTTTTTATAGCAGATCACATTTTTATCATGTGTAGGCTTAACTTAGCAAATTTGTTCATATTTTAATTCAAATGCATATGTAATCAGATATATGTAGACATGGTAAAACTCTGAATTCTTTAAAACTGTGAAATTTAAATAACCACCGCATTTCCGCTCGAGAAGTTTCTAAACACCATTACAGCAGAGGGCTTTTTACCCGTGCATAATTAATATAAAAACACGCTACCAGATACGTTACTATCATTTCGGGCCAAATTGGTTTTTCGACTGAACTTTATTAAGGCCGAATAGGTCCTTCCTAGTTTACACATTGTGTCCTTTCTCAGAGTGTTTTCGCATGACGTGACGGCAGCTAAATTGGGTTCCTAAACGATAAACAGTCGGCCATATTGGTGTTTTAAATTAGTCGTGTGGGAGCTGAACTCTTTTTAATTGCATTTTTTTTTTCTTATTTGCTTCAACGGAAAAAACAAGATAGCTAGGTACGTAGGTGAAGGGGTTCTTTATGTTGATTTCACTTTGTGGATAAAATTTGAAAAATCTCTTTTCAAATGCTCTTTAGCATTGTGTTATTGTTGCTACTAAATTAGCCAAATTTACATGTAGTCAAGCGTCATCAATTATTGTACAAGGGTTCACTGAACAAAAACCACAACAATGAAAATGAACTGCTTCACTGTTTTTTTAAGAAACAAGGGGCTCACTGAACAAAAACCACAACGACGAAAATGAACTGCTTCACTGTTTCCTTTTTAAGAATTTGTTTTTTAGTGAAGTGGATCGAAGTTGCGGTAAGCTCCTGTCGGCTATTAATTATGTACCAAATTCCATATTTCAACTTTTTAATTTTGCCCTCACAATCTTTAAAATTCGAATCCGAGTACCTCTAGTTGTGACCAAGACTATGGCCTTGCGGTCTCTATTGTCAGTTCTCCCTCCCCAACTCCCTCCGTTGCTTCTTACTTGACTCAATATCCGTGATTGTGAGTGTAGCCTTCAATTGCCCGGGCATGACTAAGGCTTCACCCGGATAGATCACAAAGATTGCAATTATCAAAGGACACGGACATAGTGTTATGTTTTCCTGCACATTCTTCATTTTGAGTCTTGCTAGTTTAAACAAGGGGTCTGCTTCTTCGGGCAAATTTTCATGTTCTCCGTTCAGTTTTCCTTTCGTAGCCAATGTAGCCTTTCGTAGCCGTAGTCCTAAGGAAGATCTATTGTCTTCGCAATTGTTTTCTTTATCCATGGATTGTAAGCATAATGAAGTATTCGATATGGGGCTGTGCTGAAATCTTTCCGATATCTTTCAAGTATGGGTCTCATCACCTGACTTCAAATGTTCCTTGAAAAACTTTCTCTTATGGACTACCTGATCACACAACGAACCTCTATCTTCGAACAAACTAACACTAAAAGAAAGTAAACTGTCGACTCTGTTTTTTATTTTTAAAACTTGCTGTGCTTGCTGTGACTCGAACGCAGAAATGTTCATCCTCTGTTGACAACGGATGAATTTTATGTCAGTCAAACTACAGTTTACTTAAGGAAACATATTTCTATATATTTAAACAACGCCAATTGATTAGTTTAGTTATGAGAACATAAATACAATTTGTTTACACGTTGGCGTAATTACTTTCAATTAAGATCGACCTTATCCGATGCTAATTACATCAAAAGTAATTCTGTGCGCTCGTGCAACCGTACCTATGAGAAAGTAAGGTTGTGCTTTTCCGATTTGAAGATCTCGATAATCAAAGACAAACCTAACGAGTTATTTCTGTTATTCGATGTAATGTGATCGTGTTGTAGGTTGATATTAAGGAAACAATATGTTTGGAAGGGCAGCTGCTTACAGGGTTAGCAAATATTCGTGGAATTTTAGCGGGCCGCTGTGGGGGTCTCTTGTATGGAATTTTACGGCATGAAAGCCGGGTAGAGTCTTAAGAAAAAGCAATCCAATTTCTACTGATTGCCGAGCAAATTGCCCTTGTTTAGAAAGAAGATAAATTCATTAACAAAGCGAGAATGTACAAAAGGAAATTTAAACATTTCTTTGCGTCGCAGTAAACAGATTTACAGGTCGAGCCAACATAGTTAGGAATTTTATGAATGCATATAGTATTCCAAAATATCATAAGCCGTGTAACGACGATTGAAACAAAATCGCCCATGCGCCAAAAAACACGTTACAAATTACTATTTATCCCTACGGTTTTCTGTGCCGGTAACTCGGATGGAGCACTAGAGTGACTTAGTTTGGTTATTAGTATATAAATATAATTTGAGAGAAAAACCAACATTCATAGAAGTGAAGCATAGTAAGGAAGAAGCTTTTAAGATTTAATACTCTTGGTTCCTTCCGCTTAGTGAGAGTGCTCTGCTAATCGATAGGAAACAATGTTTGAAAAAAGCAATCTACCATCAAATCGATCGACACTAAAATTCTGCATCTAATATATATACCTCTAAATATCGATATAAGGTAAGTTATGCTTCCGAAGCTAATGGAGAGGATAACAGCTAAAATATTGTTTCTAGGAGCATACTTCTTCATAGTAAAATTGGGACAAAAGATAGAAATTCACATAAAGATATCAAGTTCACATAAATGCTACTCGTCGATTGCTTCTGATGATCAAATAATTATATTCCATTTTTAACCAATTTCCTTGAATGACTGCCTCGAGTTTCTTAAAAAGAAATTTGATCAGGTTTTTTTTAATCTAATTTTGTGATGTTTTGTTTTTTTAGAAATTCCTCTTCCATGCAACTCTCCTTGTCTTTTGGTTACCACCCCTGATCGCATTTTGGCTTTGACTTACGACACCAATTCGAGTTCTGTGGTCATTCCCAATTCATCATACGCTACAGCTTTAGACTACTACTACAATGACTACAACAAGCGTGGCTTTATATTTTGGACCGACAGAGTGGAAAAGAGCATTAAGCGTTCAAATATGGATGGAACAAACATAAAAGTTATCTACAATGGCCCAGAAGAATGTTACGGACTAGCTGTGGATTGGAACTCATTACAGTTGTATGGGACTGATTTAACAAATGATACGATATGGGTATCTGACTTTGAGGGAAGAAACAGGCGTAAAGTCATTTCAAATCTTGACAGGCCTACAGGAATTGCTCTCGACCCACACGAGGGGTAAATATAACCCCAAACTGAATAAACAATAGCCTCCGTTTGGCGTGAAAATATACTCGGTTATTCGTTCGCGGCAAGAGAATATCAACTGAGAAGACTTGTTACCGTGTCCCGTGATAAGTTTTTCGCTTGTCCGCGGACATTATTTGTTCCGAGATGCGAATAGTTTTCCCAGGGCGAAACTCGATAAAAACTGTAAGCAACGAGGAACAGATGACTTCCGAGGACAAATGTGCAAGCATAATTTCGCGCCAAATGGAAGCTACTGCGTTTTTTTGCTTGAGATATTTACTCTTCTGTGTTCTTTGGTACGACGTAATGAACGAACAAACCACTAAAAAAATGAGACCGAGACAGAGCAGTGATGTCACCGTTCTTTATTTAGATTTTTTGTCTTACCAAACGTCATTTTACTATACATGGTTTAGTATGAAAGATTATTCAAACGACTTTGGAAACATAAGTTTTTGTTTTTGTGTTTTCCCTGTTGTTGTTGTTGTTTTTTTTCTTTTCTCTTTTTGATCTTTACTTTCTGAAAACTTTACTCGAGTTCCTCTTCTCTTGTTGTTCTAACGAGTAGATGAAAAAGGCCAGCCTAGGGCCATAATAAGATATCTATCATGTATAATTTAGTTTTTTTTTTTCCAACACGTATGTACCCGTTTAAAAAACGTTGCAGTTTAAAAGTATTTATGAAAGTGTTGACAGAATAAATTAATGGGACAATTTTTCAAAAGGAAAGTACAACAGCTGCTGTCAAAATAACAAAAAGGTATTGTTCCTTCGATCTGAAATATACCCGCATCGTCCATCACCTTTTTGATGAGAAAAGAAAAGGTATATGTATATTTAATATAAATGTTCAAATTGCAACGTTTTTTGAAAACGATTGAGTATATATTTGTATATGTACGTACCCTTTGTTTCGGAATGTTACAAACCCGTAGCAAAGAGTCAATAGTTGACTCTCCTTTCGCATTTTATATAAACCTGCTTTGAGGGAATACTCAAACATGCAAATTACAAAGGAATTCTAGAAAGGAAACAGCAAGAAAACTCAACCAGTAATGAATTTAGTGCTTTCTTCTACAGATTGATGTTTTGGAATGCATGGGGAGACACCCCGAAAGTCGAGAAATCGAACTTAGATGGAACTCAACGTTTTGTTATGGTAACGTCAAATCATACTGGGCCAAGTGGTATCACTCTTGATCGACGAAACAAACTTGTTTACTGGGTGAATGAGTACAGTGGCGCAATCGAATCCGTTGATTATAATGGAAACAACAGAACTTTACTCTTTCAGCAAATTGGTTTAAACTTTTACTCAGTTTCCTTCATCTCCCCTTATTTATTTACCACTGGGTGGAACACAAATGGGATTTTAAAATTTGATGTCTTCAATGGAAGTGTTGTAGGCTTTTTATTATTGTCCCGCGGAGGAGCTTATGGACTCGTGGCATATGACAGCTACCGGCAGATATCAGGTTTGTAAAACAGCAGCAAAACTTCAGAGTGATTCATGTGCGTGGAGAGGTAGTGGACAGTGACTTAGTTTTGAGTGTGACACTGAGAGCTAATGTTTTTGACATAGAAGGCAGCCTGAAGTTTAAAGTCTGCGGCATTGTTTAAACTCTCTACTCTGTGGTGATTTCCGTTGCTTAAATGGAAAAGTTCCAGTGGAAAGGGCGTACACGTAAATTCTGTTGCGAATTATTGAGTCTATGCATCAGAAATATTACATTTAGACATCCGTCGTACAGCCTAACTGATCGCCCTACCCTTGGTACAAAAGGGATGGCAACGGAACATATGGCTGAGTAATACCTAAACTGGCTTTTCTGAGCTTAAGCGACCTGTTAGATACAGTTTTTACTATACAGGCGCATTTTTCGAAGTTTCCTTCGAGTCTGTTGAAGCATTAATAATGTTTTAGTCAGTATTATAGGAATAAACAACTCTTTACCCACATTTGAAAATGAAAATTACGTCAAAGCGTTCACAATTAAAATACTTTGGTAACTAACTCAGTGTTTGTGTGTATTGCAGGAATCACGTGCCCAAACAAAGCAAACCTTTTAGATACAGTTTTTACCATACAGGCACATATTTCAAGGCTTCCTTTGAGTCTGTTGAAGTACTAGAAATGTTTTAGTCAATGTTACAGGAATGAACAACTCTTTACCGACATTTGAAAGTGAAAATAACGTCGAAAAATTATTCACAATTAAAATACTTTGGCAACTAATTCAGTTGTTTGTGTTTATTGCAGGAATCACGTGCCCAGGATTGCCTTCACCAACAAACGGAACAAGACTTGGATGCTCAGGGAATGCAACTGAGTTTTATGATACGGTCTGTCGGTTTAGGTGCAATAATGGCTATGTAGGATCTGGTTCTCAAATGAGAAGATGTCAAGAGAATAAAACCTGGAGTGGTGATGAGTTTGTCTGTCAAAGTACGTCCCATATCTTAGTGGCGCTTGTAATGTAACAATCTACATGTTTTCTATAGAACAGACACCAAAGAGGAGATAATAATTACTAGGGATGAAAATGATGTAGGATACTGAAGATATTCTTCTGCTGTTGGTATTTTCGTTGAAAAAGTGTGATAGTTCCATAGGTAAAAGGGCACTCCTTGTGAACAAGTTTTCTTTAGAACAGGCGCGAAATAGGAGATAATCGACCTTAGGCGACCTTTTAGATACAGTTTTTACTATACAGGCGCATTTTTCGAGGTTTTCTTTGAGTCTGTTGAAGCATTGATAATAATTTAGTCAGTATTACAGCAATGAAAAACTCTTTACCGACATTTGAAAGTGAAAATTACGTCGAAACGTTTGCGATTAAAATCATTTGGCAACTAATTCATTTGTTTGTGTTTATTGCAGGAATCACTTGCCCAGGATTGCTTTCACCAACAAACGGAACAAGACTTGGATGTTCAGGGAATGCAACTGAGTTTTACGATACAGTCTGTCAGTTTGAGTGCAATAATGGCTATGTAGGATCTGGTTCTCAAATGAGAAGATGTCAAGAGAATAAAACTTGGAGTGGTGATGAGTTTGTCTGTCAAAGTACGTCCCATATCTTAGTGGCGCTTGGAATGTAACAATCTACATGTTTTCTTTAGAACAGACACGAAAGAGGAGATAATAATCACTAGGGATGAAAATGATGTAGGATACTGAAGATATTCTTCTGCTGTTAGCATTTTCACTGAAAAAGTGTGATAGTTCCATAGGTAAAAGGGCACTCCTTGTGGTGTTCGCCCATAATTCTCAAAAGAAAAAAAATTAATTCAATAGCTGTAAAGTATTACCTCCAAAACAGGATGAGAACTAATTTTACCTTTTTCAGTTGTGATGTGCCCTACTCCGTTGCCACCAGCCAACAGTGTTCGACAGGGATGCACTGGGAATGCAACAGAATACCCTTATAACACAGAGTGTCAGTTCTCCTGCATTGAGGGCTATAAACTGGTAGGCTCTAGCTTGAGAAAATGCCAAGACAACGGGCTCTGGAGCGGAGGAGGGGAATTTTATTGCGAGAGTAAGTTTGATAAATTCATTGTAGCTATTTTGTTTTTAGACGTAATGGCGTCGAGGGATGGGATGGCAACGGAACTTATAGCTGAGTAATACCTAAACTGGCTTTTCTGCACTTAAGCGATCTTTTAGATACAGTTCTTACTATGCAGGCGCATTTTTCGAGGTTTGTTTCGAGTCTGTTGAAGCACTAAAAATGTTTTAGTATTACAGGAATGAACTACTCTTTACCGACATTTGAAAGTAAAAATTACGTCGAAACATTTACAATTAAAATTCTTTGACAACTAACTCGGTTGTTTGTGTTCATTGTAGGAATCACGTGCCCAGGATTGCCTTCACCAACAAACGGAACAAGACTTGGATGTTCAGGGAATGCGACTGAGTTTTATGATACAGTCTGTCAGTTTGACTGCAATAATGGCTATAAAGGATCTGGTTCTCAAATAAGAAGATGTCAAGACAATAAAACTTGGAGTGGTGATGAGTTTGTCTGTCAAAGTACGTCCCATATCTTAGTGGCGCTTGAAATGTAAAACTTTACATTTTCTCTTTAGAACAGGCGCGAAATAGGAAATAATCGACCTTAAGCGACCTTTTTAGACACAGTTTTTACTATACAGGCGCATTTTTCGAGGTTTCCTTCGAGTCTGTTGAAGCAGTAATAATGTTTTAGTTAGTAATAGAGGAACGAACAACTCTTTACTGACCTTTGAAAGTGAAAATTACTTTGGTAACTAATTCAGTTGTTTGTGTTTTATGTCAGTCAAACTACAGTTTACTTAAGGAAACATATGTCTACATATTTAAAGAACGCCAGTTGATCAGTTTAGTTATGAAAACATAAATACAATTTGTTTACACGTTGGCGAAATGAATTTAAATTAAGATCGACCTAATCCGATACTAATGACGTCAAAAGTAATTCTGTGCGCTCGTGCAACCGTACCTATTTCAAAGTAAAGTTGTGCTTTTCGGATTTGAAGATCTCAACATTTAAAGACAAACCTAACGAGTTGTTTCTGTTATTGGATGTAATGTGATTGCGTTGTGGGTTGATATTAAATGAAGAATATGTTTGGAAGGGCAGCTGCTTACAGGGTTAGCAAATATTCGTGGAATTATAGTGGGCCGCATTTCTGGGGGTCTCTTGTATGGAATTTTACGGCATGAAAGCCGGGTAGAGTCTTAAGAAAAAGCAATCCAATTTCTACTGATTGCCGAGCAAATTGCCCTTGTTTAGAAAGAGGATAAATTCATTAACAAAGCGAGAATGTACAAAAGCAAATTTAAACATTTTTTTGCGTCGCAGTAAACAGATTTACAGGTCGAGCCAACATAGTTAGGAATTTTATGAATGCATATAGTATTCCAAAATATCATAAGCCGTGTAACGACGATTGAAACAAAATCGCCATAAATGCGCTAAAAAACACGTTACAAATTAAATAGCCTTAAAAGGAAAACCAACTTGTTTTACATAATAACCGAAGAATTGGCCATGTCTTTACGTCTTTATTTATCCCCACGGTTTTCTGTGCCGCTGACTCGGATGGAGCACCAGAGTAGGAAGGAGTGGATAGGAATGGCTATGCCTGCATTGATTTCCCATTTTACCCAGAAGAGTAAAGCGATAGGAAACAATGTTTGAAAAAAGCAATCGACCATCAGATCGATCGACACTAAAATTCTGCATCTAATCTATACCTCTAAATATCGATATATGGAAAGTTATGCTTCCGAAACCGTTGTGAAAAAATTGATCTCAAACGTGCTCTCAAATTGAACACAGAGGCCGCAATGAAAAAAGATCTAATGGAGAGGATAACAGCTAAAATAGTGGTACTAGAAACATACTTCTTCATAGTAAAATTGGGACAAAAGATAGAAATTCACAGAAAGATATAAAGTTCACATAAATGCTACTCGTCGATTGCTTTTGATGATCAAATAATTATATTCCATTTTTAACCAATTTCCTTGAATGACTGCCTCGAGTTTCTTAAAAAGAAATTTGATCAGGTTTTTTTTAATCTAATTTTGTGTAGTTTTGTTTTTTTAGAAATTCCTTTTCCATGCAACTCTCTTTGTCTTTTGGTTACCACTCCTGATCGCATTTTGGCTTTGACCTACGACACCAGTTCGAGTTTTGTGGTCATTCCCAATTCATCATACGCTTCAGCTTTAGACTACTACTACAATGACTACAACAAGCGTGGCTTTATATTTTGGACCGATAGGGTGGAAAAGAGCATTAAGCGCTCAAATATGGATGGAACAGACATAAAAGTTATCTACAATGGCCCAGAAGAATGTTACGGACTAGCTGTGGATTGGAACTCATTACAGTTGTATGGGACTGATTTAACAAATGATACGATATGGGTATCTGACTTTGAGGGAAGAAATAGGCGTATGGTCATTTCTTCAAATCTTGACACGCCTACAGGAATTGCTCTCGACCCACACGAGGGGTAAATATAACCCTGAAATGAATAAACAATAGCCTCTGTTTGGCGTAAAAATATCCTCGATTATTTGTCCGCGGCGAGAGAATATCAACTGAGAGGACTTATCCCTGTCGCTCATGATAATTTTTTCTTTTGTCCGCGGACATTATCTGTTCCGAGATGCGTACAGTTTTCCGAGGGCGAAACTCGATAAAAGCTGTGAGTTACGAGGAACACATGATTTCCGAGGACAAATATGCAAGCAGATTTTCGCACCAAATGGAAGCTACTGTGTTTATTCTCCCGGCTAAATATTTTTCTACGCTTATGAACAGCTTAGCGTTTTTTTACTTGAGATATTTACTCTTCTGTGTTCTCTGGTACGGCGGTGATGTCACCGTTCTTTATTCAGATTTTTTTCGCCGTACCAAACGTCATTTTACTATACATGGTTTAGTATGAAAGGTTATTCAAACGACTTTGGAAACATAAGTTTTTGTTTTTGTGTTTTCCCTGTTGTTGTTGTTGATTTTTTTCTTTTGTCTTTTTGATCTTTACTTTCTGAAAAATTTATTCGAGTTCCTCTTTCCTTGTTGTTCTAACGACTGGCTGAAAAAAGCCAGAGTAGGACAACAATAAGATATCTACCATGTATAATTTAGTTTTTTTCCTTTATGTATGTACCCGTTTAAAAAACGTTGCAGTTTAAGTATCTATGAAATACTTTCTCCCTTTCTTTTTGCATTACAAATGTGGTGACAGAATAAATCAAAGGGACAATTTTTCAAAAGAAAAGTACAATAGCTGCTATCAAAATTACATAAAGGCATTGTCCATCACCTTTTTGATGAGGAAAGAAAAGGTATATGTATATAGGACAGAAATGTTCAATATAAAAATATTTGTATATGTACGTATTCTTTGTTTCCGAATGTTACAAACTCGTGGCAAAGAGTCAATAGTTGACTCTCCTTTTGCATTTTATATAAACCTGCTTTGAGGGAATACTCAAACATGCAAATTAAAAAGGAATTCTAGAAAGGAAACAGCAAGAAAGCTCAACCAGTCATGAATTTAGTGCTTTCCTCTACAGATTGATGTTTTGGAATGCATGGGGAAACGCCTCGAAAGTCGAGAAATCAAACTTAGATGGAACCCAACGTTTTGCTATAGTAACGTCAAATCTTACTTGGCCAAGTGGTATCACTCTTGATCGACGAAACAAACTTGTTTACTGGGTGGACGAGTCCAGAGGCGCAATTGAATCCGTTGATTACAATGGGAACAACAGAACTTTACTCTTTCAGCAAAATGGTTTAGACTTCTATTCACTTTCCTTCATCTCCCCTTATTTATTCATCACTGGGTGGAAAGAAAATTGGATTTACAAATTTGATGTCTTCAATGGAACTGTTGTAAACATTATATCATTGTCCCACGGAAACGCTTATGGACTCGTGGCATATGACAGCTATCGGCAGATATCAGGTTTGTAAAACAGCAGCAAAACTTCAGAGTGATTTATGTGCGTGGAGAGGTAGTGGACAGGGAGGGTATCACCTGATTGACTTAGTTTTGAGTGTGACACCGAGAGCTAATGTCTTTGACATAGAAGGCAGCCTGAAGTTTAATGCCTGCCGGCATTGTTTAAACTCTCTACACTGTGGTGATTTCTGTTGCTTAAATGGAAAAGTGCCAGTGGAAAAGGCGTACACGTAAATTCTGTTACGAATCATTGAGTCTATGCATCAGAAATATTACATTTAGACATCCGTGGTACAGGCAGACTGATCGCCCTACCTTGGCACAAGAGGAATAGCAATGGAACTTATGGCTGAGTAATACCTAAACTGGCTTTTCTACACCTAAGCGACCTTTTAGATACAGTTTTTACTCGAAATAATCCTCGCAAGTGAGTTGCGATAAAAAAAAATGGTCTGGGAAAAGAGTTAAAAAAAAGTTGAAGATCGATGTGATTCGAGCCCTTGCCACCAAGATACTTGTTCGGCGCATTTTTTCAGTTTTAAGTTTCCTTCGAGTCTGTTGAAGCACTAGTAATGTTTTAGTCAGTATTACAGGAGTGAACAACTCTTTACCGACATTTGAAAGTGAAAATTACGTCGAAACGTTTACAAATAAAATACTTTTTCAACTAATTCATTTGTTTGTGTTTATTGCAGGAATCACGTGCCCAGGATTGCCTTCACCAACAAACGGAACAAGACTTGGATGTTCAGGGAATGCAACTGAGTTTTATGATACAGTCTGTCAGTTTAAGTGCAATAATGGCTATATAGGATCTGGCTCTCAAATAAGAAGATGTCAAGAGAATAAAACTTGGAGTGGTGATGAGTTTGTCTGTCAAAGTACGTCCCATATCTTAGTGGCGCTTGTAATGTAACACTTTACATGTTTTCTTTAGAAAAGACACGAAATAGGAGATAATCGACCTTAATTAAGCGACCTTTTAGATACAGGATACAGTTTTTACTACACAGGCGCATTTTTCAAAGTTTACTTCGAGTCTGTTGAAGCACTAATGATGTTTTAGTCAGTGTTACAGGAATGAACAACTTTTTACCGACATTTAAAAGTGAAAATTACGTCGAAACGTTTACAATTAAAATACTTTGGCAACTAATTCAGTCGCTTGTGTTGATTGCAGGAATCACGTGCCCGGGATTGCCTTCACCAACAAACGGAACAAGACTTGGATGTTCAGGGAATGCAACTGAGTTTTATGATACAGTCTGTCAGTTTGAGTGCAATAATGGCTATGTAGGATCTGGTTCTCAAATAAGAAGATGTCAAGAGAATAAAACTTGGAGTGGTGAAGAGTTTGTCTGTCAAAGTACGTCCCATATCTTAGTGGCGCTTGAAATGCAACGCTTTACATTTTTTTTCTTTAGAACAGGCACGAAAGAGGAGATAGTAATCACCAGGGATGGAAATTATGTAGAATACCGAAGATATTCTTGTGCTGTTGGCATTTTCATTGTAAAAGTATGATATTTCCATAGGTAAAAGGGCACTCCTTACGCTGTTCGCCCATAATTCTCACAAGAAAAAGTTACTTAAATAGCTGTAAAGTATTTCCTCTGAAACGGGTTGAAAATTAATTTTACCTTTTTTCAGTTGTGATGTGCCCTACTCCGATGCCACCAGCCAACAGTGTTCGACAGGGATGCACTGGGAATGCAACAGAATACCCTTATAACACAGAGTGTCAGTTCTCCTGCATTGAGGGCTATAAACTTGTTGGCTCTAGCTTGAGAAAATGCCAAGACAACGGGCTCTGGAGCGGAGGAGGGGAATTTTATTGCGAGAGTAAGTTTGAAAAATTAATTGAAACTATTTTGTGTTTAGATCCAATGGCGTCGAGGGATGGGATGGCAACGGAACTTATGGCTGAGTAATACCTAAACTGGCTTTTCTGCACTTGAGCGATCTTTTAGATACAGTTTTTACTATGCAGGCGCATTTTTCGAGGTTTGTTTCGAGTCTGTTGAAGCACTAAAAATGTTTTAGTATTACAGGAATGAACTACTCTTTACCGATATTTGAAAGTAAAAATTACGTCGAAACATTTACAATTAAAATTCTTTGGCAACTAACTCGGTTGTTTGTGTTCATTGCAGGAATCACGTGCCCAGGATTGCCTTCACCAACAAACGGAACAAGACTTGGATGTTCAGGGAATGCGACTGAGTTTTATGATACAGTCTGTCAGTTTAAGTGCAATAATGGCTATATAGGATCTGGTTCTCAAATAAGAAGATGTCAAGAGAATAAAACTTGGAGTGGTGATGAGTTTGTCTGTCAAAGTACGTCCCATATGTTAGAGGCGCTTGGAATGTAACACTTTATATGTTTTCTTTAGAACAGGCGCGAAATAGGAGATTATGGACCTTAAGCGACCTTTTAGACACAGTTTTTTTACCATACAGGCGCATTTTAAAAGGTTTCCTTCGAGTCTGTTGAAGCAGTAATAATGTTTAAGTCAGTATTACAGGAATGAACAATTTTTTACCGACATTTGAAAGTGAAAATTATGTCGAAAGGTTCACAATTCAAATACTTCGGTAACTAATTCAGTTGTTGGTATTTATTGCAGGAATCACGTGCCCAGGATTGCCTTCACCAACAAACGGAACAAGACTTGGATGTTCAGGGAATGCAACTGAGTTTTATGATACAGTCTGTCAGTTTGAGTGCAATAATGGCTATGTAGGATCTGGTTCTCAAATAAGAAGATGTCAAGAGAATAAAACTTGGAGTGGTGAAGAGTTTGTCTGTCAAAGTACGTCCCATATGTTAGTGGCGCTTGGAATGTAACACTTTACATTTTTTCTTTAGAACAGGCGCAAAATAGTAGATAATGGACCTTAAGCGACCTTTTAGACACAGTTTTTTATTATACAGGCGCATTTTAAGAGGTTTCCTTCGAGTCTGTTGAAGCAGTAATAATGTTTTAGTATTACAGGAAAAAAAATTTTTTACCGACATTTGAAAGTGAAAATTACGTCGAAACGTTCACAATTAAAATACTTTGGCAGCTTACTCATTTTTTTATGTTTATTGCAGGAATCACGTGCCCGGGATTGCCTTCACCAACAAACGGAAAAAGACTTGAATGTTCAGGGAATGCAACTGAGTTTTATGATACAGTCTGTCAGTTTGAGTGCAATAATGGCTATGTAGGATCTGGTTCTCAAATAAGAAGATGTCAAGAGAATAAAACTTGGAGTGGTGATGAGTTTGTCTGTCAAAGTACGTCCCATATCTTAGTGGTGCTTGAAATGTAACTGTACAGTTTTTCTTTAGAACAGACACGAAAGAGGAGATAATAATCACCAGGTTTGGAAATGATGTAGGATACTGAAGATATTCTTGTGCTGTTGGTATTCTTATTGAAAAAGTATGATATTTCCATAGGTAAAAGGGCACTCCTTACGCTGTTCGCCCATAATTCTCAAAAGAAAAGCTAATTAAACAGCAGTAAAGTATTTCTTCTAGAACAGGATGAAGATTAATTTTACGTTTTTCAGTTGTGATGTGCCCTACTCCGTTGCCGCCAGCCAACAGTGTTCGACATGGATGCACTGGGAATACAGCAGAATACCCTTATAACACAGAGTGTCAGTTCTCCTGCATTGAGGGCTATAAACTCGTTGGCTCTAGCTTGAGAAAATGCCAAGACAACGGGCTCTGGAGCGGTGGAGGGGAGTTTTATTGCGAGAGTAAGTTAAAAAAAATATTCTAGAAACGATTTTGTTTTCAGACGCAATGGCTTTTGTTAAGGAATGTATTGAACGATACTCACTTTGCCCAGGAAAAAGAGGTCCAATACGTCTGGATGGAGAGACGCTTAATGTTCTGTGAAGAAAGAGCCTCTACTTAAACACCCAACCCAGAGAGAGATATATCAGACTGCTTTTCTTTATCGCTTTCAATCTCTAGGGATAATATGTGATTCTCTTCAACTTCCTCCCAATGTGAGAACGAACGGTTCTTGCAACCGGTTGCCAGGCAACGGTTGTCACTTTACCTGCGAACGAGGCTTCAACTTGATTGGCTCAGAAATCATGTGGTGCAATAACGATGGATCATGGACCGGCACGCAACCTCGATGTGATGGTAAGCTTACACAAAATTGAACTTATCCTTTGAAAATCAGAGCTAAAAAATCCAACCAAACAAAGGCTCGAATCCTAATTTTAGATCCTTTCAAATCCCTAGCGTGAAACTTTTTGGACACATTCACCAAGGCGTTTGAAAACAACCATATCTCCTCCTCTGAGACTGATAAAAAAGGCGTCATGATGAATTTTTGTGTTTTGTTTAGTTGTTACCTGCCCAATGTTGTCATTACCGACCAATGGTGTATTCTTGGGATGTAACACTAATACGACGGAGATGTTATATGGCACAGAATGCAGCTTCTCTTGTAAAGAAGGATCTGTAGCGACTGGTTCAACAGGAAGGAGATGTACGGAAAATGGAAACTGGACTGGAACAGACCTTGAGTGTACAGGTATAAGAGATCTGACAAAACTCTGAATCATGAAAACTTAAAATAATCATAATTGCCATTCGAGAATCCCGCCCACTTATTCGATTGGCGATCATGATAATTAAACAATTCAAGGCCATCGAAATTTTTTTATGGTTCGCACAAAGTTGCAGCAATTTTTTGTTATGTTTATGCGGTCCATCTTACAAATCGATAATTCATTGATCATTGATGTGCCATCGTTAAACGCTATATAATAACTTGACCATCTGGATCGCCAGTCGATACAGGTTCGTCCACAGTACTTATGCTCGCAATCATTTCAGATCCGTAGTCGATCTAAATTGTTGCAGCAGACTTTATTATGACTTTGAAGTTGATTTAATATATCCCTACATGGATTGGTCAATCGACATACGATCGCACCATGTAAAAAAATTGACGATATTAGATCACGAGTCGATGAAAGATCGTCGATAGTCTTATGACTGGGATTCGCAATCATAGTTGATCGCTACAGTAGATCTAATATCGTTGCGTATTCCTTTTTTATGGCTACACGGTCCATTTCGTAAGAATCAATCGACGTGGAATTGAAAGACGCATTAATTTGACGATCATAGATCGAGTCGATACAAGATCGTCAGTGGTCTTTGTCTGGCATTTTCGTAACATTCTTTGCTATGGCTGCGTGGTCCATCAAATTTATCTGTACCTGAAGCGATCGATGCTCGATTGTGAATCGCACATGATAACTTGACGATCTTCGATCATTAGTCGATACAAGATCGTCGATAGTCTTATCATTTGCAGTGATTTTAGATTGCAGTACTCGATCTAACATCGTTGTGTTATTATTCTGTATTGCTTATGTCGGCTGATCCTATGTATCTGTGCATGAATCAGTCGACTCAAGGTTCATTAGTAAGGAGATGCATGGAAAATGGAGTTTGAAATTGAACAGAATGCACTGGTGTGAATTTCTAGACATCATAAAATTGAAACGATCATAACCATAGTGACCAAGTGGTAAGGCGTCCTAGTGTGGAATCTGAAGTTTACTGCGGGTACGATTCTTCATGGGAGGTCAGAATTTTTTTCTGTCACACGCGCGTGACAAGGCAAAAACCATCTTTCTTAGAATTAATGTGGTTTAATCGCAAATTTTGCCCTCTTCCTAATTTGATGAAAGTCTTGAATCACTGATGAGTCTAAGATCTTCAATAATCAGTTATTTCTTGGTTCACCATGACTGTGGATGACAACGGTCAGGCGGTCAGAAATCATTGACGTGTTAGAATGGATGGCCACGCCGTCTCTCTTGCATCTATAGATGAATGAAACGACTCACCTTCTTAGTATGCAAATTTATAGGCGATTTTGGATCGATACAAGATCATCTATCAACTTTTTCTGCTGTGCCAAGTTTGTAGATCGCGATGATTGATCTAATAACAGCGCAGTATTTTTAGTATGGAACGCAATCATTCTTAGGCATCTCAAAGAGAGAGATGCATGGATCTTTTGTCATGCAATCATCACTAAAGACAAATTGATCATGATCGTCTTTGTCGGTAGTATCGTTCCTGTTCCAAGTATCTTTGACCCAGTGACGATACATTCACCCTTCCTCCCATTGTTTTCTCTTCGGCTTTTTTCTCTTCCGAGTTAATATTTAAAGTGCCTCTCAATCGAGCCTATCCTAGTGGTTCTTATATCCCTCAATCATATCTTCCCTCGATTTTTTTGCAAGAGGTAAGCCTCTCATCTTCCCTTTTACTTAAGTTTTACCTTAACAGTTATAGCTGACTGCATCCTGTTTGCATGCAAAGGGGGCTTAATATTTATTTCTAGTGACTCTCTAGTGACTTCTCAAGTGACCTTCGTGGAAACATATCTAACATTTGCTAACATTTTTCATACTGAGAATGGTCTTATGAATGAAAGGTCAATATTTATATCTATGTCATCACTGATTTTCTTTTGAGATTTCTTTTTCTGAGTTTAATTCAGTCAGTAAGATCTTCAGCGGGAAACTTCTGGAAAAATAAGCCCCTTGTAAGTCTTCTTTAAACAGCAACAATGGTCAGATGATGGTTGGGAGGAACTCAATATCATGCTCTCACAAGATACAGGATGCCTTTGGAGTTTCAGCAGGTAATTGATTTATTTCTCCAATATAATATTTTAGTACAAAAGACTCAATTTAAATTGGTCATAAGTAAAATTTTTATGTTTCAAAGCACCTTTCTTGTAACTCTCTTACCGGGAACTCTCCTAGGAGTTGCTCCCAGATCTTGCCGTGTAACTGTTTACAACCGCTCGGCCGAGTAAGGCTTAGGTAAGAGACTAGGCCCCACGCTCACTACACTAAGCCCATTCATTCTTACCCAACTCTCCCTCACTCTTTTGATTCTTGCATGGCACAACATCCGGGAATATGAATACAGCCATCAGTCGGTTGTAAACATTAAAATTGCTAAGTTTTGGTCTCGTTATACCCTAGGGGAACACAACTATGGACAGAAGCGGAAAGGATTTTAAACTTCTCAGCACATTCTTCCTTCTGAGTCTCGCCCTTTCGAACAAAGTATCTGCCTCATCAGGTATGTATTGGTTTTCACTTTTCAGTTTTCTTTTCTCATAAAGAGACTTAGGATGCGATCCGATAATTTTGTGGCTCAGAGTTGTGATTTATCAGCATTCAAAGATTTAAATTGCTCTTCGAAAATTTCTGTCTATTCACTTATGCTTCAATTCACTGCCTGACTGGGCGCTAAAGGAACAAAAATCGATCGTTTTGCAATTATAAAAGCGCTTTCGGGTAAACTAACGCCAAAACAAAGCAGAGGGTTCTCAAATTTGCGATGACTCGAGCCCGGAAATGTTTATCAGGTATGTATTACCAACTTACTCTTTTCAATCGGTTGAATAATAATTTGCTTGAAGAGCATAAGTTTCAACTGGACCCCTTGTTCTATAATAATCTCTAAGAGCAGAACACATTTGTATTACATCAAAATGACAGATATAAAACTCTCTGAGCGAATTTCCGAGCATGGGCACATCAAAAGATCGCGGAATTTTCGAAGCGTTGAGAGCATTGCAATTTAGAGTTCGGATGTTTAGTAAACGGGAAAAAAAAGGAATTCTTGTAGTCGCTTGTCTTTCCATAACAAACATGAAATACTCAAAAGAAGTTTGAAAATATCTTAATAGAAATTCTGAAAAATGTCTCATTGCTAGGCAGTTAATCGCACATAACGTCATCAAATATAGAGACGTAGACAGTTTTTATCGCAGATTACATTTTTACAATGTGTAGCCTTAACTTAGCAAATCTTGTTCATATTTTAATGCAATACATTTGTAATCAGATAGATGTAGGTATGGTAAAATTCTGAATTCTTTAAAGCCGTGAAAGTTAAATAACCACCGTATTTCTGCACAAAAAGTTTTTAAAACACCGACACAGCTCAGTGCTTTTTATCCATGCATAATTAATGTTAACACACGCTACCAGACACGTTACTGTCATTTCGGAGGAAATTGATTTTCGACTGAACGTTATTAAGGCCGAATGGGTCCTTCCTAGTTTACACTAGTGTCCTTCCTCAGAGTGTTTTGTGAGGACGTCATGGCAGCTAACTTGGTGTTCCTAAACTATGTACAGTCGGCCATGTTGGTGATTCCAATTAGTACTGCAGGAGTTTGGAGTCGCTTGTCTTGCCAGAACAAACATCAAATTCTGAAAAAATGGCTGATTGCCAGGCAGTTAATTCCATTCAACGTAAGCAAATATAGAGACGTAAACGGATTCTATCGCAGATTACATTTTTATGCCCTAACTTAGCAAATTTCGTGTATATTTTAATGCAAATACATTCATAAACAGATAGATGTAGACACGAGTAAATTTGCAAGTAGCTCAGACATGGACGACAAGGGTCATTAAATATTGTACAAGGGTTCACTGAAAAAAAAAACAAAAAAATATAAATTAACTGCTTCGCCGCTATTAGTAAAGTTAACGACACGAATAACTCTTGCTGTAGGTCAAACCGTCACTTATTGCTATCGATTGGTCGAACAAAATGACCCAATGCATGTGTGGTGTTAAAAAGGAAACAATCAGCTGTCAATCGACACAATTGAGTGACAGCAAGCCAACGATTGATAGTGATCACTCGGCGGTCGATCAGTGTATTAGCGACAAAAGTTTCCATGGATGCGTCGGTGTCTGTGTACTTTGTGGGGTGTCTTAAATCACTCTACGGACCAGATTAAATGGATAAAGCAGGCATGGTTGTATAAGAAGCGCTGTTTATTTTAGGTGAATGATAAAGAAAGTATTATAGACAGGCTTTGATTAATGGAAAGGTAAGAGAGAAGAGTAATTTTCAGTGTAAATGGGGCAGTTGGAATCTTGAATCTCTAGTAAGGGTGTTTGTTATTGTAGGGGAGAAGAGGACTTATTCGAGATTTGTACTTACCAAATGTTTAAAAACTGTTATTGATTGGTACTGATTATCATCGATTTTCACCCCTAAATGATTTCCTAAAACTGATTCAGAAGTCAATTTTTTTCGCTAATATTTCCGTTTCACCAGATCTTAGGCATCCCTGCAACTCTCCGTGCCTTTTGATCTCAACCCCAACACGCATATTGGCTGTAGACTACGGTAACCAGTCAAGTTTTGCAGTCATTTCAAATTTGTCAAATGCCAATGGTTATTACGTTGACGTTCATTACAAGCTGGGCTACTTATTTTGGAGTGATCGAGCACAACGTAAAATCAAGCGCTCGAATATGGACGGTACAAATATTACAGTTATCCACAATGACACGGACTGTGTGGGACTAGCAGTGGAGTGGAACTCGATGCGGTTGTATTGGACGGAAAATCCCAAAAAAACAATATCGGTATCAGACTTGGAGGGAAACAACAGAAATATTGTCCTTTCTACAACAGACTACCCAAGAGGAATTGCTGTTGACCCGCAGCAGGGGTAAGTGTCTTTAAATTACTGTTTATTTTGACGCCATTGTCAGGGTAACCAGGTGCATTAGACATGCTCCTTATACATTCCCCAGTAGGGTGGTGACAGAACTGACATGGAGAGTTAGTCTAACGATCAATAGCTTCTCTAGTTGTCAATGTGTCCTTTATTTTCATGACCTTGATGTGTGATTCAGGGATGATAATGTAAAGAGAAATTAGATCCTAAACATTCAGGGAATCTTAAGAGTAAAAATTGACACCATAAAAAGCAGGGACTGCATCCTGCGCTCGACATTGCCCCGTTATAACACATTGCAAACAGGAGAGCACATGAACTCTGAGTACAACAGATACATAATGCAAGCTCACACCAATTATTGACAATGATACATCCTGTTACATCCTGTTTTTCTTGCCACCATACAACTGTTATTTCATTTAATGTATCTTGCTCAATCGCGGTAGAAAGTGAGGAGTTTGGAAGTAAAACACTGAAAATTTTTATTGACTCTTAATTGATCCGTAAGATATTTACTTTACAGGTTAATGTTTTGGGCAGCCATGTCGAAAATCGAAAAATCAAATTTGGACGGAACACAGCGTGATATTATAGTATCATCAAATCTCTCAAGTGCGCATAGTATCACTGTGGATAGAAAACGAAAGCGTGTTTTTTGGGTGGACTATAGAAAGGATCAAATAGAATCTGTTGACTATAGTGGCAGCAACAGAGTACTACTGAGTCGGATACAAGGCGTAATTAACTTGTTTGGAATTGCTTTCACGTCCTCATTTTTATTCGTTGGTGAATGGCATAGAAATACAGTTTTCAAAGTGAATGCGTCCAATGGAACAGTTGTCAGTAGTGTTCAATTTGCTTCGTCCACCCCATCCGGATCTCGTGGAATCTATGGATATGACAGCACTTTGCAGCCACCAGGTTTGCAAACAAATTCTACAAACTTACATCAGTCTTGTTCACAATGAGATCTCCGAAAAAAAGTATCAAATTCTATCCCTTTCCGGTGACAGGTCTGAAAGACACCTCGTGGAAGGTAGCGACTGATGAAATAACATATTTACTTCAATCTCATCTGCAATTACCAGGCTTTTTGAATCAATTGTTGGGGTTTAAAGGGTGCGTGGACACGCATCTCATTAGTTTAAAAAAGTATTGCCATTTGAATAGTTTGGTGTTTTTTCCTTCCTTGAGAACTGAGACGACGTACTTGCAATCCCCCATGTCTTTTGGTTTCCAGTTATGAGCACATATTGGCTTTGGACTTCGGTAACAAGACGAGTTTTTCAGTCATTTCCAATTTGACCAGGGCTGCAGCTTTAGACTTTTCATTACAACCAGAGCTTTTCGCTGCTTTTGATTTGAAGTCTATGGGTCTGTTATCTGAAATGATCGTTTTCGTGCAAAAACAACAGTTCTAGATATTATTGTTACGTTTTCTTTTCTTTTTCTTTGGAGTAGCAACGTGTCCGGCGTTACCAGCACCGACGGATGGAGCAATACTTGGATGCCCAAGAAACGCAAGTGTAAATTATGATACAGTCTGTCAGTTCTTGTGTAACAATCGCTACTTAGGTCATGGTTCTCAAGAAAGAAGATGTTTACTCAACGGAACCTGGAGCGGACAAGAGTTTGTTTGTCAAAGTAAGTAGCAGTATATTCACTTTCTGATGATACTGTGTATGATGGCTAAGGAGAGAAGATCACACCTCAATATTTCCTAAACCACCTCTTAGGTCAACTTCCTCCCAACATGAAAATGGCCATTGACGCTTTCCGCTAAGCCAATCAGACTGCAAAATTTCGATCGGCTAAATTTTGAGTATCAAATAGTGCGGAGTAATGTTGTCTGTTGGTTCAAAAGTCAGGAAATGTACAAAGTATGGAACCTGGAGTGGTATGGACCTTGTCTGTACAGGTATAAGATTTCCGAACACTTACTGCTGGCGAGTGTTGCTCCTCTGTCCTAGTGATGAACTTAGAAGACGAATCAGTCTAAGATCCTCAATAGTCCAAGGTTGTCTGCGATTGTAGATTGCGACGGTTGATCTAACATCGTGGTGACAATCATTTTCCTCATGGTACGCGGTATATCTCATGTGTGTTTGTTTCTGGATCAATCGATCTATGTTTAAAGAACTCAGATGACTTACGGTTTAATATCATGAATTGATAAAAAATCGCAAGTAGTCTTTTCTAGGTTTGAAGCGATTGTAGATAATGATTGATCTAACAACAGCTTAGTAATCTTTTGTTTGAGTCTGAGCAGCCGAGCCAATGCATCGGCGCTCGGATCAGTCGATTTACGACCGTAGAATGGATCGTCACTGTCTCTAAATGTTCAAGACTCAGTAACGATACATTTGTCTCATGCCCCGTATTCACGTTTATCAATGATTTTGATACTGAACAGGGAGATGACACCTGCTTGTCCGATGTATCTTAATTATAAATACTAATCCCATGTTGAGCCTGTTCGTTTAGAGCGTTGATCTTTGTTGCGATGCGGCTCGTGATACCATCAGTAGGCATCTTAAGGCCTTTGATCCAGACCGAGAAGCTGCGAAGTCAACATACATCGAATGTATGGCAAAGTGCCTGAGAAGATACATGCTGTACTTCGAAATTTTCTCGGAACAGTATTTTAAGAATGTGTCTGTATTACATTCCTTTGTTTCAGTTAATGATATGATAAAAGGACGAAGGTCAAGAAAAAGAGAAACAATTTTTTTAGACCGGAAAAATTTGCGCCAGCTCAAGCAGTAATTTGAAATGAAATTTCTTAAAAGATCTTAGAGAACTCGTAATTAACACATCGCTCCCAATTTTATTTTTGTACCTGTTTTAGCTGTCACGTGCCCGTTACCTATCAATGCTGTGTTCTTAGGATGCAAAACTGGTGAAACAGAGATTATAAATGGCACAGAATGCAGGTTCTCTTGTAAAGAAGAATCCAAGGTGGCCGGTTCAACAGCAAGAAGATGTATCAAAGATGGAAAGTGGAGTGGGGCAGAATTGGCCTGTACAGGTATTAGAACAACAAACATTCGGCATGAAAATGAAAAAGAGTCAGACGTTATTCCTGAGGTTTTGTTTCTTAATCGATGGATGATCTTGGATTACGAATCAATTCACGATCGTCATTTATCTCTGTATATCTTGTAATGATTTTAAATTAAGATCGTCTTGATCAATTGATGCAAAATTGAAAAATTAAATCGATGCAGGATCATCAGTGGTCTTCTCAGTTTGCAATAACTGTAGATTACGAAAATCCATCCAGCATCGTTGCAAAATTCTCTTAGTTCTGGTTACGCGGTCATACGTGTGTGCATTGATCTTTCAATGTGCGGACGAATACAATACCTTGACGATCTTCAACCACCAACTGGTACAGAGTCGTCAAAGGTCTTTTCATACTTTGCAATGACGGTATATTATGATAGTCGATCTACCATCTTGCAGAATTCATCTTTCCGGCTAAACCGCTTGTCTTGTGCATCTTTGCATTTATCTGCCGATGTACGATAGAATTAAACGCCTTGACCATCTTGAATCAGCAATTGATCAAGTTGTCAAAAGTCTTTTTGTGGTTTGCAATGACTGTAGATTGTGATATTCGATCTAACATCATTGCAGCATTGAATCTTCTGGTTACGTGGTCTATCTAATGCATCTGTTCATTACCTTACGATGCAAGATCGAATTAAAAGAAACCCGACGATCTTGAATCACCAATCGATACAGGATCGTTAAAAGTCTTTTTGAGGTGCTTAGTGATTGTAGATCACGATAGTCGATCCAACATAGCTGCAGCTCTCTTTTAGGGTCCTTTAAAGTCAGACGCAAGCAGTTAAGCATGGATTAATCGATTACCATTGCAGAATCGCAACCTTGACTGTGTGTGTAACTGAAAATACACTTGCATTTTGCAATATTTGGTCTAGTGAATGATAGTGATACTGACTGTAACAAGTGATGCTTTCACTTAAGGAGTACTAATTTTCTGTTCAGCTTATTTCTCCAAGGCTTAAAGGGTTTCATTGCGATATTGCTGTAGACAGGGACGGCTTGAAACTTCATGTACAATCTGACGCAAACACCAAAAAAAACCTGATTGGGAAAATTGAAACCAAGCTCAATGCTGACCTTCAGTAAAGAGCCATGGCCCTTGACAAAAATAATTAAAGGTGGGAAATTCGTATGACTGAGGTAAGAACCATTTTGTTTTGTTCAAAGTGATTGGTATCTTGTGATCAGTTACTTTTGATTCAATTTATTGCATTTTTGTCATGTTCATCCGAGAAAAGGTAACTCTGTGTTTAATAGTATGACCGTCCAGTCCAAAAAAGATTATATCACAATGAATGCAAAGCTTTTGCCTGCCTTTCCTTGTGCACCCTTTTGAATAACTTATCATTAATCTGGAAGTTAAAAAAATTATTGACAAATCGCTATTAAGAATTTTTTGAAACTCTGTTTTGTCTTAACAAAGGAGTATCTCTAGAAACGCCAGTTTTTATAATTCTGCTTTCCTTTGTATCTTTTTTCACATCTAGTCAGTAGAAGATAAATTGTTTAACTTGCCCGTTGACACCAGGAGGTGTTTCTTCAAACAATTTTGTCTCTGTCATGGACGAAGCCCGTTACTCGAGAATGCAGTACAGTTGAGACTTTCTACCAATCAAGTTTTTCATGTATTTCTATAGAAGCCCTTGCTTCTTGCTACCGCAAAATGTACCGTGAACCGACGATCGAACAACGCGCGTGGCTAGTACCAGTTCAGGCTTAAATGGGGTAAGACTGGCCCATCATATCTCCTAAGCCTGCACGGTGACCTATCTTTTTTTTTTGTCGTAGTTCTCGAAACAGAGATCGGTGGGTGCAAGTTATTTAAGGAAAGTCTCAAAACATATTTCGATAAATTTTATTGTAAAGAATCCCCTTAACTGATATCGCTTTATTGGTATCGGTAACTCTATCGAGCGAACAAAGACCAGCACGTGCCACAATAATCTCAGATGTGTTATTTTAATTCAATAGAACAATTAAGAACACATTATCTGTGCCCGTTGCTCTTCATTTCATCACGTGACCTAAAAGTCACCTGACCCAGATCCAGATCCCCCGTCGGTTGGCAGACATTTTCCCCAGACTGTGCTAGTGGTGGTTTGTTCACATGCATATCCAGGCACACAAGGACATTCGCGAACAGATTGCTGTGAAAACAGGGTAAAATATAATAAATGAGGAAGGATATGAAAAGTTTGCCACAATTCTACGAAAGGCAATTCAAATAAAGGAGATTTGAGTTTCCTATGAAGATTTAAGCTCTGACAAGTTACGATTTATCAGAGGGATGCTCTATTTACAGAGCAACAGAGAGGTTGATTGCAAGCTTTGCAAATGCAAACTTTAGGATGAAAATTAATTTCAAGGGGGGGGGGGGAGTCTAGTGGACCGGAGACGGTACAGTATGAATTTCATTGGGTCTGTGCCGCTGAGATTTTGAACACTAAACCAAAATCAGACTTTATCTTTTATGTATAACTTGGTGGAAAAAAGAACACATTCTTTGTTAGACTTACTATTTAACAACTATGACTTTCTTGTGATCGTAGCCTTGACTACGCTAGAGAGGTCGTTCTTAGACACTTATTTCTGCAGTTCATGAAAAACAAGACCTTCAACTTCCGTTCCCTTCGTTGTTCTTGCAGGTTTGTATATGTTTGAACACAATTTGTTGTTGTCTTTCTTACCTTTAATGGACACCAAAATCCGCGCCCAGGTTTGACGAGACTCTTGCACACTCCATGTTGATCGTTTCCTTTGGCACAGCATTGGTTTTTGTCACAGTCCCCATCAGACGAACAAAATCCCGGCTGAGGCTTGCAGAATCCTCCCACACAATGGTCACCAAGCTTACAATCGTACTTACTATTACATTGGCGTTTTTTGCACCTTTCTACAAAAGCAGAAACATTAACAAGGATTAACTTGTGAATCACAACATTATTTTTGGAGAAAATCTACAAAGCGGGGCGAATTACAAAGAAACTTTACTAAATCATAATAAAAAGATTTCATTTGCAAACCAAAACCTTTTTTTTATTCGCAAAAAGAAACAGGTTTTTGTAAAGGACTGGGTTCAGTTGTATTAAGGCCAGATAACGCTATCCTAGGGATAAATCACTATCCAACAGATAAGTGTTAACAAAACGTACTGCGCTATCCACCGGATAGAGATTTACCCACTGGATAGTATTATCCATGCTTCGGGCAACCGGGGCCACTCTGGTCACTATTTATGGCATGGGCTGGGGGAGGGTTTGATTGTGCCACGATAAAAATTTACCAAATGCCTACAAGTGCTCGGTAAATGTTATTAATGTTCGCCCCTCATTAGCTATCAATTTTTAATAGTTCCCCCCCCCCCCCTTCATACTCTGATTCCTTCTCCATTTCCCCTGAAAACCATGCGATCCCCCAAAATCTAACATTCCCCCCCAACCTAGTGATAAAGAATGACTGGTCCGTAATGATCCACATTACATCCTAATACTTTCCGTAAACTCACTTGCTACACAAACATATCCATCCTTGCAATATCCTGGGTATCCCTCGTGGCAGTAAGCTTGGTAGCCTCTGCAGATGCCCGGATAATAGCAAGCCTCGTTATCAGGACAGTCTGTATGTTTCCTGCACTCTCGCTTCTTACAGATACCACCCTTGCAGATGTTCCCGTAACCACATTCATGGTGGGCATAACACCTCCTGATTCCTTTCCTGCAGACCCTTAGGTGAATGTCGCAGTATTGGTCCGAGGGGCAGTGATCGTGAGCTCCACAGGAGCGAATGGGCCGGCAGTTACCACTGTAGCAGTAGAATCCATCGTGACAATAATAGTTGCCGCATGGTATCTGCCAATGATATGTTGCGTGAAATGTTTGTGTGTTTTTGTCGAAGAGTGATAAATAGCTTGGGAATTTTCCTTTTACCTTCCTTTTTCTTAGTGCATATATATATAATATATATATATATATATATATATATATATATATATATATTTATAGGATATTTTCAGTATATAAATAGGATTTGTTGTAGGAGGGCCACAAGTTTATCAGTATTGTAACTGTTTCGTGTTACCCTCGATAAATAAAGTTGGATTGATTGATTAATTGATTACCTTCGCCTAACTGGTACGGCAAAATTTAGTAAATCTTACAGGATAGTGTAGTTACTGGTGATTTTTTGCACTGAGGGAATTAGTAGTCAACACAGGGTTATCTGACTTCGTAACTGTTTACACGCATCGATAGATCCGGCGTGTTGGAACGCTTCTTGAACAGATTTTTCAGCTCAACTGTCCTTTGTGATGACGAAGGGCTAACGCTCGAAATATCAGCTTAGAAACTCTTTGGGATGGCCAGTTTACATTATCAACTCGGTTGATAAAATAAAAATATCACCGATAGATGCGGCGCGTTTAAACGATTCTTCAACAGATTTTTTAGCTCGACTGTCTTTCGTTCCGACGAAGGACTAACGCTCGATACAACAGCTGAGAAACTCTTTACGGTGGCCAATTCACATTATCAGCCCAGTTGATAAAACAAAAATATCATAGATAGATGCGGCGCGCTTAAACGGTTCTTCAACAGATTTTTTAGTTCGACTGTCCGTCGCTCTGACGAATGGGTAATGCCCGAAACATCAGCTTAGAAACTCTTTACGTTATTTACTCAATTGATAAAACCAAATTATCTTGTTAAACTCTTCCACCGATGCAGCACCACAGTTTCCTTAGAAACTTACCCCTTTTATTCGTTTGTCCTTTGGGACAATTTTGCGGTAGTCTTGGATGTATCTATGTATCTGAATGAGACAACAGCTGTCTTGTTCGATCGACTTAGAATGCTATTAAAACTCTACCATGAGCATCTGAACATTGCTTCAATTCGAAAAAAATTATACGTCTTTTCACTTTAGAAAAAAAAATATCGATCCTTCGAAAAAAAATTATACGTCTTTTCACTTTAGAAAAAAAATGTCGATTCTTATTCATAGATCAATCAACAAATATCGTGGTTTTATGATATCAAAAGAAAACAATGTCCTTTTTTTGTATCTCGATGATATGAAAGATTTTCACAACGAAAAGGCACCACCGTGACGGGGTCAATGTAGTTACACTTAGATATCCTACAATTCCGCCACGATTTCAAATAGTTACAAAATGAGGTGATTTAGATTTGTCTTTCTTATCTAGAAAAATAACGTACTTACATAAGCACGCTTGGCGATTTCAGTATCTTCCTCTATCTTAGCTTCACCGTGACTAGCCACATAGAACGATGCTAGCACTGAGAATCCCAAAAGAAACCTCATTTCGCCAAAGGGTAAGAACAGTGCCAACCAAGTCTTTTGTCTTTTGTAAAAAGGGCACGAAAAGCATCCGGTTTATACGCTTCGTTTTTGCCACGTTGCTCGTTTCCATCCATTGTGAACCAAGGAGCACTGAACAAGCGCTGGGAAGTCTGTTAGCAGCTCAAATTTGCCGTTTGGTTCAACGCTTTACAAATTTTCTTCTCCACGTGTGAAGTTTGTTTTGGGCGCGTGTAGAGCATAGAAAGCGGCATCTTAAACATGTTCAACGTTTGTGGCGCCTTTCTTTAGTTTTTAGAATGCGTATTTAATGAAAGTGAACGTGCTCGGAAAGCATATTTGATTAGCTGTTTCACATAATTCTTAACATTGAGTTTCCAATTCGCTCAAGAACAATAATTAAAGCAACTTTTTATCTCAATCTTCACTCCACGACTAAGTTTAAACGTTACAGTCTTGGCTCAGTATCTCAGAGACTGTCGAAGAAGGCCACTGGTTCGGAAACCCCACAGATTTCATCCTTACTGAGAGGTTGTTAGGTTTTTTTTCGAAGAAGGATGGCACCATGTATAATAGCTTTCCAATCGTTTTGAGTTTATTTTACCATATTAATAACTCTACTTATTCATTTATTTAGTCATAGTCAGTGTGAACACACGAAATCGACTGACAAGAGGCCTCAAATTTTAAAATCGGCCTTATTAAGCTTGGAAATTAAGTCGTTTATATGGGTAAGCTACGGGTAAACTCGAGAAAAAGTCCATATGTAACACGATGCCTTTGCATTGTTGTAGTAACACACGGTTAGTAAATATATTTGGGATTTGGTGGTTGAGAGATGGTGAACTGTAAGCCCGAAATTCAAACAAAAAATGACATTACAAAACCCTTCCTTTTGTTATTTGCACAGATGATAACAATGTCTACATCAACTTAAAGTTATATCACGTTTACCTCTAGGACAAGTAAAGGTCCTACAAAACTATAAAAATATTCGTTTTTTCTCGATTGTCTGATACCATGGATTCAAAGGAAACTAACAGACAGATGTAATGGGTTTCTTTTGTTAATTAATCCACTGTTTTAAATCAGTCCCTACTAACGACTTCTTCCTCGTAAGTTTCAAAAAGAAGATAAAAAGAATGAAAAAATCTACTGATTAAGGGCTGCGAGTTAAAAAACAGTTCTTGATAAGAACTGTTCGACTCTGCATATGGTCCTGGAAACCTTTAGTAGTACTTCTCAATTTAGCCGAAAATGTTTGTTGACCTCGAAAGACGCAAGGTAATGATGATCGTTTGTAAAATTAGGAATGGCATGGATTGAGGAGTGGGTAGTGGAGCATATGGGTCTGATTTCAAGAAATATTTTGTAGCGCCTTTTTGCGAACATCTGCATCGTGACAAAGATATCCGACGAAAGTAAAATCGACAAACAATAGCTATCACGCTGTGCGTAACCAACTTTTTCACTGTGACTACGTTACGCCAGTCACATTAGGAAGAAAAAGGAAAAAAAAGCATTTGAATATTAAGTAAGATACTCTGAGGTACATGAAGTATTCGATGCATATGTCTGCCCTTTGGACGACCACCAAACTACATCTCAGACAAAGTTTCATTTGCCATGTTTTATTATCCCCTTTTTGTTTAAAGCAATTAATATTACACCAATGTTGCCAACTGAGCGAATTTGAAATGTATCGCTGGCTCAGCATGATGACGAGGCTATTCCCCGAGCCCAGATCCAGGCTCCTCGGTAGGGGGCGCAACCTTTACACATTTGCCCCAGTACTCTCCCACTCCAGCGTCCTGGCATTCATATCCCTCGATGCAGCCACAGTGGTAAATATCGGCCTAAAAATCACATCGAGCGAACAAAATCTATCAGTTAAAATTTATTTTATCAAACGAGCATTTATAACGTCAGTTTTAAGTTGAATCAAGTCACAAGTATGTAAGATTATTCATAGCTGGGCTTGTCAAAATATTTCTCCACGCTTCGTATTCTCAGCCGTTAACTAGTACAGGAAAGAAATATCACGAAAAAATAATGGATGAGGAGACGATTTGTACAAGTAAAAACGGATTCGTGATATTTGGTTAGTCTGAACATTTTAATATCCTGGGCCCAGTTGGTCAAAAGGCAAATAACACCATCCAACGGATAAATCGCTATCCAGAGAATAACTGTCAACAAGATGTACTGCGCCATCCACCGGATAGAGATTCATCCACTGAGACAGTGTTCGTCCACCATTCGAACGACCGGACAAACCAGCGCCTGTAATTCATTAACTGTAATTGATTTCTAAGCCTAATGTTCAATATTTAGTCTTGTATGTGAACAGATGATGGTCCGGTTAAGACTATCTATAAATCAGAACTCAAGTGAATATGACATATCCCTATATTCTGGCCTGAACCAGAAGCCTACTTCTCTACATGTCCCGTTATCTTCTCTTGTAAATATCTAACACTGCCCCTCGTGATTACCATGAATGAACTCGCGATCAGCAGTCGACAAAAGACGGCGACTAATGTTTTTACAATGTTAGCAGAAGGATTTATGAGGATTTGGCCACTTTGTAAGATCGCCCGCTGAAGTAAAACAAGTTCGCCCACATTTTAACCATTTCGCCCCAGAATTCATCATCAGTCAAGTGAGAATTTTGATAGTCGAATGGTATGAGTCCAGCTCGTGGATGTTGATTTTTCAGTTTGGTTGCTCAACCCAGTAGGGCGTAAGACCCATAATAAATTCGCTCGTTGTATTTAAACCCCCTTTATCTTATTGTCATTATCTGATGCAAGGAGGCTGGCAAGTGTACATATCTGTTCTTCCCTTGAGAGTAACCTGATCTAAGTTTTCAACATAGCTCTTTAAAGTTAGAGACTGCAAAAAAAATTGAATTAAACCTAAGGTAGAATCAAGAAATAATGCGACATAACAGAATCTTTGGCTGAATAGGACTGTAAAAGTCAAGACAATTCAACACAATCTTTAAAAATATGGTTCAAGAATCAGAATACGAATTTAAAGGGAAAGAGTGGGACTGAGAACAAGAGAACCTCGACCAACGCAGACTGAAGGTAAATTCATATCTTTGAAAAATGAATATAAAGCTTTGATTAAGAAAAAACAATTTAATTACCCCTTTGCGCGGACAGTATTTTCCTGCCCCCTTCCGTGGTTTGCAACGACGACCAGAACAGCACTCTGTTTTCTTGCAGCTACTGTCGCTGGAACAACTAGCCACGCACTTCCCCCAATAGTAATTCGACCCATATCTCTGACAAGTGTATCCTTGTCCACAGCCACAGTTGTAACCGTCAGGCTGCGAAAATCAAAAAAAAAAATTCTAAATACGTTAATTTTGAAGGAAACCGAACCACTGCGCACGGTCTACCGATAAATTGTATATTGGAAATCGCATATCCAGGGGCTCTGACTAGGAATGTAACTCTGTTTCCAGTCGTTCTCCCTTGGAAAATAGTTACAACTATTAACCGAGATGGCTAAGGGTTAATATTGATCAGGCAGTGAGGCGGTAAGGTAAATATCCACCGCTAGCCACCGTTATTGAGGAGAATATTTGTTTTAGAATCAAATAAAACGAAGTGAGATGATAAAATACAAAAAGATGATTTTAACTCAATATTCCTGTAACGATTACAACAGTTTCAGGCGCAGATCCCTCGCGCGTTTCACGGAGGTGAATAACAAAGGATATTCAGGGTCTGAGTGGCCAATCAGAGGGCGCCTTCAACGCTATCAACTGTTTTATTCAAGACTAATGACCTTTGTCCTCAAAGGTATACTTTTCTTTTCAAAGCGCCTTCGAATTGGGCAATACATTTTCAAGGACATGAAAAAGGTCTCTATTAAAGACAAATTATATGAAAATCTAACTCACTCCCTTCCATGGACACCATCCTCCCGGTTGCTTGAGGCTTCTACAGTATCCATAATACTGGTACGAGTACTTTGCACAGCACTGCGAGCTAGAACAGTGCGATTTGTGAGAGCATCTACGCGGGTTAAGTCGACAACAGCGGCGGTAATATCTATGGCAGTAATAACCGCTTGGGCAATGCCCATTGTAGTAACATCCTCTCTGTTAAAAACAAACATCAGTTTGTATATTTTCCATACTGTTCTTTGTAAATTTCTCTCGTGTTCTCCCAACATGCCAAGTGGGTTATCACGCCAGTGAACCAATAGAAAGTGAGGTCCATTGTTTTTATATGATAAATTTAATAAGATAAATTTAATTCTGTATGGTGCAATACATAATCGGTTTTTGACCAATCAGGGCGCGCGTGGTATCCTAGTTGTTTTATAACGCATAATAATTGCATATTTTTTTCAATGCTCAGTTCATATATATTCTGATATTTCTATATTTGTTCTTGTCTTATTCCTTCTTCTTGGTTTGTTGTTGCTGTTATTTTACCTTTTTTTCTTAAATTTTTTTTGCTTTTTATTTTTTTTATTTTGTTATGTTTGGTTTGCTTTGTTTTCATTTGGTGTTTTTTAAATTTTTTTTCATTTTTTGTTGTTTGAATTTTTCACTTTTTTCGAATAAAACGTCCATATACGATTTAAAGAAATGCACGATTTACAAATCTACACAGTAAACAATTTAAGGGAGTTACCGTCCAACATTTAAAGAAAATACCCCTTACCTTTCATCTGTTTACATCTTAAGCTGTGAGGCTTAAAGTTGCGGATGTCGAAAAAAATTTTTTGTTTGACTTTTCAAACCTTTTAATCTGAAACAAATTTTGAAGTTTGTTCGCGGTATATCAGCAAACAAACTGCTACCGAACCCTTTTCTCATCCAACAGAGTTACAACCAAAAATGATACATCTCGCTTTCTCTAGAGCAAGCAAATTAAAGATATGTGCCTTATTGATATTGTTATGGTTGACAAATGAAAGTGATGTAAAACTACTCAAGTAAAGTACGTACGATATCTTTTCCGTGTAGATGTGGTTGTCAGATTAATATTGCGACTTGATACACACCGACAAGAAGTAACCTTCCTCAGGGTGTTTGACACGTGTAACGGAAACAATCAAGATTTTCCCCCACATCCTAAGGGCGGAAAATGATGAGAAGAAGCGGGGGAGGGACGGTCTCGTTTTTTTGCTATCCAGTTACCGGACAACAGAACAAGTAATTTTTGTCTCAAAACTTGAAATTAATCTTTTATACAATCTTTTCTTAAAATTTGGTGGAATTTGGCGTCCTTACGAGACACATTCTAAGATGTTTCCGCCGCGTAAACTGATACTCAAACTTTTTTCCCAAAAGTTTCTGGGACCAGAATATCGCTTCGAAGAGTTACTGTAGATTTTTTAGACTTTGAATCAATCTATTTAATTCTATTGTGCTATTCTTCATCTTGACATAAAAATAGGAATGGAAGTCAAAGTCGAAGTTGCCGGTGAACTTTAAGACCCGTTAATTTTTTCACGGATGACTCTTATCACAAATCACAAAAAACTGTGCTTATAACACGTTTTACGTTTCACGTTTCACGCGAGAACATTTTGCAATTCCTCTTGTCCTCACGACAATGGAAAGAAGGGGAATGAAAGGTTCACCACTTACCACTAACAATAATAAGAAAAGTCAATTTTACGTAGGCTTGTGAATGCTTTTCCCCAAAAGGAGCTAGCGTTCAACTCAGAATCAGACCGCTTACCGCCAAACAATAATAATTATGATGCCGTTTCTCCGTTGCGTGATCCTCCTGATCCATTAACAAAGGGTCTTGCTCCTCAACGAACGGTTCACAGTAAACCGTAGCGACGAACGCCAAAAGCAACACCTCTAGCCTCATCTTGAATGACTCAACGAACGAGTAAAAACCTTTGTAGGGCCTTTGACAGTCCGGTAAGCTTTATATCGAGTAACTGCCCTGTTTGCACAATCTGACCACGCAAAATGTCTTGTTGTGTACTTTCGATGCTGTCAAAAGAACATTAAAAAGTTATATTCTGGCCGATTGACATCGTTTCTAAGTATACACTATTCTCAACATAAAGACTTTATTTACAATTGTTGTTTTATTAAAAAAATGGTATTTTAATGGGGAAGATCAAATATGAACTTCCAAAGTTTAAAAACGTGACGATTTATAGGAAACATACGTACATAAGAAAAGTATTCTTCGCTTTGTGGCATCGAATTTCTGATGGTCATCTTTCCTTTTCTTTCCTCCTCTTGATTTCTTTTCGGACTAGCGACCAAATCAGTAACGCTTATTTTTTTCCACTTCAGGTCGTAACATGATTTTAAGCCAGGTTATAATTAACAATGGTGTAAGAGTGTCTGCAAACATCTCTTCAAATTCGTTTTCCCGACCAGAAATATTGACCATTTTTCAGCGACAAATTTGCAAGAAATGCCTTTCAACTGAGATACGTACAATACGTATAATACGTAGGTGTAAAGAACTAAAAGTTTGAAGATAGTCGATCGGAAGTTTTCATTTGCAGAATCAGCTGTATAAACATTAAAAAAAAATCAAATTGGTAGCTGTCAAACTTGTCAGTGGTATAAAAGGTATTATGTAAAACGATTTCACTTCTAAAACTCCGGATACAACTGTTATTAAACAAAAAATAAAATAAAACAACATGGAAGATCTTAATTTACTAAAAGACGACGAACAACTCCCAGATTAAAGTACAATTATTAGATGATAGTCCATGAAAAAAAAATTGCTGCATTGTTCATTTTTTTCCAATTTAGAAAAACAATTTATTTTATTTTAAATAATTACAAATTCTTGTTTTCTATTAGTAAATTATTTTAAAGAAGTTTTTAACACGTTGACTAAAAGCCGACATTCATGAACATGCTAACTTATTTTTGAAACTAATTTGGATCCCTTAAAGGTGAATTTTCTCGTGGTAGTAATTTTTTGTTCAGTTTTGTGAAAAAAATTATAAAAATGACTCCTTGTACAGACTTGCATGCGTACAATTGTCAAGTAACGTTTAAATAAAACAAATATATTTAGAAAGGAAACATACAAGTGCTCGAAACACTTAACCAAGGACCGAATATACAGCTTTTTGAACGAAAAACAGGCAAAATTTGCTATAAAGATACAAGAAAAGAAATTATTACTTACAAGATCTGTACACTTCTCCTGATACAAACATGAACTAATTTACAATGCGAATTACGACGATCTTATTTTGTTTTTTGACGGATAACAGAGAGGCAAATGAAGTTACGAAAGGAACAATGCACGGTTAAGTGATACGACGCCGAGGGAACAATCAATCCAAATTCGAAAAAAATACGGATGGGAAAGTGAACGGCTGAAAAACAAGCGAAAAAATTGATTTGAGTAGTAATCCTCCATGAAAAATAGTGAACAGAATGGACATCATTCACTTAAACAGCATCATAGAATGAGAAAGTGGCAAGAAAAACCAATATAGTAGAGTGTCTTTGATTTATTTATTTTACAAAAAAGTAATAACTACGGTTACAGGTTCGTGTCACAAAATTGCGGACAAAAATATGTCATTCGTTGTTGTACAAAACTGTATTCAACGATATTCCGTGAAAAAATTTCATTTACTTTGTAAACTGGCATTATCCACATGTAACCATTATTCAATAAACTCTCCATAGATGTTCTTATAAATTTTCATCGTCTTTCTGAGCGATATAAAGGATTTGTCGATGTAGAATTCCATATTGTCGTTGAGATGACGAATCCTCCGGGCTCTCTTTCACATGACCAGACGTCATCATGATGGCGAGGCCAGATGAAGCATTATCTGAGTTTGAATTTCTCGAGTGGGCGCCCGGTAATTCTCATGACAAATACAAGAAATAGACCTGAGTCTTAGATTTCTTCTGGAATCGTCGGGCACGACTCTGGACCAAATACAAGGAAGAGATCCAAAAATACCTTTTTGGGATTGCAGCAGAAAATGTGTATGTCCATATATTGAGGGTTTAAACAACAAGTTAAGATTAATTATCAAACAAAATAATACACTGCCTTAAAAAAATAATATGGGAGAAACCTTCTATAAGGAATGGACTCAAAATTTCCTGCTCCAATATTTAGGCTTTTTTTTTCTTTTTTTGTATTGTTTTTGTTTTTCATTGTTTGTTTGCTTGTTTGTTTTGCTTGCAACTGAAATTGCATGGCTGTTGTTAGCCAAACCCTCCGTTTTCCAGATACTTTCGATTGAAAATTTGGTGTTGTTTATCAATCGTATTACAATTTAGATTGTAACAATTATATTGAAATTTTGTATTTCATTAATAAGAATGAAAAAGGAATGTAAGTATTGTATGTGACGTTAGTAGTATGTCCTTGGCAGTTAGAATTCATGTTCTGAAATAATGTTAACATTGTAAAAGATTGAAAAAAAAAAAGAGATCCGTGGTCCTTTAAGTGGATTTTTCTAGACTTTGTGATTCCTTAGTAAGGTGGTTTAGTAACTCTGTCACAGGAAAAGCTTCTGAATGCCTTAACACCGCTGCAGCTGTAGGAAAACTGCCATCCAATCCGAACAAAAGTCGTAAGAGTCCCTTCGTCACGTCCATGGCTTCAGAGGGAATAAATTCCTCTGGCTTGCAGGAGTTCTGTCTCTGAAGAGCTCTTTCCTACATGGATTAATTTACAAAATTACCGCATCAGTCTGGACACGGACTGAATGGTTCACATTGCCTGCTTTTGGGTTGGGATTATTTCTTTTTTGCCTGAAAGGGATGCTTATCTAGTCCATGGCAAGCAGCTTTCCTCCCGTCTCCCGTTTCTTCAATGGTTCAAGCCATTTTTCAGCAATCACCTAATTTGCTTTTACCAATCGGGCTGATAATGTAAATTGGCCACCGTAAAGAGTTTCAAAGTTAACGTCAGCGTTAGCCCTTCTCATTCACTCTGTCCACGAGCTAACGCTGGAAACGTCGGCCTTAGAAACTCTTTACGGTGGCCAATATGCATTATCACTCAGGTGATAACACCAAATTACCTCCCGCCTACACCAGAATGTTTGTAAATCGAATGGTTACTCACATCGATCAAACGAAGAGGTCTTTCACGATTCAACATCTCCAACAACAGGCAGCCGGTTCTCCAGATATCGAATGAAGGTCTGAATTCCCGTTCCTGTCAAGCAGAGGGGAAACTTTAAGGCCCAGTCCTTTTTAACGACTGAGGTGGGAGCCGGAGGATTTTGGAGGGACGATCATTCGTCAGCGACAGAGGATAAAGCGGGACTATAGAAAATTGTCTGGCATTTAACAGCCAATGAGGGGGATCACAAAAAATTACAGGGCCTTATTGGTGGATTAACTAAATTTCATCGAGACACAACCAACATCCTTAACCCTTCCCCCCTCCCACCTCCCGCCCTTAATTCCCCTCAGGCGATGAATGGAAGTTAACGCGTTTTTTCGAAACCTGCTTTTGTTTATATTGGTTAACAATTCGCTTAACAATACGACCAAACACATTATCTAGATGTTTTTTGCGGTGTGGGTGGCATAGCTTAGATTATAACATAGCTAGTAAATTTGTCTAATCAAATTCAATTACGCGAGCGTGCTTCATATTCCTATTTGTTCACAAATTGGTCGCGAAAAAAAATTTCCATCGGGTTGAAAATTTATAAAACAGGTTCTTTCAAAAGTGTGCGTTCATCGAGATTGTCAGGTAAGTTCGGAGAGCACTCAAGAAGCTAGAGTCGCTCGGACGAAGAGCAACTCTTGCGCATCTTTCGTGCCAAACGTCAAGAACGGAACAATTGTTTACAGGTCTTTGTTTACTATTTGGTTTCATATCATTTCGTTGATAATTTGAGCGCCCTACTTTGGCCTGTTAAGCTTACCATAGTTGCACTTTCTGCAGATCCAAAGTCTGCTAACTTAGCAGAAAGAAATCCATTTTCTTCTAAGTCTAAAAGAACATTATCTCCTGCAAAGAAAAATTCAAGGTTACTTCCACACTCCTTTTATAGAGACTCCTTTAATTTGTTACTGATAAATTGAGAGTCTGGGAAAGGGAGAGGGTGGAAGTGCGCAGTGGACGATGGGAAGGAGTTCCAGTACAACCAACAGACACTCTTCTCTTAACTTTTGAAGTAGGCTAGTATTTTCAAGCTTGCAAAAAATGATAATGAAGATGAAAATATAGAACATTGAAACAAAGATAGTCCGTGCAATACCTTTAATGTCTCTGTGTACGATCCCCTTGCAATGTAAGAATTCTAGAGCTTTAAGGACGACCTCTAAGAAACGAAGACTATCCATTTCTTTAATTTTCCGATCTTCATATCAGCTCAGCAATGGTTCCGCCTATTAAGAAACGGAAGTAGAATTTTAGAAAAGGGCTAGGAGATCTATCCTGAAATTTTTAAACAACACCATGATGACGTTCTTCCAAAAATTTAAGGACTAAGAGTGCAGTCCCACTGCTGCGTCCATAAATATGTTTCATTAAACAGAATTTTTAAATCAGTCGATCAATAATCTCACATGGATTTAATTGTAATACAGTCCGTAGTCAGGACCAAATCAGACGAAGATGACAAAGATTTTACATGTATTTAGAATTGACAGCTCGTTTCTTGCAATCGTATTCGCCAGTTTCGTGCAGGCAACTCCTGTATCAGTAGTAGCAAACTAGAACTGTGGCAGCTTTTATTCACTGAGAGCCTTAGATTGAGGTTTCTATTGGCCATGCTATTCTCGGAAAAAGATCTGGTCTGGCAGTAGTTGAGTCACTCAGACTCTCTCGAGTTTCTACTGTTAAATAATGTGTTAATTATTACGGAACACGAGAGAAAGCTTGACTGAGTTAGCCATGTTTTTTTTACCTGCCATATACTCCATAAAAATGCAGACATTTTTTCCTTTGACTGTAGCACCGTAAAACTCAACAATTTCTGCAATCTCATTCTTCCTTGCAAGACTGAGGGCCAGAAGTTCATTCACCTCGTATTTACACTTGCAATAAATGAACAAAACAAAACATCAGTGGGATAAACAACATAAAAAATAAACAGTACATTGAGATTTACTTTACCCTTAAACGAGCTGATTTCAGGGACTTACACTGATGAATGGACAATATTAAGTTAGGGCACCGAAAGAAATTAGGGCTTAGCTCTCTCTCCTAAGAATAAATTGATGCCCATGATCATTTTCTTTCCCAACTAGCTAATGATGACCCTTACATTTAACTGAGTTTCATTTCACAGAGCTGATGTTTCTATAGACTTTGGCATTACCTTTTTGACACAAACAACCCTTTCTTCCTCGTTATCAACTCCTCGAACAGTGGCAAGGAAGCATTTTCCGTATGCTCCTGCTTTTACGTCTACGGTAGCAAGCTGATAATCATCACCCTCCTCAAATTTACATTGATCACTGAGGGAGAATTCCTCCTATAAACCAAAGCAAATGATGGCCGGAGTTATATTGAAAGTTTCTCTCTTAAAAATATGCTTTGATCATGATATACTGAATGCACATGCACGGAAACATAACATCACTGTAAATAGCTGAGCTTCATTATTTTACCAGGGGAAAATAATAGGGAAGGGGGGTCCCTGGAGTACTTGTGATTCGCTCCCTTCATGTGATCAATTCAGGAGGAATCTTATAATTATCAACCTTTAAGATCACTTCGCTGAAAGGGGCTTAACTAGACCTAGCCCAGAAACTTATTCAAAATGCGAACAACAGGCTTAGCCCTTAGTGTTTAACAACAAATTCTCAGAACCCAAATTATACCTTAAGCGGCCAGAGAATTTTCACTTCGTCATCGTCTTGAAGCATGGAAGGAAGACTGAATGACGCTCGACTACTCAAATAACTGTTGGAACAAAGGCGCGACGGCGGCGACATTGAATCAATGGCATCTATTTCGATAGCCGAAGCTGACTTGTACTCTTCGTCATATATAGGAGAGTGTTTCGGCGGAGAAGGAAGTTTAGGTAAGCCTTTTGAGTCACTGGATGTTTTTTTATCAGGAGGCTGCTCCAGCAATGAGATGGTTTCATGATGTGGCGCTTGTGACTCTCCTGCTGGTAAACTAAAGAGCTGGTTCCATAAATCATCCAAAATACTTCTCTCTGGGACTGCGGCTTTTGAAATATCTGCATCGACGCTATCATCACATTTACCGCTTTTTGACCCTCCTGCTGTCAAACCAGAGAACTGGCTCGACAAATTGGTTGAAACACTTCTCTGTGAAGCCACAGATTCAGAAACTTCTGTATCGACGATGACATCATTATTGTCGCTGGAGTCACTGACGTAACCAGAAGTGTTATTATTGTTGTAAGTCTCACTTGTTACCCTTTTAATAGAGGGCCTCTCAGTAACTTTGATCTGGTCATGTTCATCTTCCATCTCAGAACAGCGATTGAGTCAAGCCCATCGCGACACAAACCGCACCAATCCAGACAATTTGCAACCCGACGACGACATGAGCTGTATCAACAAGGCGGAAGGAACATCGATCACAAGTATAAGTCCACTGTCCTACGATCACCCCTCTCGATTGACAGAAATGTAATAGCAATATTTTGCCAATAAATTTAAGGACGTGGATGCGTGAAATTGCTCATATTTTAGGTGATATTTCCTTTACATTATAAACAACAATGACAGATTCGTATGTTTTCCATAAACAAATATGTTCGTTCCAAACTATCAGGACAGCAGATTCGAAAATGGAATGTTGCATTGTAGCATAAATAAAAACCTTTTCTGTGTTCGTTCCCATCTTAACACTTGAGGGTTGGTCTTTTTTCGCGGCGTTAAAATCCAAGATGGCGATTACAACTACGATAGTCGGCGCGTGTCACATCCTTGTGTCCAAAACTTGTGTCTAAACTCTTGGAGCGCGCTAGATATGTTAGTTATTATATGAAAACTCCTTACGGTATAATCTTGTGGTGTCAAGCAGCATTTCTGATTCGCCAACACCGCACATGCAGAGTACCACTAGATTAACATTACCGAAGAGTTTTGCCAGCAGTGTCGAAAAGTTTTTCTCTCGTTCTATCATTATTTCAATCTTTACTTGGGTTTTTTCATTTTTTTAAAGAAAAGCTAACATTGAAGTCGCAGTTGACGAATATTAATGTGCCCAAATTATGGAAACTGATCGGACTCTGCAACCTGACATTCATTCGGATAACCACTATATATATATATATATATATATATATATATTATATATATATATATATATATATTTTATATATATATATATATGACATCTATCAGACAGTGACTAAAATCTTATTTAACCCTCCTCCTAAGAATAACATCGATCATCCCTGAATCACACATCAAGGTCGCGAATATAAACAAAGGAAATGATCACCATCTAGGGAAGCTCTTGATTGCTTAACAAATTCTCTTTGTAGCACTTCAGGAAATGTATAGAGAAGTGTATGGAGAATATGCATACTGATGTTCTTCGAAGTATTACCTGCCCATAATGTTGATTGTACGCGCATGCCTGCTCTTCTGTGAGCGAAGGACCGAGTTTTCCTTTTAACGAACTTTTCATTTTTCATCCTTGTTTTTTGTAATTTATGATCATCCAATTAATGTTTCTCTCCCCTTGACAACTCCAACTTACAATGTGTTTAGTCTCGTGAAGAGCTCCGAATCAATGTCAGAATCTGAGCAATTGCACACCTACCCCTTCCCTAACACAAAACAGTCAACTGAAATGAAATTAGGGCTAATTAAGTTGGCTTAAGGGAGAGGTAGGAGCGCAATTATTCAGACACTGACATACGATCCACAACTCCTCCAGTTGGGTTGAAAGAACTGCCAATGCTGCAAAGCTAGAAGATAGAAGCTAGGGGACAACAACTTGTGAAAAAGCTGCACTTTATTACCATATATGTAATGCGACGTACATATGCCGTTCCGCTCTTTTTACCTTTTTTGCATACTGAAAATGGTGGCCTCTTATTTAACACTTAAATTTTCCACCTTGTTTTTTATGCACTCTGTTGAAATTCGACTTATCAAGACTTATTGAGAGGTTTCAAAAAACGCGATTTTCTAATTTTTGCTTCTAGTGAGTGTATCTTGAATTTTTTTGCTTTTCCCAATTCTCCGGCAATTCACGCTCATAACAAAATGACGTCACTAAATTCTCTTGACTCTCGCCTCACAAATCATTTAGCATAGACTGAATGGTCCCTCAAAGAGAAAAACTATTGATGGTAAGCTGTAAATGTTGGCTTCCACTTTTCGGCTTTTTGCAGCATTTCCTCGAATTGGTTGAAGAAAAAAAACTTACGTTGGTTTTACATCACATTCTGATGGTGTCGATGTCACGTTTTCTCACCTGATTTATCTGATGTATCTCAAACATGGTTATCACAATCATGAGTTTTTGAAATTCCCTGACTTTTTTTCTGACATACGTAAAATGTCCTTGATCAACTGAATGTACAATTTCAAACGAGTCCTGATAATGACCTCCACCCTTCCCCCCTTAGTCAGCCTTTCTACTCACAGATTTATGCTTTCAGTAAGTCACATACAGCGTACATGAAGTTTCACTTTTCCACGACTTCTTTCAAATACGTAAATTTTTCCTTGACGCAAAATGAAATTACCTGTCTTTTCCTTGACCTTGAAGAATTGCATTTTGCCCTGACTTTTTCCTGGCCTGTAGCAACAATTTGGAAAAATTAAGCGTCAATTTTTTTCTAGTCTGACATTTTAATCCGTTTAAATCTTTGTCATCCTTTCCCATTTTTTCTCCCATTTCATTTCTTCCTTCCATAGAAGTGTTTTGTCACCTTATTATGCTAATAATTTGTGGTTTCCTTTGTAGTGAAAGTAATTTTACACGTGGCAATCAAACGATACAAAATATAATGACGTAGAGCTTTTAAGATTCACGTGGTATTTAGAGGAATGATAGTTTCTGATACTGTAAAACTTTGGCCGGGATTCGGCGAGTGCACTGGGGCGGCAGGCGCTGTGTGTGCGAAGGGCGTCCCGGAAGCAAACCCGCCTTGATTTCGTATGGTCTGCCGAATACCAACACCAGGTTTTCCGTGATGTGATTCGTCCGGTTCATTCCAGGCGAGTAACGGAGCTGTCCGGCGCTGCGACGGAGGTGCCGAAGATGCCCGAACATGTCTCCGTCTTAGCCCAAGATTTGACCTCACGTGGATTGGCTCGGATTCGTTAAAACTGCACGAAGATGGACGAGAAGTTGAATATTGTGAACGGTAAGTTGAATTCAGGTCGCCTGGTTCATTTCCTCGCCATGTTAGCAAGTCTCGAGTGCTCCTTGTGTGTTGGGTTTGACCTGGCTGGACATACTTCCTTTTTCCCATTCCCTGCGAAGAAAAACAATGATATGAAACGTTTACAGTCAGGTTTGTTAGTCTGGTATCAATGTTTATTTATTTAACAATATGATGTAAAAAATTTGTCTTAGTACCCTTAAATTTGAGTACAAAATGTCACAGTAATTCTCTTAAAGATTACCGTTACTCTTAAAACTGTCACGCAAGCTAAATATGCTTCAGAATCGGTCATATACTACGCTCTCATGGGGTATTGTTAACACTGTCACACCAACTAGCCACACCAACTAGGTGGGTTTACGCCTAAGGTGTAACTTTCTACCCAAAATCCCAGTGGTTTCGTTTTTTTTTACTGCTTGGGTATCCTTCTGGGCAAAAAAACACAAAGAAGAAGTTAATTCCTTCATGCCCCATGTGTGGGTAGGTACTGACACTTGTGCATCTTGGTGCTGGTACTCAGATCCTGCTCTATAATGAGAACCCTGTCATTTACATGCAAGGTTTTGGTTTAAGGCAGGTTCTGCTTGCCTTCAAATTTTCTCTTAAAATGACTCTTAACTGTGTATTAACCCTTTCAGACTAGTCCCAAAATCTGATTGTTAATCATCTCCCCTAGCTGCTGCACATTTCCTTGTAAATTAGTTACGAGAGTTTGGTGTAAGATCAAGATAGCAATTTCTACCTGATTAGTTTCAGTTTTAGCATTACTTTTGTGTGGAATAATGTATGGATATGAATTTTTGTTATTTTTTAACCTGACAGTTTATCAGTAAGCCTGAATATTTAAGCCTTGTGGATAACCTAAGCCTATTTTTTCAAGTTAATATCCTAAAAAATGAATGTGAGTCTGGCACTGGAATAACAAACACATACTGTATAGAAAGATCTGGTAACAATTAAAATTTTGCAACCAGCTTACAGGAATGACTCATGCAGAGCTTTTTCCAAAAATGGCTGCCAATGGTGCACCAGGCAGCCATGCCATTTGGGAAAAACCAAACAAAAGACCTTGCTCCCAGGCTGACTGGATTTTATTGAAATCCTGCCCATGGTATAAACATTGTAAAAACAAACAAAAAGAAAACAATCAAAAGGAACTCGTGAAATAACACAGTGAAGGATCATATGTTATCAATGGCACATTGCATCTTGACAAGGCAATAGACCATAAGTGATAGTTAATAAAACTAAACTGAACTGAAAGAGCAATTCACAAACTTAGAATCATCAGGTGGAGTCCATTGCAGTCTTTAATCATAGTGATGGTAAAAAAAAATATTATGATAAGTTGTATTGTAAAATAATGCAGTTTGATTGGTTCTTGCCTATGATCTAGTGGAGACGGATGCATTGACTGTGTATCACCAACTGAACAGCATTTTGCATGTTAATTATAAAGAAAACAAATTCTTTGTAGCTGAGGGTACGTATAGTAAATTGTAATAAATCATAAAAGGTATCAAAAGCAGTAAGAATATCAGTGACACACTCAGCTGCACCTTAATTTGCCACCTTTTTGTTCTTACCACATTTCGATTTCACCTGTGATCTATTACATGTACTGAACAGAGGCATAGCAACAAGGAATCCATTTGTAACTCAAACATCAGCGAATCAAGACTTCAAATTATTAATCATGAGTATGATTACAGATTGAAATAATTAGACAACAAAAAAGACCTAATAAATTAAAAAAAACTACAACAAAATTTGAGAAACAAAACACCAATCAGCTGAACATATTCATAATAATTATATAAACATGAAAAACACAACGAACCTACAGTCTACAAATGAATTGTCTGTTATGCTGTTCAGTTACAAGCGCGACTCCTTCACTTTCCTATTAACACATAACCTGGACTGTTGCTAACCAATCACATTGAACAATTTTGCTGAAGTTTTTTATCATCAGTAAATGTAATATGACTAGTTAATCAATAACAAAAGTGGATTTTCTTATAATGTAACAGCTATATTTCAAACTTTTTGAAAACAGTTGTGAAAGAGCAATAAATTATGAGTTGAAAATCACTCAATTGCCATGAAAATGCCACTGGAGTCTGATTAAAGAATTTTATTTTCTCAGACATTAAATGTTGCAAGGAAATGATTCAGCAGAATTAAAACACTCACAGATATGATTATTTTCTCCTTCACTTTAGAATTCCTCTAATTTTAACAGGTGACCTCCAAATCAATCAAAAGGTTCTGCCATCAGGATAATAAATAGTACACACTGGTATGGACCTAAGCTCCAATTGAAAATCTGACATATACAGGAACAAGTCCCATAGTAAGGCAGTGATGTAAAGTGACAGGATTTTCCAGCGGAAGAGGCTGCATGATAAGTCATTTTCACATTGCAGGTACTACTCTCTGCATTATAAAATTAGATCTTGGAGACCTACATCATGCCAGCCCTATACTGGAAGTGTTTGTACCTAATGCATCACAATAAATTTGTCAAGTAAAAATTTTACAGATAGCCAAAGTATGTGAGATTTGAAGTTTTTCCTTTTAAATTTGTGACATGTTGAATACTGTTTTAAGTACTCATGCTGGTGAATTTTTCTAAAAGTTGGTGTGAAACAGGATTATGATCCCCCTCCCCCCTCCCTCTTTGCTACAGTGTACTCTGACAGTTGATCAATTGTGAGATGAAAAAAATTATGGGAAAGAATTTGAAAAAACTCCAGTTTTTCTTTCAACCACAGGCCCTTGCTGTGACTGCTAATAAGATCATTGCCTCCAGAACTATAACTTAGGTTGGGTTAAAACAAATATTTCACATTAAAAAGATAACACCAAGATTCAAAATAGTAGCTGATTAATAAATACCATTCCAAAATAAGTTTCAAGATCTCCCTTATCACTATGTGCATGTCTGTTGTCATGTCTCGAGAACAGGTGTCTATTAGATCTTTCCTGTGAAACACATGCAAGAAAAATATTCAGATTAATTACTACCAAACAATACCCACCAAATCATTTCAAGTAACATAATTTTCATACATTGGGAAGTGACATGTATAGCATAATTGATAACGTAAGGTAACTGTTGTTGGTATAGTTCAATTAAAAAAAGCGATGAATGTCACACCTGTCTCAGATATATTTGCAAGATTATATGAAAGGTTAAATCGAACTTCACGTCCTGTTGATCATATTTCAGATAACATTTTTTCATCTCTGTTACGTGAGGAACATTGTATCAGTGAAAAGTTGTTCGCTGTCCCACTGGGTGTTTCTGTTTGGGTTTGTAAGAGAGATATCTAGGTCAATTTTGATGTGGCCCGGAATTCGTATCACCAGTAATTGCCTCTCAACCAAACAGCGAATGCATCATTAAAATCCAACATGGAGAAAATTGTAAAAGTTTTCTGAAGTTCAACTGGTGATGATATCTCATAACGAAGTCAATGTGTGATTTCTATCCGAGCGTAGAAGTCGTCTGCTAGTTCTTGTCTACCATCAAATTAAAGGCAGATACCTGATAGATCAGTACTTGTTGAAAGTTTCACAAGCAGCTGTTTACATGAGAGTAATGACAATGTTTATGTCAGCTGGGAGCTGCGCGTCCGTTTTATTTTCAGAACTTACCTTCGCATAATTCATAAATTTCTCCGGAGGACATGGCTTAGCTCTGTGGCGATAAGGAATGGTAAACTCTGAGCGCGATTTGCTTCGAAAATGTCCATGAAAACCTGAAGGGAACTAGGAAATTATCCGTGTAAATAAATTGTCTTGGACTTCAATCGTTTATACAGAAGACACATGAGAGTCGAATTCGTACAAAGCTTCTGAATAACTCACCCAAGTTCCACGAATGTCGTTATTGTCGAAAACTCTTGTCATCTTGAATTCATCAGGAAACTATTTGGGTAAAAAACGCTGCGTTTCGTTCACAATTTTCGAAGATAGTCGTCAATTATTGTCGGAGAGGTTTCCGATTACCTTCAACCTAAGATCGATGTTGTGTTCGTTACCACGGAGCTTGTAATTGACACTAATTGAAAGCCCCTTGAGAAATGAACCAATGGAACTTCGTTTCACTTCAACGCTCTGAGGTAATTATTCTAATTTTAGAAGCAACGCGTGCTGGTAGGAGATGTTCAATCAATAAGACTCTGAAGACAACAAATCAGACGAAAATGAGTTGCAATCTCACTGCCAACGCTATAAAATAAAGCGCTTACGCTTAGCGTGCGTATGTCGAGTGCACGCGGGAAGTTTGGGGATGTTGAGGACAAGAGATGGGTAAGAGTTGGTGGAGGCGCAGCCGGCTGAGAGCATCTCTAGCTTATTGAGTGACAACACAAATAAAATTAAACCTCAATTGCCCCCGGGCCCATGCGACTACATATGCCAGAAAATTCCGTAGATTCGTGTCGAAAGTATTGAAAATTCTGAAGCTGCACGGTTTTAAAATTAAAATCTCCTATTGATTAATCAACATTTCGAGGCTTTTCTCAGGGCTGAAAATCCTTGTAAAACCAGTTTAGTTGATATGAATTTATATATATATATAATATAATATTATGCGAATAGCGTACACTAATGGCTTTCTTGGGAGTGTTGCTTAAGCTGCAATGAAGACCACAGGTACCCTACCCCTGTAAGCAGACGTGTGTTAAGGAGAAATTGCTTAAGAGAGCTCTAAAGGCTAGCTGTGAATATCCCTTCGAGTAACAAAGAAAAAAAACTGCCTACATTAAATTTTAAATCTTGGGAAACGCTTTATGTTACTTTTACGGAAGGTATTTTTCGTTTCTCCAGCTTTGTTCTTTCATACAATTTTCATTTCCTCTCCCCCACCCCCTCGCTGACGACCGCGCGCAAGGAAAAAAAGGGCGGGAAACAGGGCGGGAAACTAGACGCGGCTACATAAGCCGTTTTAAAAATCTTCGTGACAGTCACTCCATTTAATGGGTTTACCTTGATTTTGATTTATAATTTGTCAGCTTTTTAAATTTTTTTAGACAATTTCTATCAATCCTTGGAAAGAACGAACAGTTGACTGCAACGGAGAAATAATTGTTTCACCACGACACAAGAGATTGTTTTCTGAGGTTTTGATTTCTGCAGACTACAATTCAAGTGGATTCTGAAGCACTCCAAGAGTGTCAGCTCTGATGCAAAATATTTTTCCTGCCCGTGAATTGTACAACTCCAATCCTTGGTAAGCTGCTCAGGTTTATTTTAACTTTATTTGCATTCGTTGAAGTTTCTGGGGAGCTTGTTGGTCTCTAGCTACGAGCTAAATTCAATTTTTTCGTCGCGCGTGAAACCCACAAAGCTCATTCATTAAGCTTTCGACATGTTTGCTTTGAAGTTGAACGAAGTGAGCTTAAATTTTCGCAGTTTATTAGAATAACCTTCACGTTAAAATAAGATGTGCAAGTTGCATATAGCAATTAGCCGGAAAATATGGAAACTGCTTTCACACCAGGAAATTTCTGAGATCTCTTCATTACTTTGTTCACGAGGGAAAATTTAAGTCGATTTTCACATTATTTACCGTCAGTGAGGTGTTAAAAGACAGTAGAGCAGAGACAGGAAAGGAAGTTTTCTTGTCTTAATCATTACAAATCTTTTTGTTTTTCAGTCGAGAGATGTGGGACAGCGAGCAGTTAAGTCAAAATTTCGGTTCGTGTTCACAGGGTTCTCAAAACAGCTCAACTGATCTATTTTCACAGTCTAAGATGAGCCAACATAAGGGGTTTGGTTCCATTGATGTCTGGTCACAACCAACAAATTCACAAAAAATGCCTGAGGTATGTTTATCTGGAGACAGAAAGACTTAAATATGACTTCTGTTCGAAAACCACGCATTTGTCACAAAATTGAGAAGTTGATCATGAAGTGAACAATGTCTGCGATAAAAAAATGATTGATTAGCCTGACTCTTACATCGTAAGACAAACAATTGAACGTTCATTTATTTACTATCTTTTTTTTTGTCTCACCGTTTTTGGCAACGGAATGATTTCATCTCAGAAGTTGGCCTTGAATATTTGAAAGATCAAATTCGATAAACACTATTGTACATTGTTAACAAACTTTGTTGATTGCTTTTACCGTACAGGACGGATCAGTTAAGTATTATATGAAGTACATGAGTAAGCCACCCTTGTTTTCATCTGAGTCTGATAGACAGTTCTGTCAGCAGACTGCTGCGAGTTACAAAGAATTGATTGAAAGTCAAAAGAAACAAACAGCTGAGAGAGATGGCAGGTAAGGTTATGTTCTTTTAACCTTTTGGTCATTTTACCAAACTGAAGAATGATTTATCGATCTTTTAAGAAAACACTTCAAGAGTAATAAGTAGTTTCAAATGAAACTTCGAATTCAACTTTTTAGAGAGAAGTTTTTGACACTTCAAATTACTACAAATTGTGATTGTTCTAAGCCTGTCAAACAAATGAAATGCAAGCTAATGTTTTAGATAATAGTTTTTAAAACCATTTGACCTGTGAGTATAAAAATAAATATTTTAATTTACAAACTAAAGACTTAAAATGATGCATAACTTTGCATCAAAAGAATATAATCTCCTGCCTTACGGCCAGTCTTTCTGCCGTCACATTGTTTACAAGTGTCATGCCTGCTAACCGAGTTGGACTCAAACTTTCTGTAAACCTCTATGTATTGCTTCTCGCAGGGATGTTCTAGACAGTTTTATATCTCTACTCAAGGATTACACAAAAGAGGTAAGAGAGCATTCATAGTTATTATAGATCAGGTTAATATAAGTTCAGAATCAGCAGAGGCATAGTAGAATCACAAAGAGTATCCATCCTTGATCCTTGGTGTATATCTTTAGAGTATTTAAACTCATTCATGATTATCATTATTATCACTATCATTTATTGATAATGGTAATAGTGCAGTCCAATTCGGTTTGTAATCGTACAAGTAATTAACAAAATCGGATGACCAATCAATCATAACTATTACAATTTCCAAAAAAAAATATACCTTTACGACAAACATCTACAATTACACTGTCCAATTACACTGTCCAATTACACTGTCCAATTACACTGTCCAATTACACTGTCCAATTACACTGTCCAATTACACTGTCCAATTACACTGTCCAATTACACTGTCCAATTACACTGTCCAATTACACTGTCCAATTACACTGTCCAATTACACTGTCCAATTACACTGTCCAATTACACTGTCCAATTACGACTTTACAGAATGATTAGTGAAAAACAAAGCAGCTAATGCACCAATCATATTTGAAGAAATTGTAATGGTTAGGATTATTGTTGTATTTGTTTTTCTTATTGCTACTATTACCACTATTGTTATTATTATCATTATTACTATTATTATCATCATTTTTATTACTACATACTATGTATATCGAACCTAAATTACATTTAATTAAAGAATAAGTTGCTACTATATCGATTCAGGTGAAAGCAGCGATGGATTCATTCAAAGACAGCATTGATACCACACTTGCCTCCAAAGCTGAACAACTTGCCTCCGCCGCTAGTGAATCAGCAGATCTGATTAAGAAATGTAAGTAACCATGCGATACTCTGTGTTTTTCGCTACCGTCTTCACTCGTGTCGTACTTACTGAATGGTAAGAGTAATGTGAATTGTTCTATTTTCTTTAGTGAAAGATGACTTGCTGGAGGGTTTTGGGTGTCTTAGGAAGGATATGAAAGAAAATGAAGAGTTAAGAGAAATCATAGCCAAGGTAAGGAGAGCCAAGAATAGAGTGCACTTTCTTCATTAAAATTGATATTATTAGTAACGCTGTTTCCTTTTTTGGTGATCATAGTTGTCAGGAGATGAGGCCTTGAACCTTACCTTTTCGTGAATAGACATATCAATAAAAACTTGCTTAAAAATACAATTTTCGCAAGGGTCGATGAAAATGTTGCCGTTGCATTCCTTAACTCTCAGAATATCCATAGCAAATTGACGACTATCGGTATTACGAGTAAAGTAGGCAACGCCAAATATCAAGAGAACACGAACTGGCCTGCTGTGAAAGCTTTTCTTAGATCCCTTCTCCATTACTTTATTTAGCAAAACAAAAAGATCGCGGAACAAGATTCGGAAATCAAAATGCTAAACGCACAGTTGGAAGATTTTCGAAAACATGAAGCGAAAGCTTTAGAAAAACAAGAAAAATTTTTGGAGAGAGAAGACAAGCTGCTACAAAAGCTGGATGACATCAGCTGTCGGCAACAACCTCATCCACAAGTCTCTAATCCACTAAATCTAAAGTCCTTCGCCAATCAACGTCAAGCGTTTGAGCCTTTGCAGTACCCCTATCAAACATATGGCGCTCAGAACCCGTCAGTCGTCGCTTTCCCTGGCCGGACACCGCTTGCTTGGGACAGTGCTGAGATAAGTCCGTCCAGTTCTATCCCACTGCATCACATTCACCCAGCACCGCAGTTAACCCTTCAGAATCCATCCGCCATAGAAGCACTTCCCTTAAATGTCCAAGTTCCAACTTACGGACAAGGTACAGGAGTATCTGACCATATTCCTCAGCAGCGACAGGATGCGGATGCCATAGTTCCTTTTTTGAATACTCAGAGGCAGCCTCTGCCCTCAGCACAAAATCACCACGTCGTTACACATCCAACTGCTACGATCGCTCCGATGCGCTCTGGATCTGATCAGGATCAGCGGTTTGCTAGCCCACAAGAAAAGGACATCACATTAGCCATGGTATCGAAAGGTAGTGATATTTAAAGTGTTGAAGATTCTTGTTAGGAAAAAATATATTTGCTACGTGATTGGATAGTGAAATACACTCGCGTTTCATTGTCAAGCTACTTATCAGTGAAGGATGTATAACTCCTTCACTGAAAAGGGATATGGGCGGTCACAAAGTATTGATAGCAGCACCCAATTGTGAGTATTCCCCGAGAAGTATTTTCTATTCAGGAAGAAAGACAGTTTATGGGTTGGGGACATTCCCAACCTATTTCCTCAATCAAGCAAAAGTCAGACCACAAACATGATTTACTTCAAGACTATCATTTTTTCCGGTAATCTCAGTTACATCGACATGAAATCTTCTGTACGAGCCACTTGGACCATGTACTTTCTTGCAATGAGCATAATTTTCCCATGTCATGAATTTTCAATGTCCATTTTGGGGCGTGGTCCTAACACACTTTTGACTTTCTTCAGATTAAGAAGAGACCTTGAAACAATCTGAAGATGTTGTTTCTGTTGTAACAAAACAGAACAAAGGCGCTTATCTTACTTCTCCGACGACTTGTGCAGCTTCTAATCTTACAAAAACAGCACGGCCAAAGCAGTCCCCTGTAGTTACCGTGCATCCACAGGTTCGTATCAAGAAAGAAGATGAAAAAGGAAAGATGAAAGGTACAGGGATTGACCTCGTATGCACAAGCTTTTACCTCAAAGGTTTATTTAAAGATCAAAACTACCAAAGGCCAATCCTTATCAAATTTCTAACAGAGAATTTCCTTCAATCCGAGTTAGGCGATCATTTGCAAATCTCGATATATCATAGCTCTTTAAAATCAAAAGAAAAGGTTTTCATCGCAAAAAGGGATGCACCACAGAGAGGGTTTTTGGCGTCAGCGTTTATAGACTTCTCTTCTGGTCCAGAACAAGTTAACAAAATCCACTGTTGTCAGGTTTCTCCACTTGCGAGCTTTTCCATCCTGGAGACAGCTTATGATAATAGTATGCATCTCTTCTACTGATTCGCCTTTGAGATTAATTTAGCTTTGATGAAAGGACGCCTTAGTCTCAGAGCTGACTTCTAATCCGATCCGGTTTATGTTCAGCCTGTCACCTAGACGGGGCCTAACATTTTTTATTTTCTTTCCGTCGCAGTAATAATTCCTGGATCCCCTTGCGCTAAAAAGGCTCGAAAGCAAGACCCTTTAGACATTTTTGTCTTCAACTTGACAAGTTCTCCAGATAAAGGAAGCTTTGATGCTCAGAAAATTGACGTCAGTTCAACAAAGAATGTCCCTGAACAACCAGTGAAAGTACATGCAACGAGATCCAAGAAAGTGAAAATGCAAGGGTCAAAAAAAGATACAGACTATGTTAAGGAAGTGGACCAAAACAGAGGAGGTTCGACACAAGGCAACTTGACCTTCAAAGTGGTAAAAGGAAATTCAAGTGATTCCAGTTTGCGCGGAAGAGTAACTCCCGCCTTGAAAAGTAAGGAGAAGAATGGTACAGATCACAAATCTCGTGGACGCAGTGACACTTCTCCTAATTTTCAAAGCAACACACCAGACCGCCCAGTCAAAGCCAGCATGGAAAATGGTGTACCACGATCCAAAGAGGCGCAACGTGTGTTCCAGGTAATCAAACATTGCCAGCTTTCTGACCCTTCGCGAAACGGAGCACGGGTGTCATATGAATAAATTTAGTTAAACTTAACGTTCTTTTTAAGGAACTCTTTTATTTTCGAGATAGATCGTTATTAAATTCCGTGTAATAGGCACTACAAAGTGTGTTCATCGATACGATTCATAGAAACACACTTGATTTTGGTCTGCTGGATTGATATAAGAGAGTTCTTTGCAGTATATGGCTTGATCAAAGTTAAGATGGCGGCTATCATTTTCACCAAGATGATAATAAGCACTCGCCCGTCAAAATTAGGCCTGCCTAGCAGGCTAGGGTCAGGGACTGTTGTCGGTAGTGGTTACGACGACGTTTCTATGATACCTCAACCAACCTTATATGTTACTCTACTGATAAAAGTTTGTTGAATTCTAAAATAATTTGCAACTTTTCATTTCAGAGGTCCAAGATGTCTTTTAAGCGAAACCTTGTTGCTGCAAAAAGAGTCTTATCCTTTGATGCGTCCATATTTGTTGGTTGGTGATATTCGAATGAAATTTGTTACATTGATTAACCAAAAGGAGTGCTGTATCAATTTGAATTGATTCACTTCTAGGGCGTACCCAAAATTTAGCGAAGGTTAAAAACACTTCAGAAAAAATCGTATAGCCTGTTGGAAAGCTAGAAATTGTCAACCCTGGTTTATTTTCATTCAATTGAGGTCGAGTTCCTCTTTTTTTGCCGATACCTGAATACCCTTTCGTACGTAAACTTATGTAAAATTTTCAAAAAAAGCAACGAAAAAGAGAAATCTTCTCCCCTTTTCGAAATTCTCAAGTGATGGGTTATTTTTGTACTTGGGGATTTCCACTTTTAACAGTAGAAAAAGAACTGTCACATGAGCTGAAGTAGAAACTGTTGCAGTTGAGCCCGCATTGATTTCGACCACTAGGGTGTGGTAAGCTGCACTTTTTCCATTTTCAATATTCGAAGATTATGGCAAAAAAAATTTTTAACTGAAAAGAATCTATGCCAGTCGATATCCTCTTCTGCCAGTAAAGATTTCTTTAACAGCAAACGGTTGCGAAGCTTTTTGGCGCCTTTTATGAGAACTTTAACATTCAAGGAAGTGAGCGAGGTAATCATTTTTTTTGCAGGTTTGGAAGAAGATGAAAATATACAGCAAATCACTGAGAGCATCCGTAAGCACACTCAAAAAAGAAGAGCTGCCAATGTATGTTAATCACGGAACTTCTTCTCATCCGGACAATTTTTTAGCTTGATTTCTGCTCGCCCCGGAAAAGTAGAGCGCTTGCTCCATGAAAAAATTTATTTTATTACTTATCATAAATTCTATTCAAAGAAACATATTTAAATAACATATTTAAAGACATACATATGTTAACCTCTAAACGTTCAGAAATAAATTAGAATTTCAAATGTAATTTTAAAGTAAACTTGTTACTTTAGAGACTGGAAACTAATTTTCAAAAATGCACCAATCAGCGCGCGCTATCAGCTGTTTTGGCTACCATAATGACGTCGATAAGTAACATTCGATTGCTTACCTTCTCGGTTAAACTGCGGTGAAATCAGCCCATTACTATTTGATACTAGCAAGTGGCACCAACGAACAAAACTTACCCAGATGGTATCGTTAACAAGCCTTGGGCTTAAGCTCAAATCGAGAGATTCGCCGCCGGCAAAGGCAGATTCTGATGTAGTTTGCGAGGCGTTGATGATGGAGTTGGAGTGTCAAATCAAAGAGATCGAGAGGATTAACCGAGAAGGGGAAAGAGAAAAGAAGAGAATGGCGAACATAGCGGACTATTCTTGGCTCATATCGACGCCTCAAAAATCGTTTGAAATTCCTCAGATGGAGCGCCTTGCTCTTGAGGAGTTAGCCTCAAAAGTTCGACCCGAGGACAGTGGGAACGTAATTTCTGAGTTCAGAGGTATTGTTGAAGGTATACCGCGAGAAGTTAAAGAGATACCCCAAGTTATGCGATGTATAATCGATAAGCATTTGTTAGAGGGATCGCAACATAGCGAGGAGTCGACATTTCGATGGTTAACGCGTAGCATGTCGCAGTTAAGAACTTTATCGAACCACACATCAGGGAAAGTGTACCCGGCTACAGACGACCTTGAACTTCAAGAACGTCCTGAACCAAGGCGAGTGAAAAGTATGTCTGACTTCTCCCGTTCGAGAGAACTAAATATGTCCGTATAACTGCTTACTTCGATGTTCAATGTTGATGGTATATTGTCGTTCGGTTATCTGTGACTTTTAATCGTGATCCGTAAAATTGTGCCTCTTTTTCGTGTAGCCCAATTTTTCAAGGGAGTATTTGATTAACTATTGAGGTAGATTTATTTAAAGAAACATACCTAAACCTACAACAGTGCCTTTTGCAAATATTTTGATATAGTGCTGTTGACGGCAATAGGTGCCATTCTTTGATATATTTGTTTTTACCTCTTCCATTGGCTCAAAGATTTTTATTTCATATCAAAAGGGGATAGAATGTGGCAGTGTACGTGCATCAAAAATTAAGGTGATCATAAAATTGCTTTTGTGGTGGTAACAAAATTGTTTATTTTATAACAGGACTGTCTGAGTCATGAAAGTATTGTTATTTATGTTTTAATAGAGTCCTGTGGATGAATATTTTGTTTTTGTAAAGATATCACTATTTGCTGGTCAACTTGATTTTTTTCTGTGAAGTCTTGGTCATCTTATTTGTGATAAATTTTGCTTTAACCCTGTAACTCCCAAGATCTGATGGTTAATTCTCCCCTCTAGCTGCTTAACATTTCCTTGTAAATTTAGGTACAAGAACTTGGTGCTAGATTAAGATAGCAGCTTCTACCTGATGAGTTTGAATATTCTCATTACCTGTTTTCTGATCAATGTATGGATATTATAGGGAGGTTTGTGTTAATCGCTTCTGGGAGTTAAAGGGTTAAGAGTCATTATGTAAATTCCAATTGATACAGCTCACTGTTTTTACCCCTATATCAGTATGAAAATTCTCCACACTGTTCTCTATACATTTCCTCTGTTACTAATAAGAAGAATTTTTTCAACCACCAAGAGCTTTGTTAGTTGACAGTGAAGTCCCTTTACATTTGCCTCAGGGGTGATACTGCTACAAGAAATATGGTACTTGTCAATCCTAATGGGTTAAAGGGTTAACAGTTAAGGAAATGATTTTCAATTTATATTGTCATATTTGTATTACCTACAAGCAAACACTAGGCAACAAAGATCCATGTATGGGTATTATGTACACTGAATGTTGCTGACACTGATGTAATTATATGCTTATAAATAGCAAATAACTACTTTAAAAAATAAATTTATTGGGTACATGGATGGCTTAATGTTATTTCTTGGGAGATATGTGCTGTCAATGAATTGCAGTAAATCTTAGTTGTAGTTTCATTGATATTTTGTAATGAGCAAATAGAGTTTCATGTGACATTGCCCTCCACTAATTGTTGATTTCCCCAATGTGTACCAGTGTTCTGTGGTTCCATTTTATCTAGGTTTTGTGTCAATTTAATTTTGTTTTCCTTTGCTTTATATTCTATATCTTAATATGAAACAAAGGAAAATGAAAAAAGAAAAGGTTGAAAATTGTTTAACTAAGAAAGAATGTAAATTAAAACATTCAATTTACATAATTACTTTTCTCCAACCACCAATGAATGTTCTTATTACTATAACTGACCAAACATATGTATCAAATCTGTGGAACTTCACAGAACTGCTTCATTTAGTTATGATGGAAAAAGAGGAGCATGGTAGGTTTAATTTTACTGTGTTTTCATTTGTTTTCATAGCCATGCAAACATATGACTGCCTGAATGTCTGATGTAATTTATCAGTTTGGTTAAATATAGTTGTAATATATTGCTCTTTTTCTTCAACTGGGGAAGGGGGTAGAATGATTGTGAACAGGTTGTCATCATACTTGTCTTACAGGAGCAGCCCAGCCGTTTGTACATCTTGTAAAATGAAGCATAAATTTCTGTAGCTTTTCATGAGTTTCAATCCATGGTTACTGTATCTTTCCAGTCTTCAGCCATCACTGCTATCTTCTCATGTATTCAAACATCATTGGCATCCACTAACAATAGCAAGATAGATCTTGATATGAACTTCACAGTATCAATCTTTAAAACAACTTTAGATATCCCTAGCACAGCTCCTTCAAAATGTTAATGTATTTTTGGTCAGGAACTTTATCAAAGAGAAGTTGTGTACTTGAAATGATATACATTCTTAGTTTCTTTATACATGGATTGGTTAGCAACTTTATCAAAAAGAAGTTGTGTACTTGAAATGAAATACATTCTTAGTTTCTTTATACGTGGATTGAGAGTAAGGAGGAATACACCCCTCTTCTAAATTTGCTACACTTTTGTCCCCTAATAGTCAATATGTTGAATAGCTCATAGACACTGTCCATTATCATCACATTTGGTTAGGAACTTTATCAAAAAGAAGTTGTGTACTTGAAATGATTACATTCTTAGTTTCTTTATACATGGATTGAGAGTAAGGAGGACTATGCCCCTCTTCTAAATTTGCTACACTTTTGTCCCCTTAGTCAATATGTTGAATAGCTCATAGACACTGTCCATTATCATGACATTGCCCATTCAACAAGTACTACTGCCAGTAGTATGCATTTTTCACCCTATGTATTAATGGCTGTATTGTATTCTCTATCAAAGACTCTGAATTATTTCAACTGACACTATTCATCCCTTTTATCATTTAGTGTATTTTAAATCAAAGAAGGGTAGTATCTCCATACTTTTTGATGTAGGCTCTCATAACTTTGAAACAAAATTATTATGAACAGTAATTTTTCAGAAGTTATGTCATCACTTTAATTATTACTGCTTTTACTTTGCTTTTTTACTTTCAGCAATCTACAAGACAAAAACTGCATGGAATCTTTGACATCAATTGTGATTGTTTAGACTTTTTTCTCACTGGGTGGTAAACTTGTAAAATCCTAGACCCAAAAAGTAACATGTTCAGTGTCTATGAAAATAAAAATCATGAATACTGAAAGGTTAATTGGAGATTTACATTGCTTTAAATTTATCTTGCCTTCAGTAACTTTCAAATGAAAGTCACAAGTAATGCAGGATTGCACTGGTTTTACCTGTCATTGCACTGTGCTTTGTCTAAAAAACTTAAATGCCAGTTTATAAACTGATGAGATATGAAAGAAAAAAACAATGGTGAGTTGGTCATTCATGTTATTTTTGCCATAGGCATACACACTCCACATTCAACTACTCTGGGCTCCCATTGGCTGCTTAACATATTTTCTGTCTTTTATCCATTTGGTTTAGCCATACACAGTAGCCAGAAAAATGACTCTCTTTTCCATTTTTATTTTACTTGCCTTGCTGGCTTACTTTTGCAGTGACTGCAAAAAAGGAAATGGAATTAATTGCTATGCTTGTTACATTGAAAGGATTCAAGCTTAGTTTTCAAGATCAGCTTCATTGTTTTAATTGATGTTCATTTGCACAATCAATTTCAATTTAATTTAGTTCAGCCTACAAAAAAAAATTCGATTAGCCAAATGCATGCAATCTTGAGTCCATGGTTTCCTTCAAGATGGGAAGAAGCATATAATTTGGAATTTGGAAATGGAATTAATTGCTATGCTTGTTACATTGAAATGATTCAAGCTTAGTTTTCAAGATCCATTGTATGGTTTCCTTCAAGATGGGAAGAAGCATATAATTTGATTTTGGAATGTAAAGAAAAGTAAAACAAAGGCCAATTGTAAATTAATCCTCCAGTTTACAAGAGGGAGGGAGTAATACAAGTTTTGAATTTTTCACAAATTTTGACCATGTTATTTATGGCAAATGTAAGGAAGTAACTGTTTAACAAGGGCTTGGAAAGCTGAAAAGGTTCTTTTTATTGACCAAAAACCTGCATGATCTTTATCTCAACTTTGTACCTAACAGAACACTATAAACAACAAAAATCAATAGAGACTGAATTCCAGCCCACCTCCTCTTTCCCCCCCCCCCATTTTACCATGTGTAAGGTTCTCACTGTGATAGTAATTTAAAGTTAAAACATCACAAAACGGTAAGTTATTAATGTAAGGCTTGAGTTCTAACAGTAGTTTTATTATTCTTGCACACTACATACTCTGGTTATAAAGACAGTCCATAACAATGACTATACACACTAGTTATCCATGGTATGATTGGAACTTTTACAGCTATCCTAACCAAGGGAGAGGGAACACATCATTCTGTAAGACGGACAATTTCGTTTTGTCGTTCATCGTCTTTCTGTAAGATGGACAATTTTTGCCCAAGTTCAATGTTTTTGCTTAGTCGTTTTGGAGCCGTCGTGTTCATTAAAAAAACAATAGAGTAAAGTGGTACAATCATTGACGACCTAGATACCTTGATAGTTGAGATACTAAAATTATCAAGGAAATAATGATCTTACAACTACAATCTTGGACTAGAAACCATAAATAGAATCCACACATACCCTCTCCAATCTTCTTAGGTACTGCGACTTTAAGTTTGATCAAATCCGGAAAACGATTGAGTTTCGTAAAACCAAAAACAAGTGAATAATTACAAAAGCCAATCGAAAGAATGAAAACACCCTGAAGAGTCAATGAAACTCAGAGTAAAAACAAGCAACCAGCCTAAAGTGCGGCTAAGTCGTGATTAGTGTAAATTATGCATCTGATTGGTTGAGGGAGTGGCACAGCATTCTGGACCAATCACAGAGCAGAGTAAAGCAAAGCAATTATTTTCCTTACGCAGTTGAAAAGTTCTTTAAAAACTTAGCAGTTCACAACACTCGGACCGCCTTGGAAGAATCATCAGTAACATTCATTTCTCATATTTCGTCGCAAACTGAAGGCAGACCATCGGCCAAAACTGTGCAAGGTGTGTCGAGTACCCCACTTGCATCTAAGCCTCCACCAGTCCCATCAACATGATCTCCATTGGTAGAAGACACCGGCCTCCAGGTCAAGAAGCCTTAAGTCAGGTGAAACATCCACGCAGGTATCCCTGTAGGAAGGACGATTTTCATCATACTACACGCTGACTGGAAGACTTCCGTGTATCAAGTGTCCGTCGCCGTACACACCAGCCTTTATAAGCACTACGGATGCACATCCTTGCAAAGTGGCTGTTACTGATGCAGAGGGTGTG